GCTGGGTCTATCATTTAACTGTGTGCTCACTGTGGCCTATCAAAATACAGCTGATGGGTGACAGAGCAGAAATGGATTTTGCAGCCAGACCAGGAGAACACAGGGAATAACTGCGTACACTTTTCACACTTACCCTTATTTATAAGGGAATAATCAAATTTTTCCCTAGTGTGTACTGTGTATACTAATACTCTGTTATACCTGCTCAATCCATGCCTACATATAACATACTACCGTGTATGCATGCTTTGAACCTTTGTGTGCAAATACACAGTGTCTGTATGTGTATGGATTTATATATTTAATTTTATATAGTGATTTTTTTTTATGTTTGTTGTATATACCCTGTACAAACAAACTTTCTATGTGATTCTATACTGTTTTGTTCTATTCTATAAAGGAGAAGGTTAAAATCAGGGGGAATCCACGTATACCCTCTTCACATCACAAAGATAGTTCACATCAATTTAAGCAAGCAAAGGTTAGCAGTTTCATATCTACTTATTTTTAACCAGTTTTCATTGTTTTTGCTAAAATACTTTTCATTGTGACTTTTCATATTTGTGTATATCTGATTATTTTTTAAATCAGGTAGCTTTTGGTCCATACTGTGCAGAAACAACTTCTAATCAGCTCATTTCTCCACGTTAACAAAAACTAAAGCAGGTCCTCTGGATTTTACTAAAAGTTTTCCACTGAAGTTACAGTTTTGCACCTTCAAGCATCATTAATCTCTCAACACTTTGGTAATCAATACATCCAAATTAGAAACAAAGTGGGTTTTTTTTCTATTTATTGCCCCTGCATGGGATAAGGATATAATTAAACATCTACATTACAAACTTCAATCTTATTAAGAGCTTAGGGCACAGTGTTGGGATTCAAAGATTGAGATCTTTTCTTTGTTAAGCCCTGAACTTCACACACACACACACACACACACACACACACACACACACACACACACACACACACACACACACACACACACACACGCACACACACACACACACACACACACTCACAAGCATATTTTAATTGTTTAGTTTTGAACCTTTTTGATAAAGCAACAGAAGATCAAGTTATTTAAGACACCGTGTTTCATATCAGTCGCATTAATTTGATAATTTTTTAAAAATAGTTTCAGTAACAGGAATCCTCAGAGGATTATCCAACAGTTTGACACTGAATCAACAATGCAATGAGATACAGAACGATTTTGTGTTTTTTCAGACTTGAATAAACTTAATTAAAGTTTCACCCTGATTAGATGTGGCACATGTTGGCCATTATTTGCAGCATGTTCACTCTGTGTGTGTGCGTGTGTAAATGTTTGTGCGTCTGCACTGGCCCCAATTCCATCCCAAAGTCGCTTAGAGTGAGTCAGGAGATCAAAGTCGAAGCTGTAGATTAATCCACATAACAGGAGCTTTTCCACTAATAACAGAACATTCTTTTCATTCTGGCTGCCTGGTACGTCAGCGCAGTCGCTCCAACACATGGACCTGAAACTAGGACCATCGAAGAGCATGTTCCACCGCAGTAACAATATGCAGAAAGGAGAAAATATGTTACACTTGAAAGCATGGCAATGTGAAAAATATCATGTGTAAAAAGCTCAAAACTTCTATAAATTGCCTTCATGAGCCTCACTGATATGAAACCTGTTTAAGTACTATGCCAAACTCCTTCACCCTGACAAGTGGCAGTGGTGGTTCAGATAGTCTTTTTGAATATCACAAATAAATAAGTATATGACTTTATTTAAAGTTGCCGACATTTTCAGAACTAAATAAGTGACAAATATTTAAATTTTTCACCCACAAGGACTTCTTTATCGATTAAATATACCTAAGAAGTTCATCTGAGAGTGTTTTAAGATTGTCACATTTTTTGCAGAGAGTTAATGTCAGCATGGAAGAGGGGGGGCAAAATTGTGTGTGTGTATCTGTGTGCACCTCTGAAGCAGTCATGATTTGTTATATTTACCTCTGTTGGCTATTCAAAATTCCCAATGGTGCAAAGCGCAGACATCTTTCTTGTTGTGTTGCTTTCGACTGTCTTGTCTGTTTGCTGTTGCTTTTTGTTGCAGCTAAGTCTTTACAACACCTGCAACCAAACGACAACATCTCTGGTGTTTCTGTTCCTGTCATTATTTCTGATATTTGTGAGGGGGCTGTAATTGGAAGACTTCGGCCACTTGAAGGATGTTCTCAGCACATGACGGGCCATTGACTGTGCCAAATCTGACCCAGGATCAGTTGAGTGCTGTTTTGTGAAAAATGAGAAATACCATAAATGTACAAACATGGACTGTATATATGGACAACTTGGTTCCGCCTTTCGCCAGTATATGGAGTTGAAGCCGAAAAGCTCTTGGTATTTCTGCGTTTTTTCTCTATTACCTGAAACCAACATTGCGCAGTAGCGTTGCGCGCACTCCACCGCTTGCGCAGTAGCATTGTACGCATTTGGAAGAAGAGTCACCAAGAGTTGCTGTGATGACGCTCGACTCAAACAGCATATCCCCCGGGTGAGCTATGCAAACTATGTACACCCATAGGCCCCTAATAACTTTTCAAAATGGAGCTTCACAGAAAAAAGAGGACTTGAACACAAACCAGGCTTACAATAACTACATGTCAACATCACAAGCAGAGGGTAGAAACATTTATATTCTGTGTAATTAATTTCTAAAGTTTGTCCACAGCTTCATAGGGGTTGCTGGAGGAGGTGGGATTTATGACCTATACTGCAGCCCATCAGCAGAGGGTGCTGTTCTCAGGGTGGCTAACCCAGCGAGGAGGCAGACGGCGTCCAATCTATGTACAGTCTATGTGTACAGAGCAAAGGATAAACTGTTTGGTACAAATCTGATTCTGACAGAATATGTCCTGGGTGATATGGGATGGTTGGGTAATATGGAATGGTTGGATGTGCCTGTTGGATGATAGTTGTCAAGGGGCATTTTGTTTGAGGGTTGATCAAAGTCTGGGTCAAGGGAGGTTAACTGTGTGAATGCTGGATGAGGTAAAACAATCATTCTTATGTCCCCTCCCAACCTAGATATGTTCACATCAAAATCTCCCTGTCGGAAGCAGCATGGATCAGCAACTCCCTAATCAAACAGAGAAATCATGTGTAATAGAATCACACAGAGAAAGCCTGTGTTTTGTCTCAGTGAAAGGGCCTCAGCCGTTGCCAGGCAGATGTTTGGGTTGGATCGCTGTGTGGTGGAACGCCACCCTTCCATCTGGCTTGAGCTTCGTAGACTACAGGAATAGAGTACTGAGAAAGCAGGGAACACAACTCCCCTTTCAAAACGATAGCATAGTAGAGGAATGTAGTTCCTGCACCTGCAAGTCTTTTCTTTTATGAGTGCACTAGAAAAAAAAAACGGCTTGAGCAATAATCATTTGAGGAATTTAATTTCGCCTTGGCTAAATCACTGGAATGTTTGCATTGCACCTCAGAAACTGAGTCTACCTCTGCACCAGGGATTTTCATTATTAGAGGGCCAATGGGTCCTGAGAGTGAGGTTGGCATAAAAGAAATCACTCTTGTTTAGTAGAATGTAAATAAAACCACAAACACTCTGGATGGAGTGCAAATGAAATTTTACCAGTTACAGACAAAAGATATTTGTTAATATCGATCTTTCATTTTGTCGTCAACATTACAGTCTGAGACGATAAATCTTTGTCAGGATTTCCAACAGTGCAAAGCTCTTAAGTATCTGGAATAAAATCATCAATCACTGTTGAAAAAAATGGTGATGATGGATAAAAACTTTTCTTGCGTTGAAATAAAGTTAACAAGCCTTCTCTTTTTCTCAAAACTCCCAACTTGCAGCCATTTAAATAAAAAAAAAGGTTTTCATAGCCAGAGCTAATCAATATCAACTGCGGCATGGCATGCGCTGCAAATTTAGCAGTGTAATTCCAGATTCTTAGTAAATCATGCTCCTGGCTATTCAACAGATTAAAGGAAATGTTCTCTGGTTGTGCGAAGAGTTTCCCTTGTGCAGCAGGCAGGCAGTTCACTCCCATAATGCCCTGTCTCCCTCTTTAAGTATCAGCTATCTGCTGCCAGAAGACTGACTGGATATTAATAGCAACACTCCCAGAATCTAAACCACATTTGTTTAGGTCAAGGCTGAGCTCGGTGTCCATTAAACAGCTCCGAGAGGCTCAATTGACTCTGGCAGCAAAAGAAGAGGAATGAGAGATAAACTAAACAGATATCGAACTATCTGGCAGCTGCACATGAAATAGTGGATTGAGGAGGTTAGTTATTCAGATTTAGTTACAGTGAATACTCTCTACACGCTGCAAAAACTGGGGACATTTTTTTTTGTTTTGTCTTATTTTGCGTAAAATCTGTTTCAACAAACTTAACATAGTAAGCTACATTATCCAACAAGTCCAATATATGATTTATTTTAGAAATGAAAAACCAAAATTAAGACCTGAATAGTTTATCATGGTAATAGAAATGATTATCTGCAGTCAGATTCTGAACTGAAATGCACTCTTCCTCTTCTCTCTTATCGGTGAGGCTCCAAACATGACAGTAGCCTTGAAGGACAGGAAGCTGCAGTGATGCACAAATAGCTGTGTCTACAGCTTTAAAGCATGGACCTACCCCCTCACGTGGGTTTTAGACAATAAAGATAAGGATATAAAAATCTTTGGTCTTGTTGAATATGGTTTGTTTGCTTTTGTACATCATTAGAAGGCAACAACGTGAATTTTAGTTTGTGGCTTGAGATATCTTGAAATAGAGTTAAATCTGGACTCATAGATTTAGTGGACTTGTCTTGAATGTAATAAGATAATTTTACTTGTAATGATAAAAAGACAGTCCGCTGAATTCATTTTCCCCCCTTTTTTTTAACTGCATGCATCAGACAACTACACTAAGACTCTGCTAAATAAATACCAGGATGGAGTTAGGGTTGCGTTGGAGCACAGAAATCGATGACAATTTCTGAGAGCCAAAAGCTTTAGGGCTTTTTAAATCTCTTACAACCGCTGTACTTCATTTTTGTCATCTTGTACATGTGTAAAATTGTATCACTCCCATTTACAGTTCGTTAGTAGGGTAATTCATTGAAAAGTCTCTGTGTGAAACAGTGACATCTAGTGAGCAGACTGTGGCAGACATAAAAACTGTCCATAATATTGTGCACTAATTCTTTGAACTATGATGACAATCCCAACATTCTTGGTTTGTATTGACAGAGCCTAATAGGGGTTATTTGGCTGTGGTATAAACAGTTGGCTCGGTGACTGAGGGCTTCTGCAGGAAAAGTACATATCTCGATTATTCACTGACTGAATTTTCAACAGAGTCACTTCAGAACAGTAGATTCTTGCTTTGTCCGAGACCAGCAGGACTTTCTGTTTAAGTTGACAGGGAAAGGTCAAACAGGAGCAAACCTAGCGAGCATGATATAACATGCAAGACTGTGAGATTGTCCCAGAGGACTATGACTGGATGAGTGGTACCAAACCCTGCTGACAAGGTCCAGAACATTCTCCTTTAAAAGTCAAGACCCATTTTTCTCAGAACAGCAGGAACTAAATCCAACAGGAAGAGGGGAGGTGAAAGAGAGCAGTTTGTGTGTGTGTGTGTGTGTGTGTGTGTATGTGTGCGTGCATGTGTGTGTGTGTCGTTGTGCATATGAATCAGTGTGTGTGCATGACAGAGGGCCTGTTTTGCAAGGCTGTGGCTGAACTTCTAGTATCTCTGGAACTGGCTTTCGCCCAAACCCTGACACATCTGTCCAGAATCTGAAGACAAAGAAGAAGGAAGAGGGGGGGCAAAATTGTGTGTGTGTATCTGTGTGCCTCTGTGTGTGTGTCTGTGTGTGCCTGACAGGACATTCTGTAAAACTTCTGCTCATGTGATGGTTAGTTTTATATAACTTTCAAACACATTACTGTGCATACTTCATTGAGCATGCTGGAGCTGCTAACATGCACACACATCCACACGTGTTTAGTATCTGTGAAGAGCAGGGTTAAGTAAGCAGTTAGCGCTGATAACCCTGACATTAGTCTGGCTACTCTCATTGGCTTATCTCTCTATGATGTCCTCAAACTCCCTGGCTGGCAGCCAACAGAAACAGGACAAGGGAAAGCTCTGCCCCAATCAATGGCAAGAAAACATGCTGAGCTGAGACACAGGAAAGGAGCGAATGAGGGAACCGATGAAAGGTCTGACATTTCAGGTCTTGGTTATTGTTAGTGGCCAGTCTGACAGGGCTGTGTTAATTCACACATGTGTTTTTATATTGGCTATCTCCAGATGTTGAAACAGTGTGTGGTTAGCAAGCTAAAAAAAAAAGAGACACAAAATTTGAAACTGAGCAGGTTGCCTTGTCCTCTCGTCGAACAAACTGCACTGGCTATATTTCAGTTTCCAATAGAGGTATGATACAATGTCAACAGCGAAAGGAGGGATAGCATGGATGGTTATAAATTTGTTTAGAACATTTTTTTTCTTCTTCTTCTTCTTTTTGTGGTTGAAATTTTTCCTTAAAAGTCAGCAGATTAGATTTGAAGGACTAAAACTAACTATAACTAACTCAACAATCTGAAAGCACAGCCTTGATGGTGTTGTATTTAGGCCGGATCTCAGGCTGGAGCTCAGTACAGCTATGCTTGTTATGACAAAAGGTCACCAAAGTCAGTAGGTTATGTGCTTTTGGTAATGCAGCCTATGTTTGAATGTCCAGATTCTGAATGCAAAATGTTTTAATGTACTAAAAAAACATGAAGGAATGAATTTTGAAATGTCAAACAACCCAGTGTCAACATTAAGGTACATTGCGTGAACCGATTAATGGTGCAGTGTGTATTAACATTTTCTAGATAAAGGGCAGTTTTAGTTAAACCAGGTTTGTCAAGAGTTAAACTGTAGACACTTGGACTATTCAATGAATTTATACATATCATTAAATCTTTCATCTTCAAACTCTTAATATCATTTTTTTATATTAGTGCTCTTAAGGGTGTCTGTTATTGAGATGCTAATAATGACAGTGTATTTAATGAAAACGCTAACAGGAAGTTAACTGTAACCCTAACAAATACCCATAGAATCTATAGGGATTTTAGCTGTGAGCTAAATTTTTGTTGGTTCTGCTCACAAATTCATATCGTATACTTTGATTTTGGCCACAGCAGACCACAGTTTTTTACTTACAACGCACCATACAAGACAAAACAGGAAACAGACACATAAAACATCTAAATTGTGAATGTAGAGTGCAGCTAAATATCTTGATTTTTCTCTGAGGAAATGGAGGGTGGGGCGTCGATAACAGAGTTAAAAGTGGAGAAAACACTGAACTTTAATCAAGCAGGTTGTTGGAAACAAACCAAACCATTATCCTGCTGGATGATTACTGGAAACATAAATGCACCCCGTCTTTTTTAACAATTTGATTCTGTATTCTGTTTTTGAGTCTTCTGTGCTGCCTTTGAATGGCCGTAAAAATATTATTGGGAAGAAATTTCAGAAAAAGTGCTTGCATGGTGACTGTTTTGAGTTGTACACATGAAAATAGAAGCAAAAACACAACAGTGTTATGGCCTAGTCTCAGGTTAGGGTGGGATGGAGCAGCTGGCCTTTGAGTGAAAATCTGGTTTAAAGTCATTATTCTGCTGTCCAGACCAGAGCAGACCTGTTTTTATCAGAGGAATAGTCTTGGTAGAAGCTTTGATGAAGGGACAGTCTGAGAGAACGAGGAAAGGGCTTTCAATCCAAAACTATGAGTGAATATATGCATACATTGGGATGGTTTTAAAAGGGACAACATACTAATCCTCTACTGTGGGATAAAATTGAAAACCTTTCTTTTTAATTGACAGCATCTCTCTCTCTATCTCTCTGCAGTGCATCTCTCTGTCTCAGTGCATCTATATGTCATTGAATGGGTAAGATTGTCATGGTTGAACGAAGTGAAGTGAGCGCTGCAACTTACACACACACAAACACAGAGACACACACAGTCTCACACCGAGTGGTTCTGTCAAAGTGAGCCCCTAAATATAGCAATAGCACCGTGTTATTATCACAGCAGGGGAGGTGCTCTGTTATCTCTCACCCTTCACTCCCATTGTTTTACTACTCCGGTAGATGACAGCTTCACAAGGACTGGGGTCTATTTGCTCTGTATATGGCCTGTTACATAAGACTTGCATGGACACTGGTTATTTTGTTGTGTTTTCCACTAGCAACAGTTCTCGTGTCAAGATTTAGGTGCCAGGAAGGAAAAAAAAACTCCCCTGCTTTGTGCCACAGTCACACCCAGTCTGAGAAAGTTTGTTTTATTTGTGTTTTGATCTTAAACTGTATCAGCGTCAGTCAAAGTGAAAAGGTTTAAAATGGTCCTCCTGTAGTGGTATCATCAGATGAGGGAAATATGGGTCATGGTTAAATTCAAGAGACACCTGTAACTGCATATAAGCAACAGTTGGACTTAGCTGAACATGTGATGAGGAGGGCCTCTGCTCTGAAACCTGCCTTCTACAATGCAGTCCCACTCACCAGAGAGCATTGTTTCATTTCTTCCTTTGTTACAAAGCAACGACATGAAAATGTCTGTCAAGGGCTTGCTGAGTCATCCATTCAGAACTGGCCACAGTGAACAGCATGATGAGAGGTGGTGGTCCAAGACACCTGCTGCGCTGCTGCCTGGCCTGGAACTGCCTAGCAGTCTGGATCACTGGTTGTGGACAGACGCAAAGACATGACATACACGAAAACTCATCCTTTATTCATTCACAAAAGCAATTGTTAACCAGGCCGGATGTGTACTAGCCTGTTTCAGGATGTCTCAACAACAAATAACTCAGCTCTTTAAAAAAAAAATCTTTTTTAAAACTCTTATAACACACAAAACAGTCCTCTTGCTCTACTTCACATTGTTTACACCCAAACAAACGTGCTGTTTATTCGGTGGTCAGGGGGATTGGTACAAACCGGGGAGCGCTCAGACTTAGAGCAACAACACAATTTGCCCCACAGTTGTACAGGGACAGGATCAGATTTATTGGTACGCAGGGCTACAAAAATGGTCTTAAAAAGTTGTCTTATTTTCCAAAAACAGAAGGTCTCTCTATCTCGGTTCAGCATGAAAGTTAAACCAAACTTTAGCACATTATTGGTAGAAATGAAACATAATATGGATGGATGGATTTAAATTTGTGTATTTTTACCTCAGTATAAAAATAGTTAGGGCTCTGTTAGAATGAGCCTTTGTGTCCCTTAATTCCACAGAGGCCACCATCTTACACGGCGTGTTTCTACAGTAGCACAGAACACACATTAGCAAAGAGTATGTGGGTTTCCATACCAAATGTGTGGCTGCTAAGAAATCAGGACAGAGGACTACAGAAAAGAAGAGAGCAGTTGTTATTGTTGTGGGAAAAGAATTTCAATGATCATTTCTGATGGTAAAACTTCATGAATCCTAGATCATATTGTTTTCCATGAGGTTCTCACTGTGAGGTGGTTGAATCGCTCCATCGGTAAGAAACAGCAGGACTGAGGTGAATAACTTTCTCAGATGCACTTAACTGAATTCATATTTCATCACTTTACAACAACAGCCCTTTCTTGCCACTCAGTCACATGTCACATAACTAACCAATCAGAGGCTACAATGATCGTACTGAAAACCACAGTTGTACATAGGATATATTTAGAGCTGAAGATGCTTTCAACAATATTTAATATCTTACTCAACAAAAATTAACTTTGTCAGCCTATATATGTAAATTTTTAATTGAGTAAAACGTTGTAAACATATTTTTAACCTTAACATAAATACACAGATTAAATCTAATTTTGATTTGACTTTGCTGCTGAGGCTTACATTTGGGATGCAGATGACTTTATGCTGAAAGCTCCTCATGTGTAGAGGGGATGGTTTACGTCCATAATGGTTTGATCACTGGCCAAAACCCTTTGCTGCATGTCTTGTCCATATACAGTCCATGGTCCTGTCCCACTCCCTAATCCCTCCATTTCCTGTCTCTCTTCAGCTGTCCTACTCAATAAAGGCAAGACTGAATGAACTTAAATTAACTCTTTTCAAAAAAGCTTATGTTTACCATGCATTAAAGGAGCTTATTTACCTCAAAGGGCATCACCACTCTACCAATGGGGACCACGTAAGGGATTGTTTCAATCAAAGATGTGACAGCTGGTTATGGCAAAATATTCCCATGTCTACACACTGTACCTTCAACCTTAGAGGATAATAGCTGGGAAGGAATGATTCAAAAGTTTGATCAAAATGCATGAAAGTTTCTCTGCTAAACATTCAACTAAAACTTTTTAAACCACTTTACCTACATTGATTAAAAATTTCAAAACACATTTTCCCCAAAATAAAAGATTAACCCCAAGGAATAGTTGTTGGTTTATTCAAGAACTAGTTTTTTCGGACTGCGTTATTAATCATTCTGCAAAACTCCCCTGATAACTGCAATGATGATAAAGTATGTTGATGATCCTCTCTTTGTTTCACTTACAAGCATCCTTTAATGCATTATTGTGTGATTAAACAAAGCCCGAGTTAGATCAGTGGTGATTTGTCAAACATGCATGACTCAGATTTTCCAGACATGAAACACAGGGCTACTTAAGTGAAATATTACAGTGTTTAACTGCAACCATCTGTGTTTGTTTGTCTGTGCGCACATGCGAGTGTGATGTAACATTTATCATCTGTAAGGATGCTTTGCAGCACGTGTGTGTGTGCTGACATGGCAAAGAATATCTGAAAGTCTTATCAGAGTATCTGCTTCCACATTAGGCGCTTTTATTTTTGTAGAGTACCAGGTCTTGCCTGTTCAAACAAAGATTAGTGGTGTTACCTACGTGAGATGTGAAGGAGATTTAGCATTCCACCTTTTGCGCGTCACCAAAGGCCAGTGTTTTCAGCAGAACAGTCTAAGGGGTCAGACAGGATTTCCCCCTTCAGCAGCAGTCAACTACGTAAATATGGACCTGAAAAAAACAAGCTTTTGGAGACAGGGTCACAGGAAACTCCAACAAAGACTTGATGACGTTGTATCTATAAATAAAATGTATTTCCCATCAATCACCTCAAGTTTCCTTAGGAGAGACTTTTTCTTTGTTCTCAGAACTTTTCCCAAGTGCCACAAAAACACCCACACATGTACAGTATACAGACTGAGTTATGTAATGATAAATTACAGTCAGACATTAACCTTAATAAAGACATGAATATTTGACAAAAATTCAAGCATTTCTCACCTGAATAAAGTTGTCCAAATACTCAATTCTGTTTGAAAAGCTTTATTCATTTATATTCATTGTTTCACCTCCTCAGAGTAAAAAAGTCCTGGTGTACCAAGACTGTCCACTGGATACTTTAGGTTTGAGTAAATACATTATGCCAGCTAAATTATTTACTCTCCCTATTGTACCTTAAATCATGTCCTTCCTATAAAGTCGGAGAAATATTCTGTGACATGCTTCCCTTCTTTGTTTGGTGTGATGGCTGGCTGGTTAAGGTTGTAGATGATAAGAGGTGTCACACATAAAGTGTGGTCAGAGGACCAGGAAACATCAAGACCATTGTTATTTCTTCAATTGTAAATCCCACTCAGCTCCAGATTGTGAGGACGTCATGTTAATTTGCTACCATCATTCTGTTCAAACATAAAGAAATAATCAAAATAATTCTTTCTATAAATATAATGTAGCAGTATGACCCATCGTGTTATGCTGCCATCTAGTGGACCATCTCTGCGAGTGTAAAGAGTGCAAACAATATGAAATAATATAATACTAATAACAACAACAACAACAACAATAATACAATAATAATAATAATTATTATTATTATGATTATTATTATTATTATATTGTTGTTGTTATTGTTATTTTTTTCATTATTATTGTTGTTGTTGTTTTTATGATTATAATAATAATAATTATTATTATATTGTTGTTGTTGTTATAATTATTATTATTATTATTGTTGTTGTTGTTGTTGTTGTTGTTGTTATTATTTCCTAACTAAAGAACCGCAGAAACTCCCAGGATGATGAAAAGGGTCGATTTATGGATGATTTATGGGTGATTCTTTTTCTTTCAAACAAATGTATTCATCTTAGATCTCACTTTCCTCCGGATTCACAGTCTCAGTTGCCATGTCAGTAACTTTCATTTGAGTTAGATTTTGCTTCTTTTCATTTCGATAATTCACAAGTTTCATGTAGACAACAGAAGAATGTAGAACGCATAAGTGCATAGTACAAATGTTTTGGCATCAAGTTAATTTCATCCCTACTCCTTGAATACATAACTTTTATATCAACCGGTTCGTGGTACAAAACGTACTGCGCATGCGTACAGACCGGGCGGAAGACGTATGTGCGTAAAGCGGAAGCTGTAACGTCCTTTCTGCTCTCGGACTGCCATCATGGTGAGTTCGCCATGAGAGTGTTAGCATTTTAAAATTCGAGTTTCTCTCTATATAACTGATATTGCTAACACAGTTAGAGTCATTTAGTCTTAACACATCCATGCGCGTATTTCTGATGTATTTGATACATGAATGCTGGCATATATAAAGTTTTTATACTGTATGAAAAGATGTCTGCTAATTTCCGTACAACAACGTGGTCAATCCGGCTGAAAGGCCCGATCAGTGTAATGTTAAACCAGCGCGTTTTAACCGCACTATTGTTGGATTATGATCATACATCGGTTCTCAAAGACACTCTTCTAACAAGTTTCAGTCTTAAATTGTCATGTATCTGGTCCTTTTACTATCCACGGCACACCGACCGCGATCAGAAGAGCAGCTCACTAACGCTGCTCGGATGAACCGTAGGAATCAGCTGTGGCTGTTCACAGCAACACAGCAAGAAAGAAATGCTTTATTTTAGCTCTATCTGCCTCAAAACTGAGCGTTTCTGTTTATCTAGATATGTAGGTGTCATGCTGCGAGGTAGCATTTGTAAAAACAGCCCAGAATTGTAATCTTACGCACCCCAACTATCCAAAAAAGGCGAAGCACGTTGATCCTTCGATTTTGATTATTGAAATTGTTATTATTTTTAGTTATTGAATATTAGTTTTTGTGTTCCCTTTTCTCTATCCCAGGTGTTCAAACGCTTCGTTGAGATCGGCCGTGTTGCCTACATCTCATTCGGACCCCATGCTGGCAAGCTGGTGGCCATCGTAGATGTTATCGACCAAAACAGGGTGAGTACTGTGGAAGAGAGCGCACTGATCAGTATTAGAGTTTTTTAAACATATTATTCTGTTATTAACTATGGCATGTATCCTGTGGTTGTCAGGCTCTTGTTGATGGTCCCTGCACTGGTGTGAAGAGACAAGCCATGCCCTTCAAGTGCATGCAGCTCACAGACTATGTCATCAAAGTACCTCACAGGTAGGTGTACACATGAGCAGATCTAGACTATCAAAACTCGTCAGCATTTCGTCAGTGTCACCTATCTCAAAGGAATCAGATTTCAGTTTTGTGTCTTGTTTGCAAATGTGTGTAGAGCGTAGTATAACATGGGTTATAAAGCATTATATAAGTTTTAAGAAACCCACAGGCTTCTTACCTGGTTAAATTAAAAATAAAAAAGCCCCTAAGATTAAACTAGTGCAAATTACTTTGAACTGGTGGGAGGTACTCCCAATTTGCACCTTTTTTTATTTTTTCATTTTTATTTTTTTCTTCTCCTTTCTGTTCTTTGTTTTGGTCATTTAGAGCAGTGGTCCCCAACTTTTGTAGTACCAGGGACCAGTTTCATGCAGGAAACTTTTTCCAAGGCCTGGGTAGGGGCGTGGAAGTTCGAATAACAAAAACCTTAATCAGTACATAGTATGTAATCTGGATACAACAATTACATTTTATATTAGGCCCTTTTCATTACTCTTTAACATCAACTCACCATAATGCAGAATCAAGACCCTCCTCTCTCCAGTGAACTCTGTTTCTGGCTCATTTTTTCAAGGGCTAACAAGAGTCAAGCGTGAAATTGAGGCGATGGCAGAAGTGGTGGTCTTTCAAAATAAGACACTGGGAGGACGGAGGAAAAGAAAAAATATATTTGGACATTATTTTTTTACGGCCCGGTACTAATTGATCCACGGACCGGTACCAGTCCGGGGCCCAGTGGTCAGGGACCTCTGATTTAGAGAATCTTATCAGTAAATGAAGTGCATGAACTTGCATTAAATGTTGTAAATCTTGTGTGAAGAAGTCTCCCCTCCCCTACACAAGATGAGTGTGGGCATCAATTTACTCATGCTTTATTTTACCAAGAGTTGTTTCAGATTTTATGTAATGAAATATTCATACTTCTATTGACTTCATGTGCTGGTTTGCAGTGCCCGTCAGAAGTTTGTGAGGAGAGCCTGGGAGAAGGCTGGAGTCAACGAGAAGTGGGCACAGAGCAGCTGGGCCAAGAAGATCGAGGCCAGGCAGAAGGTAAAAAAGTTTGACATTGGTTGGAGAATATATTTAAGATGGATCATAGAGTGGTTAGTTTTGTTCATAATAAGCATTAATAAGTCGTCAGCTTAATGAAAATCATTCTGATCAGAGAACAAGTTCACTGTTTAAATGGGAACGAATGAAGTGATCTGATTCAGATGTGGATGCATTGATTTGTTGCCTAAAGGAAGCTGGGATATGTAGCAATGTGAGCAATGCTGGAAATGCTGCTTTAACGTTTCTCCTTCATAGTGCAATATTTATATATAAGAATACAGTTGTGTTTGATTTAAATTCAAGACAAGAGGCCAATCAAGACTACATTGGTTGGGTGCAGGAGGTCAGTCCCGTCATGTCAAATGATGCAGACATGGGCAGTGAGATCAATTTTCCCCATTGACCTGAAATTCAAACCTGGCATACAGCCCTCTCAATCATGTTTAAATTCCTGTCCTAATGGGATCAGATCAGCTGTCTCTGTGAGTAATTCCTACTCTGATCAGCCTGTCATTTGCAGTCACAGGTGATCCATGTAGGCATAGTATTGACTGTGGTGTTTGATTTCTCAGCCATAATAGTTGCAAATAAGATTCACCACAACAAATGTGAAATTTCCTCTGGAGTGAGGTTAATGAATTAGATGGGTTACTGAATTTAACTTGAAACAATTTTTTTTAAATTGCAGATTAACTTTTGCCTTGTAAAGCAAACATTCATTTTATTTTTATAGTTTTTTTAGGGCTGAAAATGTTATTTTCACTAACCATCAATGAATGGAATCTTTTTGTCAGAGTTTTTAAGCTTAGGATTTGTAGATGCAAAAGTGGTATTTTTCATTGTGGGTTGGCTGCAGTGTTGTGCTCAAAACACCTTGACAGGACATGTCCCACTGACAGTGACATTCATACACCGACAGTGTATATGTAGGCTGTTATGTAAAGCACCTATCAGTATTGCTTGCTGAGAACAGCCGATGGGGGCTGTTTTAGAGTTACATATCTTACCCAAGGACACTTTGGCGTGTGAGAAGTGGGACCTGGGATTGAACTTCCAACATTCAGAATGAGAGATATTAATCTCTCTCTGGGCCACAGTCACCCCTAGTGTAGGCATGTCAAACCAAAACCCAATACAACACTTGCTGCAGAAGCATCAAGGTCATAGTGATGATTGTGGCAAAATGAAACCATCATATCACAGCAGATTAGAAAACGAATTGGCACACATGACAGATGTTTGCTTTGCTTCTATGCCATGTTTCATGTCTGATATTTATCTTTACTCAGAGAAAGTATAAGATGCTGTGTGCATTTTATGCTGCTGTTTTCCCTATTTTTTGAATACAAGGCCCTCTGGTATGGCCAAACAGTGCTCGGCTGCTGCTCAAACTGCCATTAATGTTTGTGCCCATCCTCAAACTGAATTCTTGCCTACGTTATAGATAAAATATGTGATCTGTTTTTTTTCTCATGGTCTTATTTGTCTTTGCAGAGGGCCAAAATGTCTGACTTTGACCGCTACAAGGTGATGAAGGCCAAGAGGATGGTAAGGAAATCACTTAATTCTACTGTTTTAATGAATGACGGGACAGTGTGCCAATAAAAACATCAACTTTATCACAGATGATTAGTACTAACGTTTTGATCAGGCAGTTCTGTAACTTGCAATGTTCATATTTTTATAAAGATAATCTCTCAAGGCTTCCTCTGAAAAATACTGAATATTCCTCAGCTTGTTTACTTGTGAAGTCAGACCTTGTATCTGTTGGATACAGCTGCACTGAATGGAATTGGGAACTTTCCACAGAGCACTGACTAAACTGCTGTAGTGAATACGGTTCATGATGGGTGGCTTTGATTGAATTGTGCCAGTGAGCAAATAGAAAATGTTAGTGCCAGTTGTCGCTCTGCACAGGGCAAATTGGAAATGATAAACGTATCAAGCCACAGCTGAACTTGACGGTGATTTTATTTTTGTGCTTAGTACTTTAATTAATGCATGAATTGTCTTTGTTTCTGCAGAGGAACAAGATCATCAAGCACGAGGTGAAGAAGCTGCAGAAGACGGCAGCAAAGAAATGAAAAGTTTCTCCAAATAAATCTCTGGTTTAATTGTTCATCGGTGTCTTCTCGTCTGTGCCCACTTGCTGAAACATGTAACAATCAAGAAAATAATTCTATTTCTGGGAAAAAAGCAATTAGACTAAAGTGTTAAATAAGTGTTACACTTATTGGATAAAGTATTTGAAGTTTGTACATAAAGGAGGTTGTATATCTTGATCATAAGTTTGGATTTGGAACTGAAGACTTGTGCAGATGAATGTAAAAAGATGCAAATAGAAGTTAATACAGGGGGAAATAAATGTATTAGCAGCTACTCTTACAGAAAGGTTTCAATAAATTATGACCGGTCATAAAAAAAAGATGCATTATAGCTGGAAGAGAAATGGGGCAACTGGAAAAAACTTGTAAATACACAGAAACCCACTTTATTTCTTTGTACACCAACAGTTGTTCACTATGATGAAATACCGAATTGCAGAAATTAAAAGGCTAAGTTGTTAGTACAAATACCTAAAACTGGCACAGAGTTGCCACAGAAATACTTGGCATTGCCTCTAAGACATATAACACCAAAACTTCTTGTATGGTTTATCTAAATTACTCTTGAATGATTTGAAGTGGGTTTGATGATACAGAATTCCCTTAATTCCCTTGGTTGAGTTTTAACAGTTTTGGTCCTTTAATATCAGTCACATGGGGTCCATATTTGTGAGGGAATACTGAAACATATACTCGAATCCACTAGGTGGCAGTGTGGGAAAATAATGCACACTTCACAGTATTTATATCTGCATGAATCAGGCACATTGTCAGATTCAGGGGGGCTGGTCTAAATCTCTTGAATGTAAGATTAAGTCCTCAATAGATGAAAAGCCATTTAAAACTGTACACTGAAACACTTTGTTTACAAGTCTCACTCACCAAAGACCACCTGATTCCTTTTAACAGAGCGTTAAACTGTGTCTTTACTGCGGTTGTCACACCAAACACTTGTTAAAAAACCATTAAGATAGAGTACAGGAAGCCTGCAGATGAGCTCTGTTTGAAGTGCACCAGCATGGAAATGCAGACGGCCGAACAGGTTTTGCCTCCCATATCAGCGAGGAGCTTGTAAATATTACATAACGACACATTTGAACGTTGCCCGGTTGGATGGGTGCAGAGAACAGGAACACACAGACGGTGCCAACACACCTCCCCACAGACCACCACTTCACCAGGCGCTGGATTCCTTCCTATGGCAGCCCCGGACATGTGGCGTAGGATGGATGAGTGGCTAAAGAGGGTGGGTGGATTAGGGGGGCAGCTCAGTTAGTGTTATGAATGACATCTCGATTGATCTTAGAGAGGAGGATAGGAGGCCTCGGCTTTAACAGCTGATAATGACCCATTGTTCTTAGCTTTAGCCCTGTTATAAACACAAATTTTATCCTTCACCGTCAAAACTCATGTGTTTGAAGCCTCGAAAAAAAGGTCCAAATACTAACACAGACCGGGTAGAGACGAGCGAGATAAGGGACATTTTGTTTTATTATTGTGAGCTCTGATAAACACGCTCCTCTATTAGCGTACTTCTGACGTCAGAGATGAATGGTACCAATGCGCAGTGATAATAGAGCCGTCATAACACGGAAACAACACCGGAACAACGAGCTATTCCTACAAAATAAAAGCACCACTTACATCAAACACCAACAGTGTAATACTGTGTAAATCTAAATGCTTGTAAGGATACTGAAACAAGTATTCTTTATGGTGATTTTTAATAACAACATTGACTTGACAAGTCTGGATATACACTTCTTCTAAAGATTGTATAAACCGGATTAAATTACAGTGATTAAAACAAACAAACAAACAAACAAAAAAATGCTGATGCAGGCAGCCAAAATCTTCTAGAAAAGCTTCCTCTATGACACTAAAACCGAAAAATTTTGCTCACTGCAGCAAATTTTACGAGATACATCCAGTTAAGGTCTTTAATGTCTTATAATAAAGTTTTTATGTGGAGTTATTGGGACAGTGTGATTTACATTATGCCTAATGAGGTATTTATTGGTCTAATACACTCAGTAAGATCTGAGTTTTTTTGCAATGTAATTATTATACATGCTAAAATGTTAATCATCGTCACGGTCCGAGTGAAAGCTTCAGCAGCGACAGTGGGTCAAGTAGTTTTTTTAATGGGGATTTTATTGACTACTTTTTAAAGCCAAAGATCAAGTGAACTTGAAAATATATATACAAGTTCTAAAACTAGTGTTGAATACACTGTTAAATCAATTAATCATCAAAATTTATTTTTAAAGCACTTTCCATACATAGAATCAAAGTGCTGTCTATTTGCACAGGATATTAAAAAAACAATAAAATAAAATAAATAAAAATACTATGCTATGGTTGCTATGGTTATGTGCCTTCTGCTGTGCAATGTGCACTGAACATCCAAAGCGCAGGTAGTTGTGGGTCAAAACAATGTCACAGAAAAGGACATATCCTTCAGGAGCAGAGAAAAGAAAGAGGAAGAGAAAGATATAGGTATGTTTGCATATCATGTAATATTAATCAAAGAGATTTTTGAAGATGTGTGAATGATCAACAACCAATATTACTGGCAGAAATAGAGGGCCCTAAAATCAAAATTTGGCTAAGGGCCCGATTGAGGCCTGCTGCTCCCAACCCCAATTTAACACATACAGCACTCACACTCTCTCACACACACAGATGCATTCACACAAGATCAAGTTAGGACTCTTCAACTTGCCATAGATGACTGAGGAAACCTTCTTGAGTTAAAAAAAAAAAAAAAAAGATGAGGAAACACTGGATCTAGGACTAAAACAATAAAACCAAGATAAGAATAATAAAGGTGATAAAGAGTTAAAAGTTTATTAAATAAAAAAGTCTTAAAGTCAAACAATAACAGAAAGAAAGGTAATAAAACACAAAATAGTTACTCTAGGACTAAAATAGGGAAAAAAATCAATATGACCTTCCAAAATAAGTCAAATGTCAACATAGTCGCTCAGTAGTGGCACAGTTTGATTTTTTTATCCTTACAAGATTTATAAATACATGACATTAAAAACAGAATGAGCTATATTTTGTTGTAAAAGTTTGTATTGTTGAAGTATTTACAATAGTCGGCTTTTATTCTGAAAGGTCGTATTCCTGTCATTCTGCTGCCGCTGCATCTTGACGCAGTTCGAAAGCGCAAGATACAGAAAGAGGGAGGTTGAGTTGACAGTGTGACAGACTACACGGGGACTCATTCGAACAATCGTCGGTCGGTCAGCTGTCAGTCGGTGTCGAGAGTGGGACTTACACGCCGAGAGATTTCGACCTTGTTCGGACCCGCAGTTTACCGCTCAGAGCCCCGCACTCTCCCGCAGTTTTAAAGGGAACGGATAGGACGAGTGGCGCTGCTTCAGATTCCTTCTTAGGTAAGTAGGACTGGTGTTGTAGTGCATGCAGGCGGATGGTGTGGGCCCGCGAAGTGAAATGTGTCAACTTACCTGCGTTCAGTTAGATTTCACCAGGGTACTTTACTCCAATGCGCATCCATTGAGTTGCGTTACATCGCGATATGTCTGTTTGAACAGCATCATGTGTGTAGTGTTGGCGCAGGCTGGTCTGCACGGTCATGTTATTGTGGATGCGGCCAGCAGGCATGTTGACAGAAGAGGGGGTACCCATATGTGCAGCAGCGCCTATGCAGAGAAAACAGAGCTGGTGTAGTATGGTCACCATCACTGCATGGACACTGTTCAAGGACTGCCAGACCTTTAAAGACTCACTGTATTAGTGTTTCTCCATTTAGTTTAGTTTGGATACTTCATGTCATAGGGTTACAGTGCCTGCCTGATGGTAACTTAATTGTGTTTCAGCAAAAGATGTGGATAAACAATACACTTGTCTATCAATTAAGTACTATATAAAAATAATGTAGGCCCAGGGGTCCCTATAGGCCGGTATAGAATCCTGAGATTTACAGCTGTGCAGACAGTAAACACAAATGTTCTTGCTTTCCCTCAACTATTTGCTTTTTTAAGGTAATATAAGTTTGGTATAATTATCTGTGAGCATTTGACGACTGGAAACATAGTGTTTTTGTGTCTTTACACATGAATTGTTAGATTTTAAGTGGCTCACCCCTGTGCTTGTTAACTCACCTCAGTGGGCTTATTTTAACTGAGCGATTGATTCTTCAGTGATTCTAATCTAACCAAAAGCTTGATAACTATTACAGCCCAGGCTATCAGAGTGGAGCAGTTATCATAACAGGTCCTTGACCTATTGTATGCTTTTGTGCCCACAGGCGCGCGCACACACACACACACACACACACACTACTTCCACGTAACTGAACACACCCACAGCACCTTGAACAGTTACACAACCAGCCCTAGAGTGATCATGACTCTGGTGTGACATGCCCTGAGGTGCTCTGGCCATGTAATCTAAATACCAAACAGGTTTTTTTCATGCCAAGTGCAGTTTTTAAACCAGTATTTTTACATTTTCCCTTAAAGCAATCAAGTGTTCACACTCTTGAGTTTAAAAAGGAGGTCTAGATTTAAACTAGCAGATCCTAGTTTGACCCAGCTCAGGCCAGAGCCCACTTTGGTCTCACCTAACCTGCCCTAACACCCGTACCAGAGAGCCAGAGCTGTCTCAGGAACGTGCTATCTGTATGTTTATGTCCCCTGTCACAGCTGTAGTATTTTGGAAATATACACCTACAAAGGTTACCCATAGGAAAAGAGTTTGGCAACGCTGAGCTTACTTTAGTGGCATAGCATGCAGGAGAGTGAGACGGACTGAGATGTCAGCATCCTATTATAAGAAAAGTGACTCACTCTTTTTTCACAGACACAGTCCTCTAACTGAAGATCATTTAAATCGGTGGCCTTTTCTTTTTCATTCACCCACCGGTGTCTGGTTGTGCTGGTAGGTGTGTTCCATGGCAACAGCTATTTGGTTTCTTGATGTCTCAGTGATTCCAGGTGAGCAGGACACACCTAGGTGAGGACTGCCGGGCTGGAATGTTCTGTGCCCATGGATTGTGGGTTTTTTTTTTCTTTTCCTTTTTCCTTTTCTCTGTGCTGTTGGCACGCAGGTAGATTCCTGGAAGAGGAATGCCATGCCTCCCCTGAAGGTGTTGTTTCATAATCAGGGCTGTGTGAAGTAACGTACAGAGTGACGACAGTAGTGTGTGGTGAAGAGCAGAGGGTTAGACATGTGAGTGCTGTGACATTGAAATGAAGTAGCGTATAGTTTCTTCAACTCAAGGGGGAGAAAAAAATCTTATGATCTGACTTTGATGATGAAAAAAGGAGACTGCAAAATCTCTGGATGATACTAAAGTTTACTCAGAAAAGCTGAGAAAAGTGCAGCTCGATTTATTGATTAAAAGACTGATAAATATTACTCAAAGATAGATTTGGCAGACACAGTCATAGTTGGTGTCAATTTGTATGGAACATTGTGAACTAGAGAACCAATCTGTAAATAAATAAAGTGTTGTTACTTATCAGGACTAAAACTTTGAGCTGTGAATCTTCAAACTGTATAAAGATGTTGTCTGAGTTCTATTTTGGTTTGAAAACTTTGTTTTCCACTTGAAAGTTGGAGCATTTCTTTCGTGTTTAATGAATACAGTATGTGCCAATGTGTCCTCTGTCGTGACACAAGTTGGCCCAGTGGTTCTGGATTTAACAATGAATGCCAGATCAGATGAACCACAAATTTTTTCCAAGACCGAAATATCTCTCCGGTTAGCCACAGTTTCATGGTATTTTGTTTGAAATAGTTTCCTCCTCTGGATGAACTTTGGTGAAAGATCAAAAAGATACAGCACCTCCGTTCAATAACAAATTCCTTGAAATATCCATGAGCTTTGCTGCTGTCTTTTTGTTCCTACTACCATGTTTAGTGTGCTAACACATGGAACTATAACATTTCTTTACACATAATTGAAGCAACTTTGACTTGACAAGTCTGGATATACACTTCTTTTAAAGATAGTATAAGCCAGAAAGTTATGACTTCATTTACAGTGATTAAAAAGAAATAAAAAATGCTGATGCAGGCAGCCAAAATCTTCTCAAAAACCTTCCTCTATGACACTCAACCTGACAATTTTGCTCACTGCAGCTATTTTTATGAGATATATTCAATTAAACTCTTTAATGTCTTAAAATAAAGTTATTATGTGAACTTATTGGGACAGTTTGATTTACATTAAGTCTAATGAGGTATTTATCGGTCTAATACACTCAGTAAGATCTGAGTTCTTTTGCAATGTAACTATTATGCATGCTAAAATGCTGAACATCATCATTGTCTGAGTAAGGGCTTCAGCAGTGACAGTGGGTCAAATTATTTAATGATGCACTCACACGCAGAGAACGCAGCCTGAAGCATAGCGGTCAATCAGACTCATTCGTGACTCAGGGTTTGGGGTTTAGCAGGATTCCCTCCATAGCAGTGAATCAGTTTATTGATGTGCTACATTGCCAATATGAGCAAGTGAAGATTGATTCCCTCTCTCTTGTTGTACCGTTTTCATTCCCAGATTCTCCAGAGGATGGGACTGAATTGAGAAGAGCACTATCATCGCAGACGGAAAAATCTCTCCAACAGTTTTCTTTGACTGTCGTCTGAATCTTTGAGATAAAAAGACCAATAAGTGGGTCTGGGGGGGGAACTGAACTACCTAACTTCAGCCTTCTTCATTGGACATGGAGGACTGATCAGAAACCAGCCGGCACGAAGAGGAGACTCCTCCTTCCCTGTTCAGCAAAGGCAATGGCGGGGCTTAAACGTCATCATGACGGAAAGATCGCCGGGCTCTATGATCTGGACAAGACATTGGGGCGGGGACATTTCGCTGTGGTCAAATTAGCGCGGCATGTTTTCACTGGAGAGAAGGTATGCTCGTCTGTGTCTGTGCATGCAGTGGAATGTTCTGATGCAAGTGATTAAATTTCCTCCTTTCCGAATTGCTTTTATGGTTGTCAGCCTCACCCTACCACACAGACATACCAAAAATGTCTGACTAGTTCCACATAGTAATTTGAGTCATGTCTCAAACGTGAACCAGAGGATTAATATCAACATTTAGTGTTGATCTTGGCCCTTGTGGTTGGTTTAGCATCACATGATGAGCCTAGTGTTGCTTCTAGACATGTTTGAAACTTGACTTGAGTAACAGCTATTGTTCGTGGTATCATTCTTTGGCAATCGTATCATCTTTATCACGTGCACTTCCGATCAGTTTACAGTATGGAAAACTTTTAATCGCCCTCATTATGTTGCTCCTCCAGGTTGCTGTAAAGGTGATAGACAAGACTAAGCTAGACCCAGTGGCACGGGGGCATCTTTTCCAGGAGGTGCGATGCATGAAGATGGTGCAGCACCCTAACGTGGTGCGCCTGTATGAAGTCATTGACACAGCCACTAAGCTATACCTCATCCTGGAGCTGGGAGATGGAGGAGACATGTATGACTGCATCATGAAGCACGAAGGAGGCCTCAGTGAAGAGGTGAGTGGCTGATGGAGAAAAGAGAGGGCATTGAGAAACGACTAGCTAGGTTTGATCAAAGGTGACAAAACCTGCCAATCAACACCTCCTGCTTCTTGTCTCAATGACTTCCAGTGGGTTTTAATGCTGCGTTTGAGTTACCTCGAAAGTCAGATATCCGAGATGGGAATGACGCTGCACCTGTTTTTACCAGCGTTTGAGTTACCAAGTCGGAAAAAAGCTACGAAAGTTATTTTAACTCGGGTGTGACGTCATTCCCAGCTCGGACATCAACGCGGCATAATTGCTTAAAGTACAAAAATATCTAACTGGTTAATGTCACAATGACTTAACATTGTTCCTGACTTCTTTTTTAAGGTGGCCAAGTGTTACTTTGCCCAAATTGTCCACGCCATCTCCTACTGCCACCGACTGCATGTGGTGCACAGGGACCTAAAGCCGGAGAATGTGGTGTTTTTTGAAAAGCAAGGGGTCGTCAAGCTGACCGACTTTGGCTTCAGTAACCGGTTTCAGCCCGGGAAAACGCTCAACACCTCGTGCGGCTCACTGGCCTACTCTGCTCCTGAAATACTGCTGGGGGACGAGTATGACGCTCCTGCTGTCGGTAAGTCCAGTTGACCCTCAAAGAGAACATATATCTGCTGATAATTTTGTCAGGTGGTTGTTTCAGCTAAGAACTTAAATGGAGCACCTTCTCAGTCCAGTGTGTACAGCTTGTCTTGTACTCAGCCTGGTTTAGTGATGCTGCTCTTAGATTCACATGCTCATTATCTGCTGATATGACCTACTGATATCACTGTCTATACTTTGACCGCATTACATGACCTAGTGGACTTTGGATGGACCCCACAGACAGCATGACGCACATGCAGCTTTATCAGACTGTAGAGGAGGGAGTGCTGAAAGCTCAGCATGTTTAGAGCACTTTAGAAATTAGACTAGAATTTGAATTAGAATACAATAATTGCACCTTCCCCTTAATTTGACTACTGTCTGCAGCTGAGTTCATCAACATTTACAACTGTCTGGCGGTGAATAAAAAAATCTGGCTCCAAATCAGGCTAAAGTGGGTTCCTTCAGCCTAATCAGCACTTCCTTCCTTTAAGCAGTGCCCATGATTGTCCCTCTGTTTCCCCCAGCCAAAAATGGACCAGTGCCTACTTAAGTCACTGCTTAGTTATGAAATTAAAAAGCAATAGAAGAAGAAATAAAAGAATATTGCTGATACGAGGGTAGAGGGAGAGGTAAAGAAGCGTAAAAAAGGACAAGAGAAAAGGGAGGGAAAAAAAAAGCATGAAGAGGCTCGTCTGTTTACCCAGAGGGCACTGCGTCAGAGCAAGGGAAGAGCATTTTCTGTTTTTCTGACTGAATGGATTCGCCGTGGCTATTTTCTTCTGCTTGCCTTCACTCTGCCTCTGTCTCTTTTGTGCCAAGCAGATGAGCTGCTCAAAGATACTGAAAAAGAGTAATGATAGTCTCTGTAATTTGGCTGCATGTGTTGGATTGGATGGCTTTGTGAGTGGCTGCACATGTGAGGTCAGTTGTCCTGTAAAGCCTGTCTGACCCAGATGATGAATCAGACATTTGTGGACATTTTCAGCGTGTGTGTGTGTGTGTTTGTGTGTGTTCCCCCCTCTGGAGTGTTGGTACCGCCTGTCTGCTATTGTTCATTCAGCTGAGATGATGATGTTTTGATTGCGTGGATTATCCGCCCAGTCGGGATGTAATGTTGTGCGATTCTATCAGCATAGTTTGATGTGGAGCAGGATGAATGCAGGCCAGAAGTCTTGACGTGTGGGACTCCGAGGTAACATGGCCTGGGATCTGAGTGCTGCCAAGGTACCTGCTGACAGTCTGTATGTAGGGTGTTGAAGTTTGCTGATGATGTGCCAGGTGGCTGCCATCCCAGTTTATCACAGAGATAAAGAGGCTGTCCACACTCTGCCTTCTCAAGTGGAGCTTGTTTGGAGTTGTTATCTCTTTTTAGGTAGGGCTGGGGATAATTTTAGATGAAAAGTGATCAAAAATAGAGAAATGCTGCATCAGAAGTCAGTCCTACAGCTGACAGAAGGAGGGAATAAAACGCCAAATTACAAGAGAAGAAGAAAAGGCTCAATTACGTTGTTAATCAAAGAGGTCAAAAGGTCTTTCCAGGAGGATTACTTCACGCATTAATCATTAACTCAAATACAACAAAGGGATGCACAATATTGGATCTTTTTGTTGATATTTGATTTGGTCGATACTAATACCAAGTGTAAACATTCACGTTATTTGCATTGTGATGAACACCAAGTCTCACACATGATCTGGTCCTGTCATCTTGACAAGTCTGTTAGTTTTCAAAAGATGCATAAAACAAGACAAACAACATTTGATTCTATAAATACGAAGGACACATCATATTATCGGCAAAGTAATGTTATCAACAGCAGGTATAAGAAATTTCTGTGCGTCCCCAATAAATGATCAATTGTTCCTTTAGTGCTGTTCAGGATGATGGTTCTTGAGATGCTGTTTTGTTTCTCATTTCACTTGTGCGACATGAAAAACAGAACATGCAGCCGACATGTTGAAGCGCGTTGTTGGCAGGGCCACAATGTCTTTGGGAACCCATAATTAACACACCACTTTATTGGCTGTACATGTCAGTAATAATATTCACGTGTTCCACTCCTGATAGTTCACTTTTAAGGTTATTGTCTGCCAATAACGTGTACGATGCTGATAATATTGTGCAATCCTTGATGTTTGGTGTCTGTATGGTGGCCCTGAAGTTCAAAAACACAACACATCACAAGAAACGATGACAAATTACAAGACATAACAAATCAGAAATCACATGCTCTTATTTGTCATTTATTTTCTATTTATATTTATGTACGTCATTAACTGGTCCTTTCTGAAAGTTATGTTTCTTATTGTTTTTGTTATTGTTAGTCCTTTCTTTCTTCCTTCTCTTCTCGTTGTCCTTTAAAATTAATGCAGGTGCATTCATACAGAGGGTGAACATTGTACAATCATAGTTACTATTATCATTATTGATTATTTTTATTACTATTATCATGATTATTAATATTATTATATAATATTATGATATATATGTAAATCATTAGTGTAGGAGAAGGGGTTGGACTAAGTTCCGACTTCACCCCACTCCTTTTTGAACATGGATAACTTTTTATCATTTATTGTTGTATTCTTTATTTTTTATTATAATTTTTTATATGTCTAAAAAAATAAACTTCAATCAATCATTAATCACAACATCCAATGACACAACAAATAGAAGACACTACAGGAAATTAGAAAACACAGCACTTTTAACCTGGATCAGAGAAGGCGACAGGAGTTGTCACTGATTGGACAAACTCGCTGTCCTTCTGGATGTTAATGTTGTGTTTTGGGATCTGTTATTTTGTTTGGGTATTAGTATTCATGATTTTTCATAGTGTTGTATGATTTGTTGTTTTTTCCTAGTCTTTGTACTTTTGGATTTTTGTGTTTGTGATTTGTTGTGCTTCCTCAGCGGTATTGTGTCTTATGATTTCTTGTTTTCTTATTTGTTGTTGTGTAAAACACTCCAGGGCAACTGCAGGTATCAGGACTCAATCTAAGACATGAAAATGACTCTCATTATTGTTAATGTGCTAGTTTTGTAATGTGTTTGTCTGTGACATCAAAAATTGTGATAGCAATTGTGATGAAAAGTACAGATCATTTACCCAGTTTCCCAGTTTCCCTTGTGGCATCTTTGGCTTATTTATTGTCGGAGAACGCCTCTGGTGTATGGATTAAATGCTGAGGGAAAACTGAGGGTAAACCAAAGGATTTCTGTGGAAAATAAGACAGCGAAAATGTGTGAAATTTGGATCTCACACAAGCAATTAAAAAAAAAAAACAGCATAGTGCAAGCATGTTTGTAAAACTGTAGGAGTAGATGATTACCTAATAAGTGCTATGAAAAGATGCCAGCCTTCTTTTTGCTTTTTGATGTTATGCAGCATGTGGGCTCTCTCCTTTTTGTCTCCAGTAAATGGAAAGTTAAATATAGATTTCTTCTTCCTCTTCAAGAAGCACAAGCTGCACTTCAAAAAGAAAAAAAAAATTACTCACTTAATAGCAATTACACAGAACATATCCCAGGCACATGCATAATTCAAAGCATATCTGTGCATAATTAACCTGACCAAGTGGAGGATCTTTTTGAAAACATGTTACATAATAATCAGCAGGACAGGATGCTGAACTTGGCGGATCAGCCCAGGGGTTAACCGCGTTGAGACACATGATGGGAGTGGTTGTTGGTTTTGTCAGGGAAACAATGGCTGTTAAAATGTAATTCAGAACAGAGGAAAAGGATGTTTACACTCGCAGCTGTCACCAAGTAGCCAGTGTTGTTGGTTTAGGGGATGCATATGTGCAGTAATGTGAACTCTGTAATTCAGAGATGTGTCAACCATCTGGGTTATAAATAAAGTTATTGAGGAAGGAAGTTTGGCGGACGGCTGACGCACGTAATAAGGGAGCAGGGTCATGGTTGCTAGGATACGTTGGCTGGGGGGTAAGATGGTGGTGGGGACTGCAGCAGAGTTTGCTCCCTCCATCAGCAGCATGAGACGCTCCTTCACAGCCTCAGAGCAATAAATACTCACCACCCACAGTAAACTGGCACATTCACCTTACTAGATAGAAATCTCCAACATATCCTGGCAAACTGCTGTCATATGAAGACATATCCCAAGGGTTTTGGGAGGATTAACCCACTTAGGCTCACCATGTCTTTACCGAAGACAGAGAGAGAGTTACACAACAGAGGGTTTGTTCTGCTAGGAATTAATATGTCTATTTCTCAGTCCTTAGAGAAAAGTCATCTGCTTCACAGGGTGTGCACTGGATTATTTTTTCAGTCTTATATTTTCTGGTTAGAAATTATGTTTAGCCTGTGCACCCTGAGCAGCATAGCCGAAAAGCTTAATCAACACAAAATCTATGAGACAAACTCACACAGCTAGAGGAGTGATCTTTGTGTACAAGAGAAGACACGTAGTACTTAAACTCCAAGAGTAAAGACTCGCATATTAGCTGAACTTACCGGTGTATTTCTATAAATAATCAGTCTAGGATACACGTGATGGCTAATGTGCAGACTGTGTGATATTGAAGTGTTTTCCATAACAAAGCATTAGAGATGTGGCAGGATCTGCACTTTTTAATCTTATGGAGCTTTTTAGCATCATTTAGCTCCAGGTTTAGCGTTTTGGTTTCTCTGCCTACCGTCTTTAACCTACATTCAGAGCAGGTAGCTGATAGCTTTAATTTTTAAGACACAGAAAACTTGAGAATATCTTACTACCTAGCACTAGATGACATTCAAATGGAAGAAGTTACTGGCTAACAAGAAGCACACCTATGATAGCTGTTGTTGCTTGGTCTGATTTGTTCAACATTTGCTAACATGCTAGCTACAAGTCTGAAGAAGTTACTAGCTAATGGAAGAAGTTATTATCTAACAAGAAGTACTTTTATGATGGCTATTGTTGCTCGGTCTGATCTGTTCAACATTTGCTAACATGCTAGCTACAAGTCTGAAGAAGTTACTAGCTAATGGAAGAAGTTATTAGCTAACAAGAAGTACTTTTATGATGGCTATTGTTGCTCGGTCTGATCTGTTAGACATTTGCTAACATGCTAGCTACAAGTCTGAAGAAGTTACTAGCTAACAAGAAGCACACTTATGATAGCTTTAGATGCTCAGTCTGATTTGTTCAACAATTGCTAACATGCTAGCTACAAGTCTGAAGAAGTTACTAGCTAATAGAAGAAGTTACTAGCTAACAAGAAGTACTTTTATGATGGCTGTTGTTGCTCTGTCTGATTTGTTCAACATTTGCTAACATGCTAGCTACAAGTCTTTGAAGAAGTTACTAGCTAATGGAAGAAGTTACTAGCTAACAAGAAGTAGTAACAAGAAGCTGTTGTTGTTGCTTGGTCTGATTTGTTCAACATTTGCTAACATGCTAGCTACAAGTCTGAAGAAGTTACCAGCTAATGGAAGAAGTTGTTAGCTAAAAAGAAGTACTTTTATGATGGCTGTTGCTGTTGCTCGGTCTGATTTGTTCAACATTTGCTAACATGCTAGCTACAAGTCTGAAGAAGTTACTAGCTAATGGAAGAAGTTATTAGCTAACAAGAAGTACTTTTATGATGGCTATTGTTGCTTGGTCTGATCTGTTCAACATTTGCTAACATGCTAGCTACAAGTCTGAAGAAGTTACTAGCTAATGGAAGAAGTTATTAGCTAACAAGAAGTACTTTTATGATGGCTATTGTTGCTCGGTCTAATTTGTTCAACATTTGCTAACATGCTAGCTACAAGTTTTTAAAGAAGTTACTAGCTAATGGAAGAAGTTACTAGCTAACAAGAAGTACACTTATGATAGCTGTTGATGCTCGGTCTGATTTGTTTAACAATTGCTTACATGCTAGCTACAAGTCTTTAAAGAAGTTACCAGCTAATGGAAGAAGTTACTAGCGAACAAGAACTACTTTTATGATAGCTTTTTTTTTTTCGGTCTGATTTGTTCAACATTTGCTAACATGCTAGCTACAAGTCTTTGAAGAAGTTACTAGCTAATGGAAGAAGTTACTAGCTAACAAGAAGTACTTTTATGATAGCTGTTGTTGCAGGGTCTTATTTGTTTAACATTTGCTAACATGCTAGCTTCAAGTCTTCAAGGCTTAATGTCATTCTCGTGTTTAAAGTTTGTTTTGCTGCTCCAAAGTGGCAAAAAATACAACAGAACATGGTACTGTGGGGTTTGTTAACATTTATGCTCCTCACAAGGATAAAGGAGGATTTAACTGGTATATGATTTGGTATTTATATATTTATGGTATAAGCCAGAGCAGGGTCAATGTGTCTGCCTGAGATTAGTGTCTATGAAGAGCTGGTATAGCATGCTCAGTCATTAGTGTGTGTCAGTAGGTGAATATGACATGTTGTGTAAAAGCCATTCGAGAGGTCAAAAGACAGGAGCGCTATTCAAGTACAACCATATTTATCTGTATTGGTTCTTATTTTTTATTATTATGTGAATATTATTTGAAGATCTTGCAGTTTTTTTCAAAGGGTCAGCATTCTGCCAGAGAAACTGCCAAGATAAGATAAGATAAGATAAGGTATTACCTTTCAGCTGCTGTAAATTCCAAGATTACAGCGGCATAAATACAAATACAAAAGAGAAATTAAAGGATAAAGAAACTTAGACTCAAAAAAGGAAAAACTGCGCTGTCCCCATCTCTGACCTCTTAGCCAGACAGCTGAATGTGTGTCAGTGGACCATTCTGCAGACCAGAGCGCCAAGAGCATAAAGTTGCTCCTTTAAAACGGCTAATCGGACCAAGAGTAGTGCTCCATGAAATTAGCATTTGTATGAAGCATTGAGGGATGAACATGTTAACCCACTTTCTGAGGACTGAGTGTTTCTGTGGGAGTGCATGCGTGCGTGTTTGCGAGGACGACGCTCGCGGCGGCTGCGGCGCAGAGCTTCATCTCCGGTCTGATAGATGTGCATATTTACAGAAATGACTCTGATCGAGTGTTATTCATGCTTCATTTGAACCAGGGGGGCTAGACAGCTCTTTTATCTAGGTCACTAGGCAGAAACAACATATGTGTTACACTGTCATCTGTCATGTTGTCTCTTATTCCTGTTGTGGTCCCCCTTGAAACATGCAAACTTTTTCTCTGAGTGTGCATTTAGGGGTTTTTGGTATTAACTGAATGCTCTCTCTCTGTGCCGCTGCAGATATCTGGAGTCTGGGGGTGATCCTGTACATGCTGGTGTGCGGACAACCCCCCTTCCAGGAGGCGAACGACAGCGAGACACTAACCATGATCATGGACTGTAAATACACAGTGCCTCCACATATCTCCAACGAATGCCGAGAGTAAGTAGCACGTACGCACATACCCACACAGATGGACAGAGTACTCTGCGGATACTGCATATTTCATGTTTATAGATGTGTGAAGACAAGAGACCGAAGAGAGAGGAGCGGCCTCTCTCCTGCTCCTCCTCGTTGTCCTGCTTTCACTCGCTGCAGCAGTCAGCTGCTTCACCAGAGATGCAGTGCAGCGTTAAGTGTATCTAATGCACCCTTTAAAATCAGCCCTCTATTTTTAACATTGTGAGGGTTTAACGATGCGTCAAAGCAGAGCGGGGCAAAATAGGTGCTGGGAACATTTTGGATGGCTTCGGATTTAAAAGCACATTGTTCCTGCACATGATTTCATTATTACATGTTGTCTAGCACACACATAATACTTTAGATACTGACACTCATCCTCGCTGACTCACCCCTGCAGCCTTCAGGAAACAGTGCTACTTCTTATTTTGTGCAAAGTGTTTTGCAAGAGGGGTCAATTATGCTATGCCTGTCATAGCTAGACTGCAAGGATTAATGTAAGAGGCCATAGCTTGTTTGCAGGGTTCGTTTGATGTTAAGTTTGGACTTAAAAGTATAAGAACAATGCTGCTGATATGAACTAAGAGGGTGAATGTACATTTATATTACATCTCGTCATGTTTGCAGAGTTGTTGGTGGATAAACAAACAGTTGTAAGCACAAAAAAGTGTGTGTTTTGTAACATCTTTTTCCATCATTGGAGGTAGAGGGCAGCATAGAGGCAATAAAGAGTAATTCTGTTTATTTATTACACATTTCTTTTCTGCTTACCTTTAGATCAGGCAGGTATTTACCTGTTTTGTACATGCTACCAGTCAAAGACTCAATTATCAGATGACTGTTACCAGATGACTTAAACATCCGATAACATAAATAGATGTTTACATAACAGACATTGTTGTTGTTTCTGGTTTGATAAAATCTTCATTTTCTTCACTTTTGTGACAGTTTTTAATGGGCGTTGTATATCAAAAGCCAGGAGAGATGGGGCATGAAACAGGTCCATTCAGATCATTTGATAAGTTGTCAATAAACGAGCCATTTAGCCAATTAATCTCAGCCACAGTTTGGAAATAAAACTGAAAGTAAGCACAATGAAGTTTAGTGAAGTTTTATGATCCTTAATTTCATAAGAAGGGAATCACAGTGAGCCCACTAGGTCATAGTTCAAGTCCTATTCAGTCGGCAAACTACAGTGAAATGTGATAACATATCATTTGGCTAATCATTACCACTTGTCTTGACTTTCTATTTCAGACAAGTTTGGCTAACCCTGAGTTTATGTACAACCTCTCTGCATGTCTGACTGCCCTCATTTCTGCTCTGACTGACTTATTTTGGAGACGATGCCCCTCTAGGTTTTCAGAAATGAATACAATACTGTTGCTATTTCTGGTACCAAGTGAAAAAAAGGCAAAATAAGGAATGAGGAGAACCTTGTGATGCTTCTGATTGCCTCCCCATGATATGAAATATGTGGTTATGTAATGACAGCTCGAGAATATTGTTCTGTATCTAAATATAAATAGAGTATTGGTCAGATGTTCCTGTAGTTCTTGCATAACCCTGGTTTCTGTGACTTCCTCCAGTCTCATAGCTCACATGCTGCAGAGGGATCCCAAGAGACGAGCAACATTAGAGGAGATAGGGGGCCACGAATGGCTTCAAGGTGTGGACCCCTCCCCTGCCACCAAGCTGTCCACCCCTCTGGTATCCCATCGCAGCCTGTCTGAGGAGGAGCACGGCTCTATCATCCAGCGTATGGTGCTCGGGGGCATTGCAGACAGAGACACCATAACTGAGTATGTGTACCTCCATGTGACACACACACGCATGAACTAACAAGCAGCTATTCTTTCCTGTGTAATCTAAAAAAAAGCCACAGTCCACTTGTCCGGCTTCAGGGTAATTGAGTGCCGTCAGCAGTTTAATTGCCATTAACAGCCAGCTGGCAGTCAGTCTTGAGCCGTTGCCATGTCAAATTAAATCTTCACCCTCGTCACTTCCTTTTGACTCGCAGTCCTGGATCGTCCTGATCTGTGTGTTCATGTGTCCTCAACTGTGGGTATGTCTCTGTGAACTTGTGTGTGCTCTGGAATTTAAACTGATGCACTCTGTGTCCTCTCAGGGCTCTGGAGTCAAATCAGTACAACCACATCACAGCGACGTACTTCCTGCTGGCTGAGAGAATGCTGAGGGAGAGGCAAGAGAAGGAGCAGCACAGTCAGACGCGATCACCCAGCCCAAGCAAGGCCCAATTCAGGTACATTCAGTCACACACATGCACACACAGACCTCTCTGGAGATAGACAGAATGCTGCCTCTGCAGGGCCTCATACTGTCAGTTTACAGAAGAAATTTTGACAGCAAATGGACAGTCAGGGCGTTTTTTCAGCAGGGACTAGAAGACGGACTGAGAATAGAGGATGAAGGTCGGCAGCATTATCATGAAAATCCTGTGAAAAATATTTTGAAAGCAGATAACAACATTTATTTTATTACTTTAAACCTTTAAAGAAAACGGCCAAGAGTTTGAAACACAGGCTTTTGCCATTTAACTAGAAAATAGAATCAAAACAGGACAAGAGAAAAACTTTAAACTACTTTTCTCAGGAACTACTTTACATCCAACCAAGCAGGTATCTGATGAACTTCTTCAGAATTACTGAATACAGAACAAATATAATAATAGGATTCTCGCCGTCTGCTGTGTTTTCTGTGGCCCACCGCCACCTTATCGTCAGTCGACACTGTGAAATGCTCTGCTCAAGGTAGATAAGGTGGGAAAAGAGAGGGTTAATCTTGACAGAGTATGGTGAAGTAATGTTCTTTTTGTAAAGCACCTTGAGATAACACTTGCACATAATTGGCGTTATGTCATTATTACTTTTTTTAATTTAATTGTTATTTTTTTTATTTTGGTGATATCAGACAGAACAAGAAAAGTGAGTAAACATATAACAACTACAAAATAAAAAAAGGATTTACAAACATACAAACAGGTTAACGCCTGTTTATTAAGTAATGTTTTACGCGTTAGGTTGATTAAGATTGATCGATTTTGATTGATTGGTCGATTTATAGAAAGGTGTATGTATGGATGATATCTCTTAACTATTTTGTTGACAGTTATTTTGAGTCACACAGATTCACTGGTCAAATCTCCAGCAGCATCTTCAGCACTTATTTTGATCACAATGAATAGAATATAAAAGTGAAATGGGATTTTTTTAAGCATTTAAAAATGACAGCTCAGTCAATTTTTCACATTTGTTCAGGTGTAAGTTATTCATACAGAATATAAGATGTTTCTCTCAGGTAAAAGAAATGGAAAAATCTAAATTCCTTTTAGTTTAGCATCAAGAGTTTGATACCACTACTTTCTGTCTGTTTAGTGGTTATGAAGCTAAAAGGCAGCATCCAGTTAGCCTGGTTACAGCATAGAGACCAGAAACAAAGCCAGGGGTTTTAGAATAGTGGCCTAAAGTAGAGCTGGACGATAAACCAGAATTTTACTGATACCGAAATTTGGATATAACCGACGCTATTTTGCCCAAGTCAGAAAAATAAATAAATGAAAGTTGGTTTTGGATGTGTGTAGGTAGGCTATGGTCTCATGACCCTTTGAGACACTGTCCTATGTCAGAGACTCCACTCCATCCAGTCCGTAACAAAGAGGGAAAGACAGGTGAAGAGATGGAGGACGGTTCAAAAGTTGTAGCGGCTGGAGTGGCGGCTGAAGTAGACGAAGTTAATGTGGGAGGGGGTGAGCAGCATGTGGAGTAGTTATCGTCCATTTATCGTTATTGAGGTGAACTGCTCAATATATCGTGATATTGATTTGATATCGCCCAGCCCTAGCCTAAGTGGAAAATTAAATGAGGTTGCACTACTGTACACATTTGTTTTATTTTTCTTTGTGAGACATACAAACATTTACACAAACAATGATAGTTAATTATGGACCTTGATCATCAAATTTTTTCCACAGCGTGGTACAGAACCAAGCCTCATCTGTATGCTAAGCTTGTCTTGCCCTCAGGAGAATTTCATTCAAGACAATCTCAGACAATTATCAGCAGACAGCATTAGCACATTGCACACATATCTGCAGACTGCTCTCTTTATCCCGCGTCCATTCTTACATCAAATGGCCTCACAAGCATGTGAGCAATGACAGTTGCCGCTCCTATTTGAGCTAACTTGTCCCCGGGCAGCGGTGCTTTGGATTCCACCGCTTCACTAGTTGAAGGATAGTGGTTGGTGACTGGAATCATTTCTCTGACAATGCCAATCATGTGTTTGTGGGTTGAGCCTGTAAAAGGTGTGTTTGTGTGACTGATAAGGTCAAATATGTACAAACATGCTGCCAAAATGCTCACACACCTTCACCCATTGAAAAGAAAGCGTGGTTTCTTAGTCAGCAAATTAGCCGTATGATGGCGTCACGATATTTCAACACAGTATAGTAAAAGTTTTCCAGAGTACTTAAGTCTGTATTTTTTTAACCCTCACAGGCAGTCTTGGCCCACCAGAGTTGATGTTCACCAGGATGTCAGTGATGGCTTGGGAGGTCCAGCTATCTCCCACCCAGGGGGGCCACAGTCTCCTGCACGCAGCGCTGAGAGCCTCCACAAAGGTCCCAGGCCCAAAACCGCTCTGCTGGACGTCAGCCAACGGCAGGAGAACAACACCCTAGCACTCAGCCAGCAGCAGCCTGCTCGACAGAACCAGGAGAGGAGTCTCAGGCCTCTGGCAAAGCCCCACTCCAACCCCCTCAGGCTGGGCTCTCTCAACTCAGTGGGCCCCTGCAAACCACGGAGTCCTAGTCTTTTCAGCGTAGAGGAGGATGAGGAGGAAGAGGGAGGAGAAGACAAATTATCCCCCTCTACTCTGCCAGCTCAGGTGGTGCTTCGTTGCAAAGCCTCCGCCTCCCCTTCATCATCATCATCGTCTGTGTCTTCTTCTGCTAACCGGCTGACATCCCGTATGAGTGCTCCAGTACTTAACCAGATCCATGAGGAGGATAAAGAGGAAGAGGAAGAGGAGGAGCAAAGGGAGCTGAATGGACTGGGCCCGCCCAAACCCAGCCTTAGTCTCAATCTGAACTCTAGGATACCGTCTCCTTTAACACTCTCTTCTTCACCTAAAACTGTTTCTGGGATTAAAGCACCGGTTGCTGCTTTTACACCCAGTCCAGAGACCAGTGACGATGACACAGAAAGCCATAAACCAGACTCTGCAGCTGTAGCTGGACACGGGGAAGAGAGAGAGGGCAGGAGAGAAAATAGAGAGAAAACAGGGTCAGGGCAAGGAAGCCCCTCCAACTGTGCTAGTCCTGGATCAGGTTCAGGCCAAACCAAGGGCACACCTAAAGCTGCTAGCGGTCTAGTGGAAAGCTTAAAGCTAATGAGTCTTTGTCTGAGCTCCCAGTTTCATAACCTGAAGGGGGGAGGAGGGGGAGGTAGTGGGGGCAGCGCTAATGTCGTGGTCGGAGACACCCAGGATCGTCCAATGTGGAGGATGTGCATGGGTGGCTCCACCGGTAGCTTGGATAAGGTCTCCCTCCTAGGTGGCCCTTCGCCAAGGGGGAACCTGTACCACCCGCAGCCCCCACTGGGAGACGCACTTGCAGACCCGCTGCTGGAGGGACCCTGCACAGGCACCCTGAGGCTGGGAGAGCTGGACCTGGCTAGAGAGAATCACAGGAACATGAAGAACCGGGTGCTGCAGATGCCTTTGAGCGACAAGACTCTCTCCGTCAACATCCACCGAAGCCCGAAAGAGGGTCTGCTTTGCACCCCCACCCCACACAGCTGCTGCCAGGTCATCTAAAACGCAGACAGCTGCTCCATTTACTGCTGCACCTCCACACTCCTCCATCCTCAACCATACGTTCCTTATCATCTTGCTTTAGCCACTTACTCATGGGTTTGTTTGTTTGTTTTTTTTTCTTTGTATGCTGTTTCCTTTTGTTTTACACTCATGGTGGATAACTGGGAGAAAGTCCAATTGCCACCCTTGCACATTTAGAGACACAAAAAGTCTCCTGTTAATGGAGACTGGGTGCCAAGCCAAGTAAGTGAAGCACTTTCAGCAGATCAAACGGGACTCTAAAGGGGGACATTTTAACCTTGTGGTGTGTTTTAAAACGAGAGACATTAAGGATGGAAACAGGTAATATAACGGAGGTGCTCACATTCCCGCTCTTGAACACTCTTCTACTCAATGTACAGACTTTGTGCACGTCACACACACACCTTTATCACTTCCTGATAAGCTGATAAAATGGAAAAAGTGATGAGTGGGTAAGATTGAGTTTCAAGTTACCCGCCGTCGTCTTTTTGGTTGTACTTGATGCCATTTTTTTTATATCATTATTTTTTAAATTATTTTCTGACAATCGTTTTATCCGTTTTTTAAAATTCTGACTGAAAGAGTGAAGACTGCTTTCTTTCACACGAGGACTAATAACAGGGTGAACAATGGACAGCAGCACTTAAGTACGATGGCGGCACACAGTATATTGTAGTCGATCACTGTTTTATTTTTCTATCTCAAACATGCTCTGAAGACTTCAAGATAAAACGCACACTCACATGTCAACTCTCTGCGCTGTTGCACAGCAGTTTGTACATATGTGAATAACCTCCTAGCAGTACTCTGTACCTGTAGTATTGACGGTAAAGTTGTATTGCAGTAGAAACCTGAATACTAGATCCCTATTCACCATTATTGTTCCCTCCTACTGGATGTTCAAGGTTTTGGTTGAACCTCAGGCTTGAATTATGTTCTTTGAGTGATCCTTCATAGGTATACAGGCAGTGCTCGAAATGATTCAACTAAATGATTTGTAGGTGGAACTATAACTATGAACATCTAGTAGCTCTCCAGGATCACGGTAGCCACTGTTGTAGCGTATTCCAAAACAAAAACAACAACTAAGGGGTTTAGTAGAAAATAACATCACCCCATCAAGTATTGGTCTGTGTAACTGGATGTGTGACCCACCCCTAGTGGAATATATAACCTGACAGTGCATGTGTTTTGCTGTAGCAACCTTATTCTTATCCACTGAGGTCAATCCACCCGCTGTATCTACCTACGTAACAGATTCTAATGGTCACTTTACTGTAGCCTCACAGCAATACCAGCGACTGCAAAATGTACAACAAAAATGGATGTGCCATAAAATCTGTCTTGAGCATATTGTACTGTATGTATATGATAGAGATCTATTAAAATGAAATGATGTGAATGATATCAGGAGTCTGCTTCTTGACTTTTCTTCCTTTTTTACCAGGTAGATCCCCACTGAGCAGTAGACGGCTACTAGACGTCTACTTTGTTTTTTTGACCTAATTTCAACCGTTTAGGTTCTGTATATTTTTAGACGGAGCTCAGACATTGCATTTGGTAACTGATCTCCAAGTATTTAACCAAAATAATTATGATAGCCGTTGAGCAAAATACAGTGAAGTATAGATATAACCCAGATTTAGATTTAGTCTAAACTTGGTCTAAATTTAGACGTCTAAAAAAACCTTTAATTTTTGGACCTGCGGGAGCCTGATTTTAGACCAGTCGTCTGCGCTACATTTAGACGTCTATTAGACCAAAAAATGCTCAGTGGATCTGTGCAGATATCTTAAATAGTGTTAGGCATTTTAGGGCAAATATAACACCTGTTTTGTAGCCATGGAAAACACTCTGCTGAGTGGAGTTACAGTGCTCAGCATAGGTGGGTACACCGCTTCAGAGTTGTCAGAAAACCTTTAGTTTCCTTTCGAAATGAACATTTTCTATGTCAGACTATACAACAAAATACTCCCCCAAGATTTTTTAAGTTGCGTTCAAAAATAGTATTTTTTTTTATTTAAGATCAGGATGCAAAAATGAGTACACCCAAATCAAATTCTGGGAACAAAGCTAAATTTTAGTTACAATATCACCCTTATTTTCATCTTATGGTAAATAAAATGTTATGTTAAACTCAGCTTTGTCAAAACTTTGGAAAAAGTACTTTTGCTTATCCAGATATTGAGTAATACATTACTTTTAATAGGGCGTGTACTGACTTATGCTGGGCACTGTATGTAGCTGAATGAGAAAACGAGTGGTCACTTATGAATGCCTTAATATTTCTATAATTATAACTTCCATTTAAAAAGGTTTGTATGTTTTTGCATCTGCTGCATCCTGTGAGTCCTTCTACTTTGAAACACAACATCACTAAAGTAAGTGATCCACCAATATTTTATACACATACTTTCTATTTCATCTAATAGCTGTCAATTTAGCCCTCAAAGCTGTACAACCCATCAGGCCATCATCACACAGAGAATTTAGCTTTGATCGTAAATGCTGGAGACAAGCTGCAGCAGAACAATAGTGTGAAGTATGACACGTTAAAGGGGAATGTGCGTACGTGCGGAATTACTTTTCCCATCGTATTGATTTCCCCACCAAAACACTGCAGGCTTTGCTAATCTCTGCAACATCTGGGCCACTGTTCCACATCGGTCTGCTGGGAGGAAATCAGATCAGACTAGATGAGCTCTAGGGTCGACGCATAAACCCACGTGACCCATAGGCTTATATCCACACAAGTGCACACACACACACACACACAGACAAACAAACTGTGCAAATGCACTGACAACTACACACAAACAAGCTGGGGCACATAAGCCATGAGGGATAACACACACACACACACACACACACACACACACACACACACACACACACACACACACACACACACACACACTCAATTAATCAGGTGACGCTGTGGTCATGTGAGTTTCAAAAAGTGAATGGACCAGGGATGAGAGGATGTCCTGCGTCAGATTAGGCACGTGCAAGAGTCAGATCCATCTCATAATCCATGCCAGACATCACCATGTCTTTTTTTTACATTTTACCATACGATTAACTATGCCTAAGATGATGCTAATATTCAGTAATATAAAACAAACATGTAAAACAAATTTGATAAAGCTAGATGAGGCCTCCTCTGAGTCTGACGAGTTTCGGTGGTGTTTACAGTAGATGGTGTGCAGTTTGCAGGGGATAAATCTGTTTGGCAGGGAAACACTATTGAAAGACACGACGCTCGCATCTGTGGACAGATTATCTGCTTCTGGAAAGCCAGTGTGTATTAACAGCAGACTGTTGAAGTTAATCTTTGACTGACATTACTGATGAAAAACAGCATATTGTCATCCTTTGGTTGGAATAAAAAAATATATGATTTGGGGTTGAGGCACTACAGCATAGAGAAGCTTTGTTATCTTTAAAATGTATTTATGTTTTGTATTATGAATGTGTATAGAAGCTGTTTTCAGAACTCTTGATGCACGAGGGGTTAGAGCAGTCCAGGTGTCAACAGCTATTAGAACATTTATTTTACTAGTGGTCTCAGTAAAAAAATTTCATTTGTTTTTCTTTTTTTTTTTGACATGTGTAAATGAATAAATCAGAAAACCAAAATTTTAGAAAATTTAAGAAAGGAAGAAAAATAAATAAAATAAAATATAAAAAAACAACAGAAAAAAAGGGGAAAAAAAACAATATATCAAAGAAAATACCAATCATGGGTTATAAATTCCCTTTACATAAAATCCAGGTGTTTTTGACTGGGGTGGCTCCTGAGCACTTCATTTTGCACTTGCTAGCTAGTTAAAAAAGTGTATATTTCTGCTATTTGATAAAGTGCATGTAGTTCACAGTAAATTGCTCAAAGCTTTGGCTGCTGCATCAACTGCCCTGGTATGATATGTGTGGCTCTGCAGTCTATGAGTTGGCATTTAGACAAACAATGATGAGCAAAAGTGGGCTGTATCTTTTCCAGCATCCTTTCTCAAATAAATGTATCTGTCCAAGCAGTGTGAGGCATTAAGGACGGTGAATAATGATTGTCACGGTGTTGAAGTATCACAGCCACTTTATTCAACTTCTAAGCCATAACTGACAAGTCTTTTGTCTAAAATACTCAGTTTAGAAAAACATATATCAGGCAGAACATGCTTTTACATGACTCAACACAGGAACAGGGCATGAGCACAAGCATCTGGCCAGCACTTATTGATTTATTCCTTCTTCTATTTTAATAAATCAATTGTACAATTTACTTTTGGAAATGGCCATTATATGTGCTGCTTTGTTTTTTCCATTTGGACTTTGAGAGCGTATCTGTCAGCAGAGCATCTGATCCGTCAGCCGGGCTGAATGTTCAAGTTGAACCCCTGCCATCAGGCTGTCAGTAGAACTGCTGATAAAATGCTTTAAGGAACAAAGCCCCAGACACACAAACACACACACACACACACACACACACACACACACACACACACACACACACACACACACACACACACACACACACACACACACACACACACACACACAAGCATAGAGTAACAGGGCAGATGGATACCACACCTCTTAAACTAAACACAGCCTGCCAAGACACTACGCTCTGTTATTTTAAAACTTTTTCGTTGTGACTAAGCCCCGGTAGCAACACACACACTGACACACAAACACACTCGGTCACTGTGTACACAGACAGTGTTTAGCCGTCTGATGAAGCGTTTTTAAGTGACATTGAGAAGTGTGTGTGCAGTGGTGCTCGGTCTTTGAGTGAGTACATTTGATTACACTGTAGGGCTTTCTCAAAGTGTTACAAAAGCAGTGTGTTCACCCTGGTCACACAACGAGAAAGCAAAGAGAGCAGATGAGAGAAAGAAAACAAAACAGAGTAAGAGAGAGAGAGAGAGAGAGAGAGAGAGAGAGAGAGAGAGAGTATTACTTCATGGAAAGAGGAACTTTCATCAGTCATGGCAGCTTGGGAAAAACCAAATTACATTCTCGTTACATAACATCAGAAGCCATGGCAGCAGCGACAACAAATAACCCGATGAAAATCAAACTAAAGACAGAAAATAGATGAGTAAAAACAAACTTTAGTGCTGTGGAGAAAGAAGTCAGAGCACAGCTGGAGAATACAAGGCATCAAACCTCTTTCAGGCATCTGTTCAATAGATCATAAAGTCGCACACTGGCACAGATGACAGCAGGCTAGCTCCAGTTAATAAAAGCAGAGAGATCAAACCAGACAATTATAACTTTAACCACTTCCAAACCAGCTGGAGCATAAGTAAAGTTGGAATGACAATCCAGAAGTATGACTTGTAACAAGCACGTATGAGCAGACTTCATCTTAAACCTGCCTTGAATGATCTTCACTAAAAGAAAAGCCTTTACTCAAACTAATTGTGATGGAAACCCACAGAAGCTCATTAACCTTGTGGCAGTAATTCTGGCAAGAAAGCTGTTTTTTTGTAGAGTAATTAAAAATGTAGCCTGAAGTCTTTTTCCAAATAAGGTAGAACAGGCTTGAGGAATCATAATAACATTCATCATTTGGTTTGAAATAAAAACTTCATTTGTTTTAACTGCTTAAGCAAATTAATTAGTCATTTAGGGTATGAATTAGTCTGTGAGCACATTTGTTGGGTCTTCAGTCTCTATTTGATATAGAGATGTGAAGAATGGTAAGTTTTGGCTCGAGCTTATTTGACTTATTTTTACAGAAACCTATGTGAACATGTCCCTTACGAAAGATTCTGGGCAAAATAAAGGTGTCACCAGAGGATTATGAAACATAAGTTCTGCATATTATATCTACAGCTTGGATGAGAAACACAAAAACACACTGAAATTCATATTGATGCCTTATCATGACATACAGAAGCAAATAAAACCATCAGAGACAAGACTGACCATTTTGGTTCTGTCACTTTCACTGCCTGCAAAGCCTTTTTTTTTACATTTTCCACATTGCTAAGAGCAATACTGCAGCTGGGTGGAATTTCATTTTTCAGCTCATGAGGTAGAAGTTCCTTACCCAGCTCAAGCTCATATTTTTCTGGATGCTACAAGTCTTTTTGATTATACAGCATACTACTATGTAAACTTTAATAATAGAAAGTACATTCCAGTGAAATATGATCTCACAGACATCATCAAATATCATTCTTGAGTCTGTAGTGAGTGTGGGAGTTATTTTTAAATAATGTGATGTAGTCTATTCAGAGTACATCAGAACAGAAAGGGAAACCTAATTACAGTTTTTTCCTTTTTTTTTTAAATATCATATGGACATGGTTTAATGGCAATTTAAGAAAAATAGCCACAATGTACCTATAAGATAAGTCATCATAATGCCATGTATGACTTGTTAACCTGGAGATATAAATAAAGCATATTTGTTTTCTTAATTCAAGCTAAGTCTATTTCTTGAAACAACAAGATTTATCCTCAACAAATAACTCAGCAGCTTAAAAACCTTATGACATGTCAATAAAAACTTGTTCCATCTGAGATATGACTCAAATTAAGATATTATTATGATTGTTTCACAACAAGATATTCAAGATGATCCATCTAGAAACAAGTTCCAATATCTTACTAAAATGTTACCTTTTAGGTAATTGTGTCGTATACTGATTGTGATGAGATATTTTGACCAGAAATTAAAAAAATTATATATACTTGGTAAGATTATGAGTTTTCACAGTGCAGTTCTGCAGGTTACAAACCAGCTGAATTGACATAAAATCAACTCAAGTCGTTTCAAGATGCTGAACAGTCTGTAGAGCTGAGTGAAGCTTTACATTTGGGTGGATAATCTTTGTGGTTTTGTGTCTATGAACACATTCTTGTATTTAGTCATCGTTCTTGAACATCCCCTTTGTACTTTCAGTCTGACTTATTTTTGTCTTCTTCCTTTATTATGTGCTATTGCAAAACTGTGGTAGCTGTAACTATGAACTCTGTGGGAACGCCTCAATTTAGCAATATGATTGAAAACGCACCAAGAATGAATCAGGATCCTTGTATTCAGATCCATTGGTCAAGATGTAAAATACTAATGATAAAATAATATGGGATTTAGGAGGGCTTTGCTGTGGACCTACTTGCAAAGGCGATGACTGACTGCTTCTTCAGACCAGGTTTGGTTCAACACAATAAACATCTCACTGCAGGAGAAATGAAAAGCTTTGCAGGATTCTCTGAATAGGCAGCACCTTAACATGAGCGCCAGTGATGTCACTGCTGAGATGCGCTTCAATACTGGCGTCTCAATGCCTCTTTGAGTCCATTTTATTCCTTCTGCAGATTGAAGAGACGTCATCAAGTCAGCAGCTTTTCCTCTGCTGTGTTTGTAGAGAATAACCAACAAAGTGGCAAACTCCTCCTCTGGATCTGTTCGACTCTTTCTAATCCACTCAGAACTGAGTGACTGTGCACATTAGACTGATGCCTTATATGTGTTTTCTTCATTTGACATGGAATTTGTTGAGTTCTTGTAAAAATTACTTTTCAGATCAATGATATGATAGAAAATGTACTTCCTCGTTCACGGTTGCTCTGATTTATCGTTGAATATTTACAATTCTCGTTGTGAAAATGTCAGTCTGGCCGCCAACCATGAGTTAAGAATAAATCTATGGGTTGTAAATATCATCAGTCACTCATAAACAGACTTTGGTTGTTTGGCTCAGACAGGAGAGGAGTGGAGTTGTCCATGCATCACGTTTGAATCTCATTATAGTGGCAGACTGTCACATAAAAAAATGAGCAGTTTCATAGTAGCTCGAAACTGATGGATGCATCTAGACGAGAAGAAAAAAAAAACGCTTTCCTCGGGTCTCAGTTTAAGTTCACTGATGTCATTATCTGGGTTTTGGTGCAAATTCAAGCACAGCTAAATATCTGCAGACATATGACAAGAGACCATGGTGATTCGCCTTAAACAGAGACATAGAAAACATTCACTTGAAATGCTTCACTTGCACAAATCTGTATGAATGTAGTGCTGCTAGAACCAAAACTGAGAGCTGTAAGCAGCTGTGCAACATGTGTTTTTATTCGCTCTTATTTCAGGCCTTCAAGCCACATTTATATCCAAACCCAGTCTAAAATCTCCTGTCACTTTTCTGATGAAATAAATCTGTGTGCATGTGATAGCGTCGTTGACAGAGAGACAGAAACACAGTGAGTAAGCCCACAAGCTTATTAAGAGAATATTATGGGCAGAGGGCCTGGCACGTTTTGTGTGCACGTTTCCAATCCCAGGAGGCTGTGCACATGGAGCTCCTGCTGAACTTGCTGCCTTGACAAGTAGCCAGCCAGCATCATCTTCAAGAAAACAAACAACCCATAATTACCCTGTTCAACCACAGCATCACTTCCTGCAGTTCAGCAATCCAAAAGAGACTGTCTCCGTGGCTACCCTGTTGCCGGGAGACAGTTTGGGTGAGCTCGACTGATGTCTTAAACGGGCAGAGGTGGCAGAGCTGTTGGGACAGTAAAGGCCTGGGTGTTCAAGACTGACAACTATCCATCTTCAGCTTTAACTGATTTACAAAGATCCGTCCTCTGACATAACCTTTCGCCCTCTGCGTTCTGATTTTGGAAACATGCCTTTAAAATTTAAGAAAAGGAACATTAGTGAATTTTTCATGTTAACAGTTGTTTAAAGAGACACAAACAACATTGAGATTGTTTATTTCAATATTTTTCTCCTTAACATTCAGACTTTTTACTAGCTTTTGTCTATTTACCTCTTGTTTTGAAAAAAAAAGGACAAAAATCAACAAGAAACTCAAAAAAAGAAATCACAACATAATCAAATATTTGGATTCATCTTATATCTGCAACTACAACTCTACAAAATGTCACGTCATGATGACTGCCTTGTGCAAACTATTTGCATAGATTCAAAGATTGATATTTCCCAGTAAAGGACCATATTGTTTCAACTCACACTGATGCCCCTTGAAACAGAGGGTCTATTTTTAGTCTAACACACATCTCTGACCCGATTCTGTCACTGCGTTTGTGACTTAGCAGTGAGCGGAGAGTCGTACTGCTCTGAAAGCATCACTGTCCAGGTCTCCTGAGTAGGTCACTTAACTCAGTATGCATGTGAAGGTGCTTTGTATGGGATTTACAGTTATTCCTCTAGGAAAGCTAGAAGAGGTGAAGTGCATGTATTGTTACTGTGTGCTGCCACCTGCTGGTGACTCTCTGTCACAGCTTTTGAGGAGACACTATTCTTGCCACAACACACACCAGCCCTTTGCCCCAGTTATTCCCCCTCATATCTTCCAGAGCGTGGGTTAGGGGTCAGAAAAAGAACATCCTGTGCACTTTTCTTAGGTCTCCACTCAAGCATGTATTTCCTAAGAGGATGAGTTCACATGTTCGGGGAAAAGTTGCCCAATGCTTACTGAGAATTCTTATTTTGAACTGGGCACTAGTTTGCGCTCACTTTTCCGTCAACAGCGGGCCAAAGATTATACTCTGTGAACAAATAGACTGGAATTTATTTACAAAACTTTTTTACATGAGCTGGATATAGAAACCCGTCATCTGGCCTTTGACTTTAAGGCCTCAGGGGGGTGATGGGCAGTTCATGGTTGAGGTTCTTGGCCAGAGATGGCTGTCTTTTACAGTAAAGTGCACGTCAAAGAGGCTTACAGTGAAACCGCTGCAGCTTCTCCATGAGTTAGTTAAACTCTTTGTTTTCCCTTGTGCTTGAGTTATTCTGTTTTCTCATCTTCTCGTTTCTTCTCTGTTCGGGAGAGGATCTGCAGAACTGTCTGATTGAAGTCATCAGGCTGGTCGGCGAAGACGTAATGGCCTGCCCCTCGGATCACCTAATAAACAGAGAGGTCAGATTAGGAAAGAGAGATAGTGTACACAAGAACACAATCAGTTTTGATATTTTAATCCCATCTCACACAATCTCTCACCTTTCTGTGAGAGATTGGGCTCACCCATTTAAAAAACAATGTTCTTCAGCATGAAACTGCTAAATTTTTGAAGTATCATCATCCACATTACATAACATCCTTAGTGGTCTCAAAGAATCTGGAGAAATCTCTGTACAAAAGGGACAAAACCAAAAACCAGTGCTGGGTGGCTGTAATCATCTGGGCTCCAAGTAGCATTGCATGAAAACATGATGAGAAATAACTCTGTGGTGGAAATCACTGCATAGGAACAAAACCACTGCCAAAATATTTAGTTTGTGAGCATGGAGATACGGCTTAAAACTGTTTACTGCAAAGAGAAAACATTTAAAAATATCATTCCTGAAACAGCAGTCGCATCTCTGGACCCATGCCCAGTTTTGGAGGACTGAACCAGAGCAGAAGAGGAGAGTGGGGACTAGACCTTTTTTTTATATCAGCACAAGGTTCAAAAGTCAGTGTCTGTGACAGTTTGAGGGTGTGCTCGTGTCCATGGCATGGGGAGTTTCAGCATCTGGGCAGGCACTATTAACACCCGAACTACCAAGGCAGTCATTTTGACTGCTTTCATAATTTACAATGTCATAACTTTTTCAAAATAAAACCTGTACACCAGTCGCACCCTGACTTTTTCTAAATGTGTGTAAATTTTATTCTAACATTGTTTTATCATTAGAATTTCAAAACACAAAAGAGATCTGAATAAAACTACCTCGAACTACCAGAGCAGTCAAACTGACTGCATGCTTTTTACAAAGGATGTTATATTTAAATATTTGCTCAATTTTCCCGCTCTTTCTACTGCTCTGTTGTTCGTTTTGTGCTTTAAGCTCTGTGAAGCTCAAATCTTATTATAACTTTACTCAAAGCTCAAGAGACTCAAATATGACAACTAGAAGAAAAATGAAAAGTATGGAGGCTTTAGATTTAGCCTTGCTTTGGAGCCTTGATGAGGAAGAATCCAATGGATGAGCAAGTTTAGGGAATGATGTGTCTTGGTATTTTTAGGAAGGTTCTTCCTCAAAATCTCATTCATTATGAACATTTTACACAGCGTTTAAACATGTTTGGACACGTGGTTGTGCTATCTTGACATATTCTGATTTTTTTTTACAATTGAAACACTGACTTAAGTCTCTCTAAATAAAATTTTGACCCCATCATGAAGAGACAATATTGAGAGACCTACTTTAATTTCCACGTCTGGTCTGTTCTTCTTGAATGCAGATCCAGACTCACAGTCGATGCTGGAGCGAGATCCATAGATGAAAGAAATGGGAATGTCAGCCTGGATCTGACCGATCCTGTGGAGCATCGGTCTCTTAGCCCAGCCGTAGGGAATCGTCATGTTCCTAAAAGCTGTTTCCCCACTGACACACAAAAGAATCATGTTGGAGATTTTCATGTTGCAAGAGTATCAGCACCACTTCAGTAAATATATGCTTCAAATGTTCTTCACCTTGGAGTTTGAGCATTGAGATGGTAGATGTAGTCTGACACTGTGTTATCACTGAACGCCGAGGAGTATTTTTGCTTGAAGTCAGACCTGATTGTCTGGACCAGCATTGGGCCTAAAAGAGACGAATCATACTGTCACACATGGTTTGTTGTAGAGTCTTCACAATTACGCCCCTGCCTCATAGCAATGAAACTAATCCAATTGTTACATAATCAGCTTTAAGTCAACAATTAGTCCTTTGTACATTAATATTTACAAAATACATTTCTGTGTAGTGACGTGCAAATTGGTGTTATTATGCTAACCTAAAGGCCCAGCCAGTCTGAGTCCAGCCAGAGGGTTGAAGGGGCTCATGACAGCCCCCATAGCTCGGATCCACACTGGGATGGAGTTATGGTTGGGGTTCTCTGGACGAGCTGGGAACCCCCACGGCTCCACGAGCAGCAGATGTTTTACCCTGACACCACACATAGTTACTGATAAGTGTCCAAACTCAATGTTGAATTTCATTCACATCATATCTACTCATTGATGGGGTTGCAGCTAAAAAGGCAGATTTAGGAGTTGGTAGAACAACTTAAATATCGAGTGGTGAAAACCTAAATAGCAGGCTGAACATAAGATAATGTAGTTTTGGTGAAGTAGCATGATAACCATCTTATGAAATAATTTTAACTTCCTAACTCTGATGGACTTTCATATGTTTTTTTTATACTGAACACACTGTGTTAGTGTTTAAATAAAAGAAAGTTTAGAGACCAATCTTTTGCACAGACACACTCACCTGTGTGGGTATTTCAGTGAGTAGGCGGCAGCCAGGTAACCTCCAAGGTTGTGTCCCAGCAGCACCATGTCCTCCAGTCCCACCTTCTCCCTCCACTCCTCCAGAGCTGCCAGGAACTGCTCCTCAGCCCCCTCGGAGTCAGCACTGAACTGGGGGCGGCTGCTTCTGCCAAAGCCCAGCAAGTCCAGAGCATAGACCGGTCCGCTGCTGCTCAGAAAGTCCAAGTTTTGTGCCCAAAGGGCAACACCACCTCCAAAACCATGTAGCAGAACCAGAGGAGGTCTGCTTGGAGCAGAGGGATAAGGGGGAGAGGGTGGCTGCAGTTGAGTTGAAAAAGCTAAGGTCCATAAGAAGTTGTAGTTTGATATCCGGACGTATTGTTTGGAGAAAGGTCGCTTTACAACTGTAGAAGAAGAGGGGATAATGATGTGGGTTAGAAGACAGGAAAGGAATGAGTAAAAAAAAGATTAATGCTGGACATTTCAAATATACAGGATATGTGTTCACTTGTTTGTCATATGAGATGATTTAACAGTGAAACTCTTGACTTTCAAAGTCCACTTCTGATGGGCTTTTCTTTAAGGCACACTTACTTTTGAGCATTTTCTCTTCTGCATTTTTCAGCTGAGAAGGAGACGTGGGGCACCACGAGGGAAGCCAACTTGATACCCAGGAACTGTGTTTCAAATGGCAAACAAGAATCCCAGCAAGCAGACACATGAACATATGAAGTACATACAAACAAAGCAAAAACTGAACTTTGACCATTTCTCATTTCTGTTATCAGTGCTGCTGTGCTGGTATGTAATCTATAAGGTCTCTCCCACAGGAAAACATGACAATATTCAAATGTTAAATATGGTGAAGCAAAGACACATTTGGAAAGTATTCTGTGTTTCTATAAATCAATCTTAAATAGCTGAGTTAATCTATAGATTTGATCATTTTGAATAGAGATTTCTTTGTACATGGAGGAACACTTTGTTCTCTTGACTGAACCAGGGAAGGTAATTGTTGGATCTTGACTGGTAGACATTCAAACAGTCATAAAACATTAAAACAGCAACATTTTAGGCATGTTTGCATTGTGATCTGGAAAAATATTCATAAAAATCCAACCCAGAGGAAGTAAATAGTCCACTAACTCAAGAAAACTCTGGGTGAGTAATCTTTAAACTAACGTTACTCTATCAGCAAACATCTGGCGTCACTTAAGACGATTTTAAGGCAAATTAAGATTTTTTTAAAAAGTATCTAAAAGAGTAAAAATCACCTCTGTTCCTTGGTTGGGTGGACCTCCTCCGCCATCCTCCGCATGGTGGGTTATGACGATCCTGCGACCATCAGGGAAAGTGGACAGAATCTGTGTGAGGCGTTCAAGTACATCCAGTAAAGAACTCATTCTTTATCTTATCTTCATCAAACTCCCTTTTTTCCCTTACCGAGTATTTTCTGACGGGTGCGTGATAAAGTAGGAGTTCAGCTAAGGCAATGGTAAGAAACAGTGCTTATCTTGGAGGTTAAGTATCGCGTAAATCGTGTTGTGATTTGTGAAGTTGTAGATTAAAATTCTTGAATGTCCAACTACACCCAAACACAGCGGCATGCTCTGAATCTCTGTTGAGCTGAACGGTAGCCAAAACCTCAGGTGAGACACTTTGAGAGCTTTTTTGTCCTCAATTTTGGGTTAAAAAAATCCCTCTATGCGTTTGTACTTTCACCTAAAAGTTAAGTTATCCACGTACATTTAAAATGAGACTTTCAATCCCGAAATATATACATGAGTGTTAAGCACTGCGTGGAAGTAACATTGCAGATTTCCTGTCATTTCACCGAACACAGGCTCGATACTCATATAACACAATTTTAACCCTAGAAAAATGAATTACTAGTTACCAGTAGAACATAATAACTTGTAGTACGAGTGCCAACTAAACAAGCCTGCTAGTTGTAAAATGTGATTGAGGATTCAGTAACATCACTCAGCCATGTTTTTGTGACAAATAGACTACCCTTCATTTTTCAAGTCTCATGACAAACCAAGAGACAAGGCCCTGGACTTACATTAATGAGCCAAAGCAGACAAAAATCACAATTACTTGCACAGAGATTAAACTTTAGCTTATCTGAATACATTTCTAACTGTAAATTAAGATAAGGGCAGAGATTAAAGGAAAAGTTAATTTAATTCATTAAATCCTATAAGGATTTGAGTGCACAGTGTGACCCACTTTTTATCTTTTACTTTTTTCCTTTTAACTTTTACACTTTCTGTGAATATCATTAAATCTTCAGGAGGGAGGGGGTTATTTTATAGATTTACTGAGGAGTCATCCTTGAAAAGGTCAGGAGCATTAGACATGATTTCACGGTGTTGGCTGGCTTGAGTTTTTGTAGTTAGTTCAGTCTTTTGGAGACCTTGATTACCGCCAGTTATCCAGTTATGAGGGACGTTTATGGCCAATAAAATGTGCACTTTTGGGGGGAAAGAAAAGAGGTGACACTTGATAAGCCTTACTTAAGTATTCATGCTTCAACATAATGTTGAAACCTCTTACAAACTCACTCTTTAAATGCTGATGAGTTGCAAAAAAAGCCACTTCTTCCTGTTTTTTCGCTTCTCTCTCACATGCAGGTCAAGGACAATTTGAGGAGAGCCTTGGCAGTCCTGATCCACAAGGTGGCATACTTGTTTTCTATAAGTACACACACACACACACATTGGAACACACACATACACACACTCACTTTTATTACAGTCTCTGGCTGCTTTGTCCTTCATTACTCAATCACAATATTCCTCTTGTAACAACCACTTCTGGGGGCTCTCGGCCTACAGGCTGACTGAGTGGTTCCTGAGTGATTCATTTCCTTTGCTCTCATAGATTCAAACTCTCTTTCCTTTATGTGTGTAGCTGTTAGTTCACTCTGCTGAGCACTCATATTTCTTAAACCGGTGGACAAAGAGGCTAAGGTCAAAGCCCATGGATGAGCAGTGGTGGTTTAAAACTGAAACTGTCCAGGTAATAGTGACTGGGTCAGGCTTTTAGTTAAGAGACGTTGTAAAAAAAAGCATGCCGCCTGCTTTGAGTGATTCATAACTGAACAGCAGCTGCTAGCTAGGAGTTTAACTGGAAGGTGAGCTATCGCTTTATCAGATATTCAAGAGTCGTAACCCACTGTCTGGCTGTACAGGGACCTAACAAAGGATATGCTCAGTCTTGAAATCCCTGGATCAGTCAGGAGAGCATTTCACAGAATACACAAATCAATTACAATTGTTTGTGTATGAATATGATGAGTACTCAGCCATTACAGGTTTTAATTGTCTGATTATGTTATCAGAAATAAACGCATACAAACAAAAACAGTTGATAAAATTGCAGGTTGAACAGCAAAAATTGAGGAAGCTTAGCAAAAATCTCAGATGACAGAAGGTTCAAATCTTTTAGGTTATTATGCACGCATGTTAACATAAAGTGCGCGGGCCTTTTCAACAGCTGACATTTTGTCTTGTCATGGTCGTAAAAGCAGAGAAACATGAAGCTGAAGCAGCCAAGCAGGCCTCCTATTCTTGGTTGTCCACATGAGTGTTTAATCACCTAAATATAAAAATCTGTTTGTTTTGTAAATTTAAAACAAGCCTTTTATATCTAGGAAGTCAAAAAAGGACAAATGGGGTGGTTGTTGGGTTCAAAAGATTTGTAGGGAAAAACGTGTTAAACAGAGGATAACACTTCTGCAGTACAGGCATTTCTTTTCTTCCTCATCATCAATAGAAGTGGTGAGCAAGGTAGCGATTTCCATCTGCTGCTAAATATTGCTGAATATGATTTAAATATATAGAAGGATAAATATAGCCTATAGAATGAATTCTGCCCTGTATGCCAGTCGTTTACAAGTATTGCACAGACATATTACCCTCCGAAGCCGTGTGAGCATGTCAGAATGTGTTTTTGTTGTTTAACACAGGTGACAGGATGAAATGTAAGCTATTTATTTCCATCTCGACATACAGCATAAGCAGTGATCACTTCCTTGTACGTCTTGTCTCTCACTGAGTAAGAAGTTTTGTCAGTCTTCATTCAGATCATCATGTAGGTGATGCGCATTAAGCTCCAGCTGAATGTTTATGCACATTAACATACTGGGCTTTCTATCAATTGCCTTTCACAGATTTTTTGCTGCTGCTTCTCCTGATTTGTATTCTGGAAAACTGTCATTTGCCCTCAATGCCTTCAAGGCAATCAGTACATGTAATGTGGCATTTTAGGGGAAAAATGTGAAGTCTTTGCACAGACAACCAGGCTGACACTAAATGCATACCAAGGTCTAATTAAGACAATTATATATTTGTCTTAAGTGCTGCTGCAGCTGCTTCTCAAAGGAGCTCTGCACATATTTTGGATGGGCGTTTATTTTAATGTTTATATTATTTTCATTAAAACATTATTGCAGCAAATTAGGGCTTTAGGGGCTTTTACATTATCTTTATAGACCACTGGCTAGAGATCATTCTTTTTATTCCATTAATGAAGTCTTGGAAATTTAGAAAGGAAAGAAAAGTCTCACAGTGGAAATAAAAACACGTCACTTTTTTCTTTGTGTGCTTGTGCTTGTGTAAAATGAAGCAGCACTATGTCCATCAACCGTTCGACCATATGTCCACTGTGCTGTGGACAGCTGCAGTCTAGTACATTAGCATAATGTTAACATATACTTTAAAGTCGAGCAGTTAGTTGGCTGTACGCACAAACCGCACCGTGCCATGAGTTTTTGGGCCATGACCCAGTGCAGTATGGGTATTAAGAGCAACTAAGCTCTTAGCTGAAGATAGAATGAGGATGGTGGAGAGGCGGAGGGTCTGTCTGGTTGCTAGGATACATTGCTGGCGCCAACAGCGGATATGATTTATAATGGCCAGTCTCACTGTCTCGCTTTCTCTGCTAGCTTCCTCCTTCCTCTCCTTCCTCTCACTTTTCCACTGACTCTGTCCATCCTCTACCCTCATTTCTGCCCTCAGCATCTCTACAGATCTATTAACTGGCTCTGTCTGACTGATCTGAGTACTTGCTGCCGGCATAAGTTAAGACTATTATTTATATGGGTGTGCTTGATATTCCTTCCTGTGTACACCATGAGCACCCTAAGATAGACCCAGAGCTGTAAATTTATTTGATACTGACAAAAAAAGTCCTTCTTGAGTCCATCTTTGCTTGGTCGTGCATACAGAGAGTATTTATATGGGTGCAGCAACTTTTGTTTGTTTTATTAGAGTGTGCATCTCACATGATCATGCAAGAGGGGCTTTCATGAATAGATGATATTGATTTAGAGGGACTTGATTCACCTCAGGAAAGTGAAATCCTCAGAGACAAATCCAATTCCAGGAGAAAGGGGCATGAGGACAAGAGTAATGGCTCTGTCTGAGTATTGTACATTGTGGTGTTTGATAGAGATAGGCCATGGAACTGAAGTTGTAGTACGACTACGATGACTAGGTTATTTGCTGCAGTGCTATATCACCTATGATAAACTACGGTAGCGTAACTGCATTTATGGCACATGAGCATCCCAGCCGGTGTCTGTTGTTCTGCAAAGCTAATTCATGGTTTGCTTTAGCATCTTCATTCTTTCTGGTGGACTCCTGAAGTTATCTGCAGTTATTATATTTATTTAGTGGAGAAAGTAAGACATCAGTTTGTCTCAGAGCCCTGCATCCATAAGTGATCCAGGAAAACATTCAACTTAGAGTGTCCATATTTCTCCATCCCTTTCTGTCCAGTGTCTTCCAGTAAACGGTGGATAATTTTAGAGCAATAAAGGGCCCAGAGGATATCTAGGGGGAAGGAGCACACAAGTACACACAAGTACGTACACACACGCACGCACACACACACACACACACACACACACACACACACACACACACACACATACAATAAGATGGTCCCTCATTCCCTGTTGCACCTGCTGACCCCACAGGATCCACTGAGATCGGCTACTGCTGAGTGTGCGGCTTCTACACACCCAAACTCACACACACACACACACACACACACACACACTTACACTCGCATACACACACACACTCACACAGGAATGCATACACACTTTGACTAATAGGCCTAATGCTTCCTGAAGAGGGCCCAGCACTGCATTAGCTACGGATGTGGGATTGATTTAGAAACTGAAAGCCTTCTAGTGTGTGTCTGTCTTTGTGTGTGTATGAATATGTTGTGCAGTCATTGGTGTATTTTTTTCTCTATTCCACTGGTCTAGCATACACAACACACACACACCCACACACACACCCCATTCGAAGGTGGTAAGATCTGTTTGAATGGTTGATAAGCTTTTTTTTATTTTTATTTGACAAATTCCTTTAAAAAAACAACAATTGTGAGATCTATCTATCTATCTATCTATCTATCTATCTATCTATCTATCTATCTATCTATCTATCTATCTATCTATCTATCTATCTATCTATCTATCTATCTGAATAACTTTTACTAGCTGGTAATGATTATGAAAAAAAGCTTACAGTAATAGTAGTTCACATAAATGAAATATCACAGCAGACGACACAAACGGCGTCTGTTTTAGAAATTACAGGAACAGTAGCACTGCCAACTCTATTTCTATGTCATATGTCTTTTTGCTTTCAGATGCTGTTTAACCATCTGACTGTCCTTTTGGTTGCAATGCACTAATGTCCTCTGATTCTAAAATGATTATGAAAAAAAGATATCCACAATCCACTGTGTAAGTCCAGATGATACTAAATAAGTCTTCAGGAGGCAAGGTCATTATAATAATAATAAATAAATAAAAAAAAAAAAAATAATAATAATAATAATAATGAAAATAATAATAATAATAATGAAAATAATAATAATTAATAATAATAATAATAATAATAATAATAATAATAATAATAATAATAATAATAATAATAATAATAGTAATAATATTAATAATAGTAATAATAATAATAATAATAACCCTATTTTTGTAGCACTTTTAAAAACAGAAGTTTACAAAGTGCTTTGACAAATAGTCATCAGCCACTAAATAGATTAAGTGGCATTTTCCCTAACCATTACCAAATAGGTCCATATAAGTTATTTGCTTTGAAGCATTAGAAGGATACTCCCTGAATTTAAGGTTCATTAAAACGATAGGCCACATTTTCTGTGAAAAGCGTATTAATTATATCACTATGGGGGTATTGCGTAGGATCAGATTAAGTGCTAACTTTTTCGCTTATAATTTGTGAATATTGCTTCAGTACAGATTTAAGATTTGAGATTCCTTTTAAATAAGGAACAACTTTATATTATATATGTTATACTCCCCCTGTATGTTGCTGTCAAACCTTAGTGTAAAGACAAAGTTTAATGTAGGATCAATGTGGCCATGTTGCAAGGTGTAGAAAACTGGTAGAAAAGCGGTGACTGGCAGAGGATGCTGGGAGAAAGAACGAGAATGAGGGCAGAGGAGGAACGGGTTAAAGCGCATTGAGAGCAGAGGAGAGGGTGAGGTGGCCTGGGGGGAGGAGAAGAGAAAGAACAGAGAAACAGAAAAGCAGACGTGGAGGAGGTGGGGAATTGATGAAGCAGAAAGCTGGGTTATTCCTGTTGTGAGTCTATGGGTCTTAGCTTTGTGTATTTGTGTATGTGTGAGTGAGTGAGTGTGAATGTGCCCATGCCAGAGTGTGTATGTGTGTGAGTATGAATGGTGAGCTTTGGCAGTAAATGAAACTGTTTATCAGATCAATATGGCCATCATCTCTCAGATGACTGTGGCCTCTATTGAAGAGCAATCATAAATCACAACCAAATATGGAGGACACCGGTCTATAGCAGCTGCTTGTGTCTCCTAGTGTTGGTGTATGTGTTTGTGCATGGGTGACATTTTTGTGGCAAACTGCTAGTGTGTGCAGATGTTGGTATTTGGGTTTGTGTGTGCAATATTGTTTCTCCTGAGCTGAGATTTTGAGATACGGCGGTCAAAAAACTGTAGACACAGACGAGACAGACCACACCTTGGACTCGCTTTATGTACGCTGTAAAGATTCATTTGTGTCATATGGTGATCTTTGGCAATACAAACAGACATGGTGGCTTTACTACAAGCGTGACACATCCTGCTTCCTTCCCTATAGGGTTAACAATGGTGCTCTTGTTCTGTGTGTGACGGCCCCCCAGTGCTCTCACTCTGAATAATGTAGCCTCCCGATATCAGTGACAAGAGTCTTGAAACCAAAATAGCATCTTGAGCTCTGATAAATATAGAAGGTAATTAAATCGGCAGCAGGAGAGAGACAGAGAAAAGCCAGGAAAAAGGGAAGGTCTGTTTTTGTATGTGAGGTTGAAAAAGCTCCTCTGCAGCAAATGACAAGAGATCAATGGACGAGGACAAAACCTTGCATGTTCTCCTTTTTACTCATTTTTTTTTCTCACTGTAATCAGGGCATCGATATTAACAATGATTGTCTTTCGTTTTTTATTAATCAATGGTCGATATCAAATAGACTGGATGTAGAGGTTAATCTGTGTGTTTTAGGGCCTGCCAGAGTACAGTGAGTCAGCAGTATTTCACCAGTTAGTTCTCAGGAGACTCAGCTGTGTGTGTGTGTGTGTGTGTGCGTGCGTGCTGCCATCTGCCTTTTAGCTCTCTCTCTCGCCCTTTTTGCTGCCTCTCTGTGTGCCATGCTCCTTTCCTATCTCGCCTCATTCGACCTTTCGTCAAACGGTTTCTGTTCATTGTAAAAACCAACGAGTCGGAGATTGATCTTGCATGTGAAACCGTCGCAGAGGACCCGGAGGAGCGAGGTGAAAGGTTGTGAGGGGGTTGAATCAGCTTGTCAGAGCTAACTGGCCCACATCTTGACATGATCTCCTTTGGGGAAGTGTGTGTGCGTGTGTTCAGTGTGTGTGTGTGTGTGCGTCCGTTCAGTGTGACATGTTGTGACAGAAACTGAGTGACAAGCCCCTTTGCCGCCCAACACCAGCCACTGCAGAGAGACTAATGATGACATTTCTCAGGCTGTACACACTGCTCTCTTTTTCCTCTCTATCCACACATGTGCACACGAACACACACACACACGAACACACACACACACTCACCATGTCTTCCTATCTCTTGCTCTCTTTGTCTTGTGTCTCTCCCTCGACTACCTCTTCCTCTATCACACGCCCACACAGACAATGGCATCCTGTGTATCGTCTGCCTGACACAAAGGCGCAAATACACACATTTACATGAACACGCAGCGAAACACACTCGCACACGCCGACACATACAAGCTAAAATTCATGCATGTGGTCATACCAGTCTGCATGACAAACACAAATACACACCGAAGGTACACACATTTTTTTCTTTGCATTGTCTGTCTTTTTTTTTTCTCAGACACACATTCTCTCTTTTTCCCACACACACACACGCACACACACACACACACACAAACGCTGCACTACTCTCTCTGTCTTGGAATTTTACATTTTGATGAAGGAGGAAGCTCACCGTCCAATCAGAGCAGAGGGAGCAGGGAGAAACCACATCACTGCAGACAGTAGGGATGTTCAGAGGCAGTAGGATAGAGCCTTACCAGGGCCGACCCTACCAGCTCTTTTCCTTGGCGTCCCCTCGTCTGGGGGTGCCCGGTGGTACACTCCGCCAGGCTCGATAAGAACCCCTCCTCTCTGTCTCCCCCTCTTCTGTCAGTGCTAGGGTGTAGCTACTGATCCTATACTACAGCAGAAAGAGTGAGAGTGAAAGGGAGGAGGGACATCAGGTGTCACAGCTCTGCAACCCCAGTTGAGGCTGCATTACCACGACAACCAGCTCCAGGGGTGCCGCCAGGTGAGTCTGAGGACACGCACGTACACTCACACAGATGCTCTTTGACATATGCCGCACATGTGCACAATGAAGTGCATCCACATTGTTTTCACATAGGGATGAGTCAAATAAAATAGATGTACATATACAGGTGTGCGGCTGCTGATGCGCTCCACGATGTTGGTATTGTCACTTTTCGCAGCCAATGTTTCAACTCTGCACTCAAGTGTAACAGTGTATTGTGTAAGCGTGTGCGTTGTTGCTGTCAGTGTGTGTGTGCGTACATTTGTAGTCATGCCAAAGTGTACAGTATATGTGTGTGTGTGTGTGTACATACGCCATACCTCCCCCAGTGGTGGTGAGAGACAAAGGGTCCCCTCTGTCTGGCGCTGTAGCACCGCTTACACGGCTGATGATGATGGGTGGGAAAGTTCTCTCGATCAGCGATCATGTCTGATCGGAAAAAGAGAAGAAGTCAAATAGGGTGCTCCAACCCCCCGACCCACCACCACCCTCCCCCCCATTGCTGTCGAACACTCCTGACTCACGATGATAGGAGGACATGGTCACAGCAGATGATCACCCGGTGGGTGGGGGTTGGGGTTGTGGTAGGGGTGGTGGTGTGTTCTGAGGACACGGAGGCGGTGAGGAGGGGAAGGGGGATGGTGGAGGTGATGGTCATGACACTACTGTAGTATGTGATGGACGTATTATAGAGACACATGTGTCTAAGGAGGGGTCATCTACCATGCACATGACTGCCCGTGTGAGTGCGTGTGTGTGTGTGTGTGTGTGTGTGTAAGAGAAAGAGAGATTGTTCGTTCTTGTGAATGGAAAAGTGTGGGAGCAGGAGCGTAATGTGCCAAACGGCAAGCCATCACTGACCGATAAACTCAGACAAAGGGCGGCGGATCATATGTGCAGACTCATGTCATACTCTCGGTAAGTGTGTGTGCGTGTATGTGTGAGACTTGGGAGATGGGGGAGGGCTCTGATGTGAAATGGTCACGTATAAGCTGGGCATCTCTGTCAGCATGTGTGCGTACAGTGTGTCTGATCATGTCTGAGCTTGTCCTGTAAAAAGGTGGCATTTTTCCTCCAGAAGATCACGTGCGCATTGCGCTGCCCTGTTCTCAGTCCTCTCTACCTCTCGGTGCCTGATGCCCCGACTGTCCCGTTTGGAAGCTGGTCATCATCCCACCCCGACTCTACGCCGTCATACAACGCCACCAGAGCATGTTCTCTGAGGGATGTAGACTGTTTCAACCTTGTCAATTCAGAGCTAGATTGTCGTCCTCTCTAAACTACTAGCCATAGATGCGCTCTTATCCTTACGTGGCCTTTGTTCAACGTTGCCTATGCGATTGCAGGTCTTTGTGCCAAGGCTGCAGTCGTGTGTAGTTTGTCAAGATGTAGTCCGGTGTTTTAAGGACAGGTCAAATCTTCACAAATGCTGAATCAGATGGATAAACTCATAAATGACAGTATACCATTCAAAGAACGCAGTTTTTGGCTTTCAGAATGTCCCATTATCTCTTATGCAAGAATTGACAATTCCATCTCTTCCTGATCAATTTTAGTTAGTGCCGTGAGGGTGAGACAAATTAGGTTAGAGAGGGTTTTCATGGTTGGAGAGCTGACCTTCTACTCTGGGCATGCAGGTGCAAAGGTCATACATTCACTTGCAATGACACCAGACCGTTCTTTATGCTGTAACTTGGAAAAACATAATTTCTCAAGCAGAAATGTCCCCCGTCGTTTAACAGAAGTTACATTATGAGATAGCGTGGTGCGTGACAGGTGTGGGCTGTGTTCCTGCTCTGTTCTTTGAGTATTGTATACATCAACGAGAGCGGCAAAAACCACATTTTAAGCCCACAGCTTCCTTCAAAACGAAATTAACAGTAACCAAACTGCAGAGTCTGCGTGTAAAAATGGTGGCGACGAGAACAGGCTGTACATTTCTCTTTCAGTGCCCTTCTCTTCTTCCTCTCTCTCTCCATTTCATCTCGCTGCCTCCCTCCTCTTCCATTTTATTCCATTTCTCACCCTTCCCATTTCCTCTCTTTTCTCTGAGTTCACATGCACACACTCATCCCCCTCCTCCATATGTGAGCTCTGACAGTCTGTAGGGCGTGCCCCCCCCCACCATCCGCTACATACATTACAACGAGCCATGCAGCATACGTACATTTACGCCAAGTACAGTCCACACATGGCTGCACAATCAGCGACACGCTGGCCGTCATATATGTCCTGGTTTGCACCGTGGGGCCTCTCAATTGGAAAAGGACATCGGAGACACAGAGTCAAGATCCTTTTTCTAGATTTTGTCCACTGTGTTCGGTGAGTGTAGTGGCACAGTGACTGGAGTAGTACTTAGTTTCATGTATGATGTTGTAACAGGAAATGTTTGCCAAAGCTACAATTACACTAATTGAACACTCCGAAGCAGCCTTGCAAAATGGCTGCCGAGCCGGCACCCAGTCTGTGATGGCCGACAAGAATGAGTAGGTAGGTCTGAGGTGTGTGCGTGGATATAGCTGCGCATGTTTATACGCAAGTCTTAGATTGTACGCCTGCTCGTATACGTGTGTGCTTTTTGTGTTTTTGTGCTAACATAATGTGAGAGTAATCTTTTTACTGACAGCTTTGTGTCATGGGAAGTCATCGCTCACCAGAGATCTGCTAATCCATAATTGCTCAGCTTAATATACTTAAACTATAGGAGCCATTAAGCCAAACCACCTTCTGTTAATGCTCATGTTTGTGTTAACCGGTAAAAGGTGCTATGAGTAGGCTTTCTGGATTAGACAGCGATGGTACCGGGAGTCGCTAGTCTTCCTGTAGTTTCTTGTCCACCATCTTCAAAATGTCGGCATTTTCAAAGACCAGCATTAAGGCGCTGAATGTGTTCTGCTAAAGAGCTGACCTTGTTGTTTCTTTACAGCTCTCTGCCTCGCAAGCCCAGCACCGAGCCAGCTATCCAGCTATCCTCTCATCCATCCATCCATCCATCCAGCCAGCCCGCCCGCCAGCCAGCCAGGCCGGCCCTTCCCTGCCCAGAACTGGCAACCCGCAGGAGTCATCAGGGTTAGTGCGCCTTTGGCAGGCCTCTGTGCCAAAACCATCTGTAAGCATCAGGCACAAAGTGGTAAATTTATGGATCTGCACTTAATCCGAAGGCCAGACAATCAAAAATATACATTAAAAGAAGAGAATGGGCTGAACTTGAGCCTTTCATAAGACACTCGAATGGCTGCAGATTTATAACCTCAGTGGAGATTGAAGTGGTGACCATTTTTTTTTGTGTGTTTTACCGTCATATTTTATAAGTATCTTTGGCTCAAGAAGAACACTGACACCTAAGGTCCTTAATTCATGTCTAACAAACCACGTCACTAATGACACAAGTCAAATATAATATCTGTAGGTAAGAGCAGCTAAAGAGGTGTGTACCCTCTTACCTTCTTAAAGTCCAATACTTCGGTACAGAGATAAGCAGCATACTCTCATTTACATACCCTCTATTTCTTCATTTGGTTTTAGGATACACACACACACACACACACACACACACACACACACACACACACTGCAGATTATAAGCAACACTGGATTAAGTTAAAGCTGCGCTGTTTTGCTAATAATTCAAATACTGCAAGTGCTAGCATTTTCTGCAGTTCATCAGGGAGACGCTGTAAAAAGACAAAGCTGAACTAAATGACTACCAGCGCTCAGGCCTTATCGCAACTGTGTGGGTGTGTGGCTCGGGTGCTCATGTAAGAGAGAGAGAGAAAGAGAGAGAGAAGTGTATGTGAATGTGCGTGCACCGAGACGTAAATGTGACAGCCGAGGGTCTGGCTTACACACTGAAATCTCTGCTGAGGCTTCTAATGCATTTGTCGAGCGGGGATGTGATTTCAGTATTCAGTCGTACAGTAGAGATACAGCAGAGCAAAAAAGCAGACATACATTTACATTTAACACATTTACATTATGTGACTGTTGATGGAAATATAAAGGTGCGTGAACCTGAGATACAGTACCTCTGCTTTTTTGTATTAATTACAGTGAATAGAGCTTCTCTCTCCCTCCCTCTTTCTCTCTCTCTGTCGCTTTCTCTCATTTCTCTGACACTCTGTCAATAATTTCTGTATGGAAGTGATGAAAATAATGTCCTTTAATGCAGATACTAGAACAAGAAGCAAGGATAAAAGCAGGTATTTCCCCCCTGAAAATACAATCACAGCAAAGAGTCGAAACTAACCAACTCACGAAATACAATTTGAAAAGACAGCAGAGAATTCTTCAAGTATTTTTTTTTAATTTTTAGTTCTGAAATAATTAGAGTTTTCAAAACAGAGACCAGATTATTGTATCTTTATGAGAGAAATGTGCACCTTTCAGAACAGTATGGTTGTTATTCGATCTGTTAATTATGAGGTACTAAAACGCTTCAGAAAGCAGAAACCCGTGCTAAAGAGCTCCACTGCTATGCCAGCAACAATTTCAAAATGTGCCCATAAAAGAGATGGAGTTAGAAAGGCCAGGTTGAAGACATAATCTTGTTTTGGTAACCTATTTAATTTGAAAGATATTGATGTTCACCTTTGAGTAAAGGGAACATGAGGACACAGCAGTCAGTGTGTGTGTGTGTGTGTGTGTGTGTGTGTGTGTTTCCCTCCGTGTATGTTTTTTTGTGTGAGAGTGTGTACCAGTGTTCGGCAAAAGGCCTTTTAGAGTGGAGTAAGAAGGAAATGGATGCTTGGCACATGCTCAGGCAGCATCCTTATCGCTGCTGCTCTCAGAGCTGACCACCACGGCTTCTTAATAATGGACACAAAACACAGAGTCATTTCTATTTATGCGCTCACTAACACATCTCACTCGACTGTGTGTTGCTACAGATAACATTAAGCACGAAATGATGTATCATTATCCCCGATGCTGCGCATGTCGATTGTACGTCAATTATTTTATTTAAAGGAAAGGGGTTTCATAAAGAAAACTGAAGAAGTTTGGATTGCAGGTTTCTGTCTGGCTGGAGCAAACTAATATGGAATAAAGGGTGTCAAACACAATTTTGTCTGACAGGAGTGGAAGTCTGCTGTTTAATAGTGTGGGTCTAAAAGGCAGAGATGGGGAGGATGTTCTCCACAGCAAAGCTTTCTGCCTCCCTGGCTTTCATCCCAAGTGCCGACAACAGACGTCGTCATTTTCCAACTCAATTTACAGACGCATTAGGAGATGCTGAGGCGCGCCCAACTCTCTCAAATGCAATCAGTCTGCCTGTGTGTTTTAAGAGGAAATTGAGGGTGCAATCTTTATTGACTTCTTTTTGACTTCTCCTCTTTTGTAGACTCATTTCCCCCCACTAAAATAATTTCAACACATAAACAGCTGCATATGGATTTCTTCGTGACCACGCTTTACCGATCCATTTCCCCTTTTGACAACGTGAAAAAAGGCAAAATGGATGTTTAAGACGACTGTAAACTCATCTCATACAGATTTAGATTTAGTCAGATTTGCTGAGGTAAGTGACGAATATAAATACCAAGTTAATCACTCTTAAATCTCCACCATTTTTACGTCCTTGTCCTCCTAATATGAGTCCATAAAAAGTCATTTTGAAAGTGTTTTCATGACATGATTTAGAATTAATTAATGAGATAATTTACCAATAAAAATGGTAATAATTTAATGATTTAAATTAATGTCACTTTTTTCTCTAGTACCTACAGAGGTGGCACTAAAGCTTGCCAAATGTCATGTTGAACGTATTTTCACGTGAAGACTTTGCTGATACAATCTGAGTCCACGGATCTGATGCGATGCTTCCCATCTGCATTTAATGACATCTGATATGTCTTTTTTTGCACTCAGAAATTACCCAATTTTTCAGGGTTTTGTTAAATATTTTAGTTGTTAAATTGATCTTCAGTTGACTTTACAATAGCATTAAAAAAAAGCTCTTTGATTCCAGCTTAGTGAAACCTGCTGACACCCTAAAAGTCAGCTTCCCCCTCTCTCTCCATGTAATTGATTTTACACCTTTGAGCCCCACAACAGCTTTCTGAGTGCACTTAGGGGAGAGATTCAGGAAAAAGTCAGCTTGAGAGGATCATCCATGTAGATTTCATCTCTCACACCCCTGCTGCCCACAGTCCTGGACTGCTAATGTCCTGTCTGACCCACAGCTAAACATCTGTCTTACTGGGGGCTTGTATTAAAAATGAAAAGAAAGAGGGAGGATACAGGACAAAAGAGAGAGGCTGCGAATGACAGAAATGAGAGGAGGCGATGTGGGGAAACAGGAAGAGCTATGAAAGGAATAAAAAAGAGATGGTATCTTTAATTGTACAGTCCCATCTTTCAATTTCTTCAGTCTCTCAAAATATCACAAAACATTCATCGTCTTTTTCACCCTTCATTTTCTCTCTGTATCACCTCATGTCTTGTACCAGCTGTTCACTCATCTGTTTTACTTTTGATCTCTTCTTTTCCTCCATCTGATTTTTCAATCAAATTCCTTCTTCCCTGCTTCACTTTTTTTGGCTTCCTCCCCTCCTCATATCTTTCCACTATTTCTCGTTTTTTAGTTAGTGCTTTTTCCGAATCACCCGCTTTGACCACAACGAACCGATCACTCCCACAAATGCGTAGCTTAGATATTGATTATCCCTCACGCGGTGGACGGTTAGACTGACAAAATATTATTCTTATGTGCCGTTAAGTGCGTGAATCTCGCTAGCAAATCTCCTTTCTGCTGTGCGGCAGTGTGGATCTATAGCATTCAGGTGGTGGAGGTCTCTCGAAGCATGTGGATGGTATCTTGAAACGAGGGGCTGGCTGCCATAGCAACCATATGATGAGGCTGGCAGGGCTATTTAAAGGAATTCAGCTGCTGCTCGCGTTCCCGTCAGCTTCACACGGGTCCAGTGAGAGACAAAGAAAAAGATATGAATGCAAGAAAATGCACGTCCCTGTAGCTCCACGCAAAAATATCATGTCTGGATTTAAAGCAGGGAGGAAGAAAAGAGTCAAATGTACCAAAACTTATAACAATTAAAATGAGTATCTAATTATTGTACTATTGGAACTGTGCTCATACATTTAATTTCATATGCACTGTTGGGGGGTTTTAACATCTTTTACTTTCCTTAACACCCTCTTTAGAATCTGCTACGATAATTAGCTCATCTCATACCTCAGGATCTTATTCTGGTGCGAACACATCATGCTTATTTTCAATCCTTTCTTCGAAGTATACATGCATATCACATTTGCGTGGATGCATACTGGTAAGTACAATATGAAAACAAAATTCTTTGATGTAGCCAATCTCTTTTGTGATGCAAATCTTTGAAATAAATGCAAAGGTGAACACTAAAATGTTAAGTTTAATATACAACAAACAATTCTCTCTCTTCCACAGAGGTTTCTCTCAGTGGTCAGTAACACATGAGGGGACAGGTGTAAGAGGAACGTCTGTGCACCTAGAAGAGCGATCAAAGAAGGGCAGGGTTTACTAAACACATATTTGATAGATTCGTCTGTCTGTGATTGAGTTTGGTTTGAGAAGATTTACACCTGAAAGAAAATGACATTTATTTCCCATCTTCTAATAAGAGTATTATGGTATTTTAAGTTAACCTCCCATGTGTCTCTGTCGACATTGAACTAATAATAGGCAGTGCTTCCTGTCTATTCTGCAGCTTTTAGTAGACATCTGAGCCTCTTTCTACCTCTCTGTCTCTGCTTTTCACTTAATAACCACTAACAAAAGAGCTGGAACATCGAGTGCAGATTATAAAAGGTTTGTTTTCTCCAGTCAGCAAATTAACAATAGATCAAATATTTACATGGTGCTTTTTATAGAAATTGTTTCTACGATTCCTGTTAAATTTTAAAGAGAGGGTATTCAATTTCCATCAATACTCTGACAAGCGTAGAATATGTTAGCGAGGCTGTCCAAGTAGTGAGGGAGGCAAATACTGTCCGAAGACAACACAAATTTATTGGGAGCTATTTGTCCATAACACTGAGTGGAAGAGTTTTAAGCAACCTTTTGTTATAGTTTCATCATCTGAGTCAAAATGACCAAGCATTGGTTCTGTCTGAGAGGGTGGTTTTGTCCTCTTTGTTTGATCAGTTTTTAAAATATTTTAAAATATACTTAAAATACATAATGGCCTCTTTATGTATGAAACTTTAAATAATCATGTTTTAAAAATGAGCATCATCTAAATTCCCAAAATGAGACATACTGGCTGACAGGTGATTCTTCAGCGCCTATAAATGGATGCCCTGGATTTTCTACTCTTTTATCATGCTGATAATCTACAACATTTTTATATGAAGTGCACGGTTTTTGGTTAAACTACAGGTGCTCTTTTATCACTCAGCTTGCCCAGTAGGCTGTTCCATAGCCAGTGAGAGCAGTCAAAAAGATTTAAAGTGCTTCATAGAAGCAAAATTATGAGTGACCTCTCTGGTAACACTCCCTCTGCTCTTCACTCTGCTCTTTATCTCATTCTAATCCTAACTCATTTCATATGCTAAGTAAAAGCTTATATCCCTCTTCACTGTACATACACACACATCCCTCATCCTCTGCTGTGATTATAAAATTAGCATAGAGGATGTTGTTGGAGCTGTAGAGAGCTGAAGCAGGGGGGTTGTGGGTGGTCTAAAGCCTGTCAGGTGTATAGAGGTGGGGCAGAGATTCCCAGAATCCCTCCTATCTGGATTATGAAGAGAGCTCAACAAGAGAAACCCAGAGAAAGTTCCCCCATGCCACTCTCCTCTGTTTAATGGTTTCCGCTGAATCTAATTTGCCTGTTCTCTTTTCACAGCTGCCACAGATGTAGTGAAGATTAGGAAAGAGGATGAGGGAGAGCTGACTCTCACCCCCAAGAGGTTGCAGTGAGATGGAACCAGTTATCTGCCCTCTGATGAAAAACCACCTCCACCATCATAGCGCCATCTGCTGGCTCGGTAGGGCAAGACAGCTGGTGTTGTGAATCAGGCCGCCGCAGTCCAAGGACCGGCTACTTCCCAACACCAGGGTCTATCCCTTACCCCTCACATCCTACCAGACTCTACCTCTGTCTGAAAAGATTTGGTCTGAACATAATCTGCTTCTGATGTAACGCTGATCAATTTGATTTTATCTTTATACACTTTTTGTACCTGATTTTTTTCTGATCTGTATTAGACTTAGACTCGGTGTACCACGTATGCTCCTAGATATACTATGTCCTACTATGTCCTTCTAAGATTCTGTGTAATAAATACAAACATAATTTCACTTACATTAACAATGAAGTCTAAGAAACTAATAAAATTTTCCAAAAATGTAGTTCTCGAAACCTTTTTTTTTTTTTTAATTGCTGAACTTTTAAAGCATACCATGAAAAATAGCTGTTCTGTCATATTGTAGTTGTTGCAGATTGTTCTTTATACTGTAATCCTTTATTTCAGATGATTTTCTCAAAGAATGGTCCCTAGAAATCTCATGAAAACGAGACACAATGAGGGAAACTTTTGAGTCTTTCTTTGATGAAATTCTCCTTTTTTACAAAGATGCAAAATGTTGCAAAAATGCATTACCTGTATTTAATTCGAACATTGACTTAAACATATAGCTTTAATTTCAAAGATTTAATGTAAGGGCACTTGTGGTTGGATTCACAGCCATTGGATTTAGAAGGAGACTAGATAAGAGATCTATGCATCTGTGCTAAGATTAGTGCAGTCGATGCCTAGACTGCGGCAGAAAATGGCTGTCTTCTGAAACTGAGAGAAAACGTGATTGCATAATTCTATGACGTATTCCTCAATAAGCATGGCACATACATTTTATGAGAAGTTTAAGGAACATTTTGGCCAGTATTCTTTCTTAATCCAATTTATGTAAGTATCAACTTCAGGACATAATTTTAAAGACATATTGAACACTCGAACATTTGAATTCACATCAGAAAACATTGTGTGATTACTGGAGAAAGTTGCAGCCACATCTACTCGTCTCCTGATACTGCCTGCATAGCATACGGGACAATTTCCCCATTGAATGAAAATATATTCCTTCAATTAGTACCTGTTGTGCTAACTGCTGGTATGTGAGCCTTTAGGGTTAAACTGTTGAATGATTTATTTAGAGTTGGTCCCTATCCAGCTTCTGAATTTGGTCTCCGTTTCTCTTTTCAGGATTTCATAACAGTTTGTATAATTTGCTTCAGCCAGCACAAGCACCACTGTTTTTACATTTCCTAGTCACCCTTGTTTTTGCGCAAAATGTTAATTAAACTGGTTTTTGTTCAAGTTTGGCTGCATGCTTATGAACCCCAAATTGTACTGGAAAAGCTTGGAAAAGGTCTAAAACCTGGTAAAAGGACTAAGATAAATTCCTGCATCAAACTGAAGGTAAGTGATATGTTAACTGTGCCTTTTTAAAGTTATTTACCAACTGGTGATGCCACAATAGTTGACTTAATGTTAAGATTTCTCATTTACAAATATAAAGTTCACAGCAGAAGCAGTCTCATCCTGGGATTACATCAAAAACACATATACTTCACAGTCTGAATCTTTGCCCCTTCCCAAACAGTATTGGTCTACGAGAACTATCGGTATTACGGTTTTTCTTAGTCGCTTTGGTGCATTTCTCACATCACTATTAACATTTGCAGTAACTGATACATGTCCAATTTGTTCAGAGGAATGAGAAACTGCTAGGATGATGTGCACAAATGACTCAGTGTTGTGGAGGTTGAACTAATAGTTGTGAAAACTTTAATTCTGATCTGAGAAATGCACCAAAGCGACAGAGAAAAACTAAGCAAATTTCAATTAACAGATGTCTGCGCATGCGTAGTGTCGCCTACACACCTTGGATCATTGTAGGCCTTAAGAGAAGTTCTACCTGCTGGAAAGTCAGGAGACATGACCACGACAGCTTCTTTTGTGAGTTTAAGTTTAGTCTCGGCCTTGAAGCACGCCTTTTTTACTTTTTTACTTACACTTTGGTAAAGAGTTTTAATCGTTTTTTTATTTTTTTTAAACAAGGATATTTGCCGACATGTTACCGACGTCTCGCAGGGTTAAACTCAACCGAGTGGCCTTTAAACATTTAGTTGCACCCGGACTGGTTCCGAGACGGAGACGGGTTCGCAAATGCGTAGGTACGAACAGGGCTGAAAAGAGAAAAATATTTAAGGCAAGCACCACAAAAAAATTAAATAATAAAATAAAATAAATAAATAAGAAATAAAGATAAAATAAAATTGAAATAAAGAATAGAAATAAAATAAATAAAAAGTATGGGGAACAAAGTAGAGGGGGAAAACACAAGAGGCAGATATCAGGTGGGGGAGCCAAACACTTGGATCAGGAGCAAGTCTGACAGTCTAGGCAAGCTGTGCAGCTTCACTTCACTGCTGATAACATTGTAGGCCTAATATATTAACGAAACGGACTGAGGTCCATGGCTGGCCGAGGAGGACAATGTGCAAGCACTCGAAAAAGTGAGTCTCAGTGTCATTTTGGCCAAAAGTAAGGCTAAGAAAAACCAGAGTCTGTCCTATCTTAGAACCTAATGTTGGGAAATTGTCAGGTTAAAGTGAATCCAGACAAGAGGATATTATTCGTGAAGTTAGTTTCGCCCACTTTACCAATAGATTCAGGGAGAGACATGTGGAGTTTGAGGGCCCAGTGAAGGCCAAGTCCTCAGAGTGTGACCGTCTGCATGCTGTGCAGCAGCAGACACAGGACCAGTACTATACAAGACGGGGACACTGGCTTTGTATCCACCCAATGTTCAAGTAAGGAGTGATTTAGCTGTGTTTACTAAACTTAAAGTTGTTATAATTGATCGTTAGTGCGCCCATAAAAATACGATCACTGCTCTTGACTTTAGACAGTCTGGGTGGGGATCTTTTATTGTGTTGCAGCTTTTGCTCACTTGCTGGAACGTGTCACAGCTAAGCTAGCGGTGCGGCTAACTGCTAACTCCCAGCCTGTAACTAATTGCATTGTATTGTATTTTTTCACTGTGAATAACTGTACGTTAAATAAATTTAGACCAACTTAATTTACCACTTTAAATGTTTAACCATGACTAGTAAAAGAGGTTTATAAGTTGGAAGTTGTAATATGAAGAAGGCCCCACACCAGCAAAACTTCGATGCCGCGAAAAGCACACTGTTAGCTTGGCTTCTGCTCATATCGTCTTATGCAGTTTCTTCGTAAAAACTTTATCGAAAATAAAAATACCTTATATTTATATCAGGTTAGCATCATCCTATTTGTTTACCTATCCTATATAAATCACCACAGAATGTGTCCAAGTCGATGAAAACAGTAGGGGAGAGTGGGGTAAGATGAGCAATTTTTCATATTTCAGATCACTGCATCAAGGCAATCATAGTTTTGTCTCTAACTAGTGTATCTGCATGTATTTCAAGATGTTGATGATGAGTGTAAACATAACTGTCATGATAATATAGCATGCCAAGAAAGAGTGGTCTCCTATGGTCAACTTACCCCGTGTATGGAGTAAGTTGACCATAAGAGCAGCACCCTCTGGTGACGGGCTGCAGTATAGGTCATAAATCCCGCCTCCACCAGCAAAGCTTATGGCGCTGTGGACAAACTTTAGAAATTTATTACACAGAACATACATTTTTCTCCCCCCTGCTTGCGGTGTTGATATGAAGTTACAGTAAGACTGGTTTGTGCTCAAGTCTTATTTTTTCTGTGAAGCTCCGTTTTCAAAAGTTATTAGGGGGTTCCTGTTTTCTGTGATTGAAACCTGATACAGCCTATAGGTGTTCAGGGTTTGCGTAGCTCACCCGGGGGATACGCTGTTTGAGCCGAGTGTCGTCACAGCGACACTGGTTTCAGGAAATGAAGAAAAATCCCGTAAATACCGAGAGCTATTTGGCTTCAAATCCGTATGCAGGCGGGAGGCAGAACCAAGTTGTCCATAGTATAAACAGTCTATGCTTCACCTATGTGCTTCTGACCTTCACAGACTCAGTGAATTGATGCCAATCTCCTGAATATTTAGTCACATGATCAATATTTTTTATCATTTCCAAGCAACAGGGGTTGGCTCAACTTACCCCACTCTCCTCTATGTGTACACATTGGCCTGCAGATGTGCAGAGAGGACATAAAGTAACCAGCCAAAACATTATGAACACCTGAACAGTCTGATGCGATCTAATACGACCGTTGTTTCATGAGCTCAGCTTTTAGGAAGCGTTTTAATGTTCAATTTTTGTTGACTCGATCAAGTAGGGTTTTATTGTGCTGTATGTCAATTAAGATGTGGTAGGTAGTGGTGTACTGACGCATGTTACTCTGAAACATGTTCCTTATAGTTTGTCTATTTCAATCAGAGAGGCAAAAAATTTCAGCCCTCATTATAATGCACTCCAGTGCACCACCAACACCCACTGGGTTGCAGTGCATTGCCCAGGTGTTGATGATGTCCCAGTTTGACAGGATACAGTTGCTGTTTAGTGACCAAATGGGCCTTTCTGTTCCAGTGAAAGATCTTTTGTAGAAAACATTGAAAATGTCCCTGGACATACACTCCTAATTAAGAATTCCTCCCACCTTGCTTACCTTGAGCTTATATGAGATTGTGCTTGTAGCTGGAAGGGTTATTTCCCGAGTAAAACACCCTCATCACAACTTGTCAAGGATAAACAGGGCAAATACCACTCTCAAATATTGTGTACAATCCAAAACTAAGGACAATTCACGCATTAGGTCAAGTGTTTTTAAACCTTTTTTTCTCTTTTGCTTTGAAAAAGAAAGAGAAGTTAAGGATTGGCTGACTTTGGTGAAAAGCCATACTTCTAACCAAAAAAAGATTTAAAAATATAAAAATGCAAAACATACCCATGGTTTAAGGATTGCCTCTCTGCATTTTTGATCATTTAATCATGTGGCTTGTATTTCAGTGTTTGCACTTCTTAACAGGCTTTTGTTTCTACTTGCAGACAGTGATAGACATACACACCAAATCCCCGCTGGACCTTCTGACCCAGAGGGGTCTTTCAGAAGAGTTCCCAGAGCTTCTGGCGGTGGTGTCTGTGGGGACTATAAATACAGAGCCCATAAGCAGAAGACACTTGGTAAGCAGGAGCAAAAAAGCAGAGGCCCAGAGCAAGGGCGGCCTACTGTTGATTTTATGCTTGAGGGAAAAAATACAGCCCCTGAAGCCTCTCAGAAGATTGTTGTAGGGATAGACCAGTGCCCAAAGGTGACACTTTGTGACATAGCCCAATATTGTGACACTTGTAATCACAAGTGTGGCTATGTGATACCGGATGTCCTCAAGACCAAGGTTGTGCATTGCTTCAAGCAGGAGATGAGAGCTGGATTCCGATTAAGCCCTGGTTGTTTTGACCATATCAAAAAAGAAACCAAGAAAGATGTCCATGCTAATGGTGAAGTGAAGAATGTCCTTGAGACAAGGAATCTGACTCCACACCAAAACAACATTAGTAAGTCTACCAATTTACAGATATTTTCCAATCATACACCATGTTGTGTCCCTGAGAGGTGGACTAGTGAAGGATCTGGTTCTTCTTTGCTCTTATCAGATAAACATATAGAACAAGAGGAGTGCAGAACTGGCATGAAGGACAGGAAAAATGACCAGAATCCTGGGTCAAAATGTCTCCTCACAGGAGCAGGTCTTTGCAGAGACAAGAGAAGAAAGCTAGCAGATGGTGTTGAAGATGGGACTTCTCCTTCTACTTCAGATTTAGAAAGTACCACTAAGAAACAAACAACTAAAACTGACAAAGAAAAAGGACAGTTTTGGACGTCTGATAACAGCCCAGAGCATGTGCAGGGTGTTGGAAGCAGCAGCATTATTGGCCTGGAAGTAACAAAAAACGGTGTCTCCGGACCACATAGGGGTGAATGCAGTCCAGAGCTGCTCTGTCAGAGCGATGAAATGGACACAGATGAACCAGAGTCATCATTTACCTGCCAAAGAGTGAGGATCTATAAGGTAGAGAGAGCTTCTTCCTGTGCACGCACACATATATCTTGGCCTTTCTCGAAACGTAACTGGACCCTGACAGCACATGTTGGGACTGCCTCCCAATCTGCAGAGCATGTTGATCCTCTACTTCGAGGCTACTGTGACTCTACAATAAATCAGCATCAGTCTGATTTATCCAGCGAGAGAACCAATGATGTGGTCCCAGCTTCGCCTACAGACTTCTCTACTGGCGTCACAACCCACCACATTTCCCATCAAATCCAAACAAAGAGAGAAGATGAAAAATGTATTTTAGCACAGAGAAATGGGACAATACAAGGTGATCAATCTTCATACTCTTCAGTCAGAAAAGACATGCATTTCGCTCCTCCCGTAATGGAGGCTGAAGAATCACAGGCCAGCCTCTCGGATGAGACTTTCCTTTCCAACTCAAGTCAGTGTGGAGTGGACACAGTCTCACTTTCATCTTTGCCAGCGAATGATCCCAAAACTAACAGCTCTTTATCCACCCCTTCCCCTACAGCACTTGGCCTGAGTGACTGGAATACTGCGCCTAATTTGTCCCCTATGTTGTCTCCGTTTTTACATTGTGGTTCAAGCAGAACCTCAGTCACACCATCCTCCCTGACGTCAGTCTCTTTACTGGACACGGTCAGAAATGTTGAATTGGCAGAAGATCAGTCAACCAGCACATTGGCATCGCTGCCTTCACCTGCACATGTGGTTGAATCTGCAGAAAAGAAGCCACCCCTCGACTGTGAAGAATCCCAAATGACCAGATGTCACAAATCAGACTCCTTCCCTTCATTTGCATCATCATTTTCTCTCGCTCATTGGAGTGATGAGTTTTTCACAGGCAGGCTCCCTCCAAAACTGGAGCCATATTACAAAACAAGAACAATTAACCATAACCTTACAGTGCCTGAAGAAAGATCATTGGACGGTGTTCTGAAGGAAAACTGTGTCGATGATGATTTTCTGCTTCCACCAGTGCTCTCACCTGTTACTTCACCAACACACGATTTCCTGACAAGCTTTCTTCTCCAAAGTCCTGAGGGTTCTGATGAAGATGAGGAGGAAATACACGCAGAACCCAGCCAGCACAGAACGTTACCTGGAGTTTTGCTTCCACAAATTGTCAATGGAAACAATGAGAACTTTGAGGATGATGATGGACAGGGCAGTAAGCAGTTTGAAAGTCAGACTTCCCTGAATGAATCACATACACCTCATGTAAGAGAAGAGACAAACCATCATGGTACAGATGACGAAGCACAAGTCACACAGGTCATGAAAAAAACTGAGCAGATCCCTGCAGATACCCAAATGAAGCCAACCCTTAGTTTGGGTAGTCAGACAAACTCCTGCTCCTCCTTATGTAGTGAAGAAGATGATAGTGGAGCCTTCAGTGATGAAGGACCGCCACCGAGAGAAGCAGTGAAATCTCCATGTGGGATAACTGACAGTGAGAGAGATGTGTCCAAAGCAGAGGCTGCTGAGGAAAACAAACAGGGCGTTTTGGATGAGTTCACAGCTTATGAACAGGATATCCTGCTCGTCGATGTGTCTCAGGACGACCCAGACTTGTTTAACAACCTGCCCCAAGAAAGTTTACTGAAACTTGGTCCCACTAGGCTTACTGAGGCCTCTAATACCAAACCTGGGAACATGGTTAAAGCTCAGCTGCTGAGGAAGGACAGAGCATCAGTTGACTTTGAACAAAGGTGAGGTCTCATATTTCATAGTTTCTTCTGTTAGCAGTCACTGACAAATTGTATAATCCAATATTAATTAAATAACTTTGTTTCAGATTGACCACTGTGATGATCAATTTTCATTGTGACAGTCCTGATATCTCAGGTGCGGTCTATCAGAGTTCATTTTATTCATTTCAGATTGTCTGACATTCCAGTTGCTACTTGAGTCATAGACAAGAGCTGATGGTACAAATAAAAAAAAAAAGTGGATTTTTCTTTTATTTTTTGTGTTTACTTCACAGATGAGGGCAACAGGAGGTCATGGAGACCTCAGAGCAGCAGCAGCAGCAGCAGCCTTGCCTCCAGGCAGAGCATCTCATGGACTGCAAAAGAAAAGCCAATGACAACCTTGGTAACTTAGGGCTTTTTACGTGGGGTCATTTGGCGGACCAGGACCGCACTTGTGGCACCGACCTTAAGGCAATCAACAGAGTAGCATAACGCCAATTTACGATGAAAGGCAAAAAAAAAAGATCAATGTCGCTCTTGCAAAAGTGTCACTTGTGTCCTCAAATCCAAGGAAAGGAAAGGGGGAGTGTAATGCACAAAAAATGCAAAGCAGTTGTCACAAGACGAATAAGTACCTAAAGGTGTACCGTGTCTCCCAAAGAAAGTAATTCTTAGCTTAGTTCAAACTGGATTTCATAGCTGTTTAAAAAGCATGGTTTGCAGTTCACATGCACTGTACCATGGTGAAGTCCTTCTGCTCTATAAAGAGGAAACATCATGGTAAAAGTGAAGGTGTTATTTATTAGTGTGTACAAAGTTAATCTTCATAATGACTGTTTTATGTCTGAAGCAGCGCCAGCCTGATGCCAACAACAATCACGTCAACGGAGACCTGAAAAGGTAGGTGTAAAGCAAAGCTAAACATTCTTTTAAACTGATTTTATTTTAGTTTTTTTTTATACATATAGTGTTATTCTGTCTTCTGGCAGGAGTCAGCCAATCCAGACAGTGACCTTCCAGCCGAGCCAAATCTCTGCACCGATGACCAAGAAAAATGGTAGGAATTTGAGAAGAGCAGAGACTCTGACTTATGAGCTGGTTCAGCTTCTGTCTGTTATTAGGGATAATTCCACTTCGTCTGATGTCCTTGTTTAGTCAAGCTCTAACTGTAGCTGTTCTGTTGGACTGTCATTGTGCTCTTTTTGGTCTCCGTACAGGGCCGTGGAACACAAACTTATCAAACATGGCAGAGTTCAGGCATCAGCTGTCAAATACTGTAAGTATTTAATCAAATAAACTATAAAACTTATATTTTTACAAAGGACTTGGACTTAGCATAATAGACATTTTCCATATTTCAGATTTCATCAGTGCTCAGCCACAGCATATGTAGTGTTAATACTTGTGCTCCGGTGCTTATTTCAAAGTAAAATTACATCTAAACCTGAAAAGTAAGATTAATGATAATAAAATAAATACTTTATGAAACTGCCACTTATAGAAGTCAGTAGTAGAGGATGTTAAAGAAAGTCACAAATGGTTATTAAGGCTGTGGTTTTTGCATCATTGATTCAGTTACTGCCTGACTGTATAACAAAGGCTTTTACCACATTATTGACATTTGATCAAGGCTCGTCGTAGTCTTCTGTCATTTATGAAATTGGGTCAGATTGCTTACAAAACCTCTCTTCTACAGCCTCAGTACTGCAGGCAGTACTTCAGTGAGTCAATGTCCTGTGGGTTCAAGATGTGTTGGTTCCTGCATGTGCCCGTGGATGGGGATGAGAAGGTAATCTCATCCAATAATATGCCACAGTACCACAAAGAGATGAAGTGTGAGTTTGAACCTAACCAACCAAAATGTTAAAAAAAGTAGACAATGATCTTTTGCTGAGTGAGTCAGTCAGAGATCAAAAGTGTGACCGTTCATGCCCCAGCTGTTTGCCGAGTGTTGAAGGCAGAGACAGCATCACCCTCTACTGTGCCATTAGTGTAACTACACTTTCAGAATCATGTCAGTCTCATTTTGCTGTTTGTCTTTTTCAGTTTTGCGTGGAAACTGTGGCACGGTTCACCAAAAACCCAATGTGTCTCCAAAGAGCAGGTACATTCGGACTTATCCAATATCTTAGCGCTAAATGGACACATTTATGTGCCTTTTAATAAGTGATTATTTATCCCTTCTTCTATTTAGGGGCTGTCTTTACAGGCTACTACCAGAACAACCCACCAAAAGCACACTTTTCCATGCCGGTTCTCCTGTCTCTCCTCTGGGCTCTGCTCAGGGCTGGCATGGTGTCTGATATCTTCTCAATCCTCCATGTCAGTGTGGCCCATAAGATACTGGTCAGTGTCTCATAACTTTGTCAAAATCTGTTACACTTTTTAATCTAGTAGAGGGCAAGATGTGCAAGTCAGTTACATCTTGGTTCACTAAATGTACACTCAAAGTATCACCATTTTCTTCTCTCTCCAGCCTGGCCATGAATTTGTGTTAGCTCTCTTCAACTTTGTGAGAGAAAAGGGTCTCCTGGGTTTGGTGCCTGAACTCATGCAGCTCACATTCAAGGTATCATAATTTCCACAACCTTAACCTACCCTTGGGAAGCAGATTCTGTTGCTTGTGTTTTCATGTGTGGGTGGGATAATTTATTCTGGCTGCTTGTTGACAGATGGCTGGTGCAGGCCTGGGGTTGAGTTTGGACTGCTTGGATTGTGTGAAAAACACTCCTGAGTTCCAGATGAAGAACTCAAATATTTCTGTATCAGGCAACCAAAAGTAAGTGGAGACTGTTACCCCCCATGAAAAAACAGATCATGTTGTCAGCACTCTATCATTCATTATATTCATAAATCCATTTTTTTCCACAAAGTTTCAATGACTCAGCTTTCCTCACATTTCACCAGAAGTGGGCATAAGTTAAGAATCACTTATCTGTATTGATCACACCCCTTTTAGGCTCTCAACCAGTGGGTCCTTTTCAGAGTACCTGAATTTGGCCCATGCTGTTGTGGAAATAGAGGTCTGTTCTCCTTTGAAGTATATTTTTCAAACTTAAACGACAAAGATGTGGTTCTTTTAAAAATAAATAAATAAATGTCACTGGACTTATGCCTCTTTTTGTATTTCTGTCTGTCAGCTTTGTACCAAGCAGGAGGACTGGAGGCGGATGGGGGAGGTTTTTAGGTCGATCTGCCAATCCAGCCAGGGCCCCAACCAAGTCAAGCACATCAGCGGTCGCATAGCTATAGCGCTGCTGTCTGAGGGCAAAGACAAGCTGTCGCTGCCCTTTGCTGCATTCGCTGAGACAGGTAAAAAACAGAAAAACACTCCCTACTCAAAGGCTTTTCTAAATGTATTGACCTGATCATTTTCCTTTTTAGTTTGTCAGAATGAAGAGAAGGGAAGCCTGAACAAGAGTTTTTTTGGCAGGATTGGAGTCTCTCTTATGTTAAGATATCACAAAACCCATCAGTGGGCGAAGGTAACGAACAACTGTTGTGTATTTATTACATTCCTGTACTATAAGTGTTCATCTGATCTCACTTAGGGCCTCTCAGAATACTCCTTATGCGCACAAATACAGCCCAATGTAGCAATGGCAGGACCGGACAACCCCAAAAATGATGGTTTTTGGCTAGTCTCGCATGACAGAGTGAACAGTCACCAAGGCTGCACAAGGGATGCCTGACTGAAGGTCCAGCATGTATCATTTTTCTCACAGAGATCCCCCACATGGACAAAAGTCACGAATGACTAAGTTTATGCTGGAACAATGAGGCAGAGGAAAAGTTTGTGGAGCTCTACCGACAGCACTATGACAGATTTAAAGGGAAAAAAAATAGGAAATATTGGCGAAATAAAGCAGATGCACTGAAACAAGCAGCTGAATCACCGAGGCCTGCCCCTCTCCTATGGTCTTGATGACTGTTCAGGGATTATTGTGTAGCCCAACATGTCTGTAGATCAAGTCACGGCATGGATTTATGGCTCTGTGATTGCCTACTCTGATATAGCAACCATCGTAAGAATGAAAAAGATGAAGGTAACTGGATCTTTTGTGCTCTCCAGTAAATTGGCACTATGCAAATATAGATTGATTGATTGATTGATTACCATAGTTACTCCACCTTCCCCATTGGGCCATTAAATCTCATGCTTCATCTCATTTTTTAGTTCTGCTGTATTATTTTTGTTTCTTTGAAGCACACAGACCCTAACAGCTGATATATGCACTGCGAGTGGAAAAATGCACGTGTCATGTCTCAGAATAGTGTGAAAACTAAAGTGGCTTCTAAAGCAAAATAACGTGGGAAATCATCCAAATAGAGAACACACTTTGGTTGGACTTCACCTAAACTGGTTGAATTAGGTGGTAGAGCTGGCCCTGTTTGGTAGTCTAGTCTCTGTTTCAAGTCTCTTCTCAAAATAGGGAGTGACATGCAGGAAAAGGTGACATAGGCTAAAATCATACCTGGACTGTCTGCTTGAGGCATAACCTCTATATATGGGGTGCACTGAGACAATAAGGCCAGTGGTGCCCATTATACAGACATCTACCTGACCTCTTTTATCCCTGTAAGATGCTGCAATGCCACAAGACTGTATTTACTTGTATCTTCCCTATTCAGGGTCGGAAGGTGGTGGAAGTGCTGTCTAATTCCAAAGTCAACTACTCAACACTGAAGGGCTTGTTTGGGAATGAGGACGGAGCATCTCGCTGCTACCTTATCACCGTGGCGACTGAGCTCTTCTTGTTGAGTGGCAGTGTGGAGGGAGCTCTGAACACACTCCGAGGTAACAGCTGTGACCCTGCGTCGAACTTGTTGCCATGTTTAGCTAGCTTTGCTGACCTTGTACCTGGTTTCAACTTGACTTATCATGTCTTGGAGAATTCACTTCTTTTGTTCATTAAAAAACCCTGACGATGAAATTTAGCTGGACTCAGATTTAGACTAGTTTTTAAACTAACCATAGTCTACTCTAGATCATACTACACAAGGAAGTGATGAAAAGTACATACTTTTGTACCCTAGCTACCCTGCATGCTGTTTTTTAGTTGTTTTTAATGGAATTGGGGTCCCGTTCAGCTTTCACAAACTCCTTTCTTTTTTTCTTTATTTCAGAAAACACATGGTTTGTGAGTTCGTGCGCATGGCCATGTGAGCCTGCTGATCTGGAGAGCAGGATTCATGTCTTAATACGTTTGGCAGAAAAATCCTCTCACAGAGACACGCTTGACGTCCTCAGCAATCTCCCCGGACTCAAGGAACCAAGTGGTGAGAGAGAAAAACTTGATTCTTCTGTTTTTAAAATTCCTCTGCAGATGTGCAACTCTCCACAAAAAGAGGAATGGAGTCAAATAGATGACTCACAAGCTTTTAATAATAGTAGTAATACATTTTATTTATAAGCGCCTTTCAGGTCATCTGATAGAACAATTAAAATCACAAGTAAAATACACATCAAAAGTTTTAAATCTGGATTCTGTATGCCGGCCTGATTATGCCAAGGAACGCCAATTTAATAGCCTGGCTGTTAAGGTCTTTGTAGCCTAGTTTTGTTCTGACCCAAGAGAACTTGGACTGTAGAAACCCAAAACAAAAAGTTGTCTCTCTCTTTGTGTTTCAGGTGACACCAGTCTTAAGTATTGGCTAATATTTTGGTGTTGTTTTCCTCCTCAGACTTGACTGATAACTCCAGGTATGCCTCCTTGTTTAATTCTCACCTGCAAGTGTGTTTGGACAAACAGACACTGACAGTTGCTTCAGACACAGTGGACTTCATGCTGTCGAAAAACCTGTCAGTTGATCACACTATGCTGCACGTGCTTTTGCACAAGCTGGGCAAGCAGAACCTCTGGCTCCGCGCACGGGAAGTCTTCAGACGTGAGTATTAATTTCAACTCCACTCATATAAAAAGGATCTTTCAGTGTTTTTAAAATGAGGTCGTATTAGTTACATGCCACTTATATTGTATTTTCCGGACTATAAGTCGCTCCAGAGTATAAGTCGCACCAGCCAAAAAAAGCATAATGAAGAAGAAAAAACATGTACAGGTATAAGTCGCAATTTTGGGGGGAAATTCATTTTACAAAATCCAAGACCAAGAACAGACAATTCATCTTGAAAGGCAAGTTATAATAATAATCTACCCATCTGATGTTTTTTAGCCAAAAGCGATTAGCTTATGGTTTTCTTCATCACAGTAAGAGTAACCTCCGCTTTTCACCAGTCCCTCACTGGTTTCTCGCTCACTCCAAACTCTCTCTCTGCTTCACGATCGCTGTTTTCGGCTGGATATTTCACTACTTGCAGCTTGTAATCTGCAGAATATGATTTTCTTTTTGGCAGCATTTGTGCTTAGTCTTTCTCAGTTGTCGATATGAGTTAACATTAATTTTTAAGTCTTCAGTGGTACAGGAGTAGCAGATACTGGTACACCAGCCTAGAGTGCCCTCTAGTGGCCGTCAGTGTGAAAATAACAAACGTGTGAAATTATATATTTTTATATATATTAAGTCGCACCTAAGCATAAGTTGCAAAACCAGCCAAACTACGAAAAAAAGTGCAATTTATAGTCCGGAAAATACAGTACATGTATTTACATTGGCAAAAGTGATGGCAAATGGGTGGGGACGGTGATGGCATGAAGCCCTGCCTCTTTGATGAGAAAATGCTGTGGGTGCTACTGTCCTCTTACAGGCTTGTTTTTGGGGCTTGCCATGTAATTTAGTTCATTTTAAGCACTTGTTTCGGTCACACTTCAGGCCCCGCTGAGAACTTTTCTAGCACCTAGCTTTGCCATCAGAAAGTCCAATTATTTTATCCTTGTTTGCCAACACAACACATGTATGTGTTCTCTAACCTGCAGCACCATCAGCTAACCAGGTTAATGAGGCACATGTTACTGATATAGTGTGGATGAGGATGTAGAACCTGCTAGTTAAATTCAGTCTTCCCCTTCCATAGTTAAAACTGTGGATATACACAGAGTATGTTAAGGTTAAGATTGACTTCAAAGATGCAACTTTTTTTAGCTCTCCTGTTATTTAACTTAACTCCTGAATACTTAAAAAAGTCAGTGGCAAACAGTGGGCTTCAGCGAGAGAAGGAGTTCTGGCCGGTGAGTAAAGTCTCCCTTGTGATGGCAAGCAGTTTTCTTGGTTCGCTGGCATTAGCTTTCATTTTACACACCTGCACAACAAGGTAACTTAGTCTCGCTCTGTCTGGCTCTTTTTGTCTCAGCCAGTTGAGACGCAGTTGGCTGAGTGAAAAAGAAAATCCAGCTCATAAAGGTGTCCTCTTGAGTCTGCTGTAAACAAAATGTAACTGGCGCTGTCAGAATCACTCGTTATTCAGTGATTTTGTATTCCTGTTGCTTTGAAGCCCACAGAACAGAACTGCTTATCAAGTGTGTTGCAGGCAGAAGCACATGTATGCCTGTTGTGTCCAGAAATAGCACAAAAAACAAATGGGCTTTCTGATGGCAGTCAGGAAGTGCTTCAAATCTCTCAAACTGAAACCAGTGCTAGTGCCGGGATCTCTCAAAATTAGCAAATGTTTGTAGCAGTCTTGGCCATAATTGTCTGTAGAATACTGTAGCATAGCTTGTGTGCCAGTTCTCCCTGCTGCTTTTACTAAAGGGGCTAACTCACTCACTGGTGGTATGTAACTCGTACAATCCGGCTTTTAACTAATGAAAATATCCCTTTAATAAGCTAAATAGATGAATGACTGTCATTTAAATAACTTTAATGTGTCTTTATCAGGCTCTCTGGGTGCAGGGTACTACCCAGGTGTTTCTGCTCAACCTGGTTTCCTGACACTCATCATCCCCTGTCGATTGGGGGAGGTGGAGCTGGGTCTCACATTGGAGATGTTTATCACTGTTAATGCAACAGTTCTCCTCCACCTGCCAGAGAACACCACCTCATGTCTCAGTATTACACTGAAAAGGTAATGTGCGTTTGTGTGTGGCCGGCTTGGTTGCTGCATGTGATGAATTTGACAGAACCGTTTCTTTTTTCCAGGATCCAAAGCTGTGAGAGTGAGTACCTCTCAGCTGGCAGCCGCCTCCTCTCTGCCGCAGGCATCCCCCAGCCCAAACTAATCATTCAGTACAAAGCTGTTAACTCGTCGCAGGAGCAAGTTTTCACCCTTGACATTTCCTCAGCTCGATTCTGGCTCCGCCACAATCATTTGTGGGCCAATGAGGTGTGGACACATTGAAACAGGTGCTTATCCCCTCGTTGTTCCTCAAGCACTTCTCTTTTCTTTCCGTCGAAACTGCTTGTGTTCCAGAGACCGCATTTGACTCATGGAAAAAAAAATGAAATTAGGCAACAAATATGTTTGTATTTCTGTTGGTTGTATATTTGTTAAACAAACAAAACAAAACCAAAAAAAAAAAATCATATTTCAACTTAAGGAAGCAGATAAAAGTTTAAGAGACCAAATCAAAACCTTACACAAAGATAAACCATTTCTGTTCCTATGTGTTTGTTTTTATCCCATCTTTCTTGGAGAGTTCTTTGCACTTATTTGTCTTCAGTTTCTATCACTGAGTGTTTTTTGATCTACTATTTGAAAAATTAGTAATCCTGTTGGAACCATTTTGTAAGGTTTGCATATTTGGTTTAAATAAATTTGTACATAAAATTTAAGTGTACGTAAGTAAATGTTTCTAATGATAAGACAGTATTTTGTTTCAGTATTGTACTAGATTTGTCATAGCCTCATTGGTCACTTGTTCCAGAGTTGTCACTTCAATTTCCTTTGTATAAAGTTTTTAAAATAAAAGTTATCCTGCTCCATGAAGTTTTGTTGTTGTTTTTTTTTTGTCCTGAAATTCTAATCCTCAACTATTGTGATCTGTGGATAGCTGTGCAAATCATAATGTAGATGTGGTGTTTAGCCTCTCTGATGTTGGGGAGAGCGGTGGAAAAACATTCAATGTTGTCACTGTATACTCACTGAAAGCACTTTTTAAGTTTAACAATGTGTCCATGTTCTCTATTAGCTCATTAACATTTCTAATCTCCAACTGAGTTGACTTTGGAAGAGAGTGTGTAACATAACCCATAATCCACCAGGGGGAAGTCCTGGGCTTTAGCAAAACAAACAGTGATGAGAAGAGAAATAGAAACGCACAGTCAGAAAAAGAATTCACCAGGTTTTGATCCGTAGTGTATAACTTGTTGACATCTATTGTGCAGTACAGTGTGAGAGCAAGTCGATATTGCAGTATACGGCTGTAGTGTTGAGAAAAGCCCTGCAGGCTCACATTTCTCAGAATAGCTTCACATCTTACTGTAGGAGAGGGGAAAAAGCAAGTTTAGAGACACATGAAGGTTAAAAAAAAACAAAAGGGAGCATAAATGAATAGTAAGGTAAGGGAATTTTTGTATTTGGTATAGAGTTTTGACTTTGGCCTGACCACAGGCTCACATTTTCTCCAATTATCTTCACAATTCACCAGCTGCTTATGTTTTACAATACCCTCTATGTTACCTAGAGCACTGTTGCGTTTTTAATGTAAAGACCACCCCTCCCTTAATTGGATCATCTGAATTAAAAATCAAACTAGAGACACACTCAACATTCTGAGGTGGCAGCCATGACTGTATGGACTCGAGTTGCCTGGGATGATTTATGAAGCACTGTTGTGAAACATACTGCTTTATGGGGATTTCTGTGGGGAATTATGCTCCCTGTCTCTGAATGGTCGCTTCCACTCTCACTTTGTTTACCTTGCCTTGTTACTGTAAATCATCTCTTTTTTTGCTCTAGTTATTGCTTTTGTTTACTTTAACCACATATCACAGGAATTGCACGGGTACTGTGTCATATTTGGGTAATGTAGGTAACAAATGACAAATGTGATGTCTCACATTGCTTTCTTACCATGTTGGGGTAGCTTAGGATCATTTTAGTGATCTATTGGCTTAGTTTTCCCTCATTTGGCACAGATCATGCACATCTTTTGATTCAGTTTAGACACTGAGTAATCAAATAACAGCAAATTATTCCGCTCAAAATCATCATGCTGCATATTTACTGAGTTTGAAATTTGTCCCTTTTTCAGTCGTACTATGATTAAATATCTCACACAAAAGAAAACTATTCTAAAATATAATTATGGTCCTTGAGGGATCTGAACGTGCGTTTTAACATACGCTCAAAATTCCCGCTGAAGATACTGATAATGAAGGTCTGTTCTCTCTGTGGCCCTAACCAAATAGCCCGTACATGTAATATGCTGTAGAAAGGAACTGGATTCAAACTTTTACCACAGTATCAACGGACAAAGGAGATTATTTTGTAATGCTGTCTGACAAACTCTATCGGAGTTGGACAGTTGTGCTGCATTTGTTTGTACATATTACACATAACTGAGATGAATAGTTGCCTATGTAAAGATTAACTTGTTTGGGCTGCCAACACTTGAGTGCATTGGGGATGAGAAGTTTCTGTCTTATTTGTGATTCCTCCCTTTGACCTGTTGGTGGGGCAGGGAGAATAGAGGACTCGACCAAACAATCAATACCTTTCTACATCTTGAGACTCCAACTACTCTCTGCTACAAATAACACTTTTTACTCTTCCTTGACTACAAGGCTGCCCGAATGGTGCAATAGCAGCCTGTAATTCCATCAGGCTGTACATGTGGTGCATATGCCCCTCTGCCTCTGTTAGATCGACTCAGTGGATACTTTTAAAAAGCAGTTGAAGACTCTTTTATTTAGATGAGCTTTTAATTAACATGGTTTTGTTTGTCTGTTTTATTCTTCTTTTATATCTGCACTTATTTCCATATTCACTGTACTGTATTCATATTCGTGTATGTAAATGTACTTATCTTTTTTGTACCATTTTATGTCTATCTAATTGCACTTATTTTATGTACAGCAAATGGCTTTTATCTGTGAAAAATGCTCTATAAATAAACTTTACCTACTTACTGCTTATATATGCCACTTCTGCAGATTGCCCACTAACTGTTAGAGCTATAAAATAGATACTATGCTCAGATAATCAATTTAATATGATGTAGAAATTCAGCATTAAATTACCAAAATTTTAAGTTATCATCTTATTCGACTAATGAGTTGGTTAGTCTTACGACCAAAGTGTGAAACAGACAATCTGACTTAAAAGTATTTTTTTTTCTACGACCCCGAAATAATTTGAAAAGTTTGACAAATATTTAAAAGGACAACCTATTTTTTTTTTGGCAAAATTTTACCTCCACCAGTCAACCAAGCTGCTGTTACTGAATACACTCTTTGTAAACATCAATCCTTATTAGGCTTGTTTTCTAAGTAAAGTAAGCAAACGACCGTAGTTCTTGTTTTTTTCAATTTAATTTTACCTTAATCCATCTACTGTGAAGACTGTTTGATTGGATTTGTACGGTGGCCGAGAACTGCCACTGCTGTGAATAAAAAGAATGCAAAAAAAAGAAGCTACAATGGAAGTTACCAATGCAAAAAAAAAAAAAAAAAAGACGAAGCCCACTGCAAATAAGAAAAAAAGAAATGGTGCGAAAAAAAAAATAAAACAAAACAAAACAAAGCAGAAGTTAACAACGCAAAAAAAAGTGGCAATGCAAATTTTTTTTAAAAAAGTTACTGTGAAAATAAAAGGATGCAAATAAAAAAAGCCACATCTGAAGTGAGCTGCCGGGGACCAATAGTGATTATTCACCGGTGTTTTACGATCTAGGCATAGAAGACAACGGTGAGACAAGAAAAGAAGTCAGTGGAAAGGTAATTGTTTAATTTCACTTTGTGTGCTTTTTCAATGTGTCACATGGTTTGGCCATGTTGAGCCTGAGTCAATATGAAGTTGAACTGAAGCTAACACTACACCAGCTTCCTCTGGTTCAACTTCATATCGACTCAGGCCAAAACACTGGTGCCTAATCATTGGTCCCGGCAGCTCACTCCCGTTGTGGCTATTTTTATTTGCATCCTTTTATTTTCACAGTAAGTAACTTTTTTTTCCACCGCCATTTTTTTTTTTTTGCATTCTTTTTTTTTTTTAATTTTTAATTTTTTTATTTGCAGCAGTGGCGGTTCTGAGCCACCGTAGCTTTAACATTTGAGGCAAAAACATTGGGTCCAGATTTATGTCACTATAGCTCACTGACTTAAATAAGCACTGCTGTGACGCACGCCCTCGCGCTCCCAGCCACTCACCGCTCTCTGTCGGGGACGAGCGTTGAGCGCACACCCCTCTCTCCTCCCCAGGGCGGAAGTGGATCCATTTTTTTCTCAGTCCGATAAGAGCGGCTCAAGGAGCTGCTGCCCGAGCGACACGCGCCCACCAGAGCGCACACCTAATGTTTATGGTAATGTTAATTCGACCGAAAGTAAATAACAACATCCATAACGAAGTAAGCGAAGTATTAATGCTCGATACGGTCGCTGGACTTACTTTTCCACTGTCGTAGGGCTTCGTTTTGACGCTGCCGGAGAAAATTCCTGCGCATTCCTCCACGCAGAGAGAGAGAGCCACAGAGGGAGACCAACCGACAGACTCAACGGGGAAGGAGGAGCGCTGGAAGCGGCCTCTTTACAAGGTGGACTCGTGCATTCATCCACACGGACTTGTGATAGACGTACTGTATTGTATTTTGGGTCAACCAGGTCCTCTTATTGGTTGTTTTTACTACCCCAATGACTCAAGGCTCACTATGAGATCGGTGCTTTGATGAATAATTTACAGTCTCGCTGTCCGAGGCTCGCGCAGCTACTACCAACCGACCGTTGGCTGCGTCCGACGCCGTCTGAACGGGCCTCGATGGTGGACTGAAGAGAAACAACAACAACAACATCACGGGCTCATTTGGGGGAAAAATTGAATCTGAGACGAATTTTTGGTCGATTGAAAATCTAGCGGCTGCAGTTTTGTAGCGGAAAGCACAGTAGTCATGTTGCCGAAGCAGTGGGGGAGGAGATACGGAGCCTCCAGTGTTTCAACGCCGACCCTGTGCCACTCCAGGTCCGGGTCTACTCTGTAAAGCTCCAGAGAGACCCATTTTTCCTCACAGAAGCGCCAACATCGTCCATTGCTTTCTCGTTGGTCTTGTTCGAAATAATGACGCGGATGCTTCCTCCACAAATCGCCTTACACAACTGAACAGTTTGGTCATTTTTCTTTTTGTTACCTCAGAAAGATTATTTGAATCTCTCATGACTAATTGACTACCTCCTTGTATTCCGTCAGGTTCGAGTTGTATAATACAGAAACAAAATCTGTTGGCCGTTTTTAGTGTTGAACTGCCTTTATTACCTCATGAATCTACCTCAGTATAACCTTATTTTCTACACAACGTAACGGGCCAATGTGTCAGCAAATAAATACCTCAGCCTCATTGCTGTGCACATTGTGAACTCAGTCTGCAGATGGCTTCGTTTCCCGACTCAGACCTGCAGACGTGCCCGCTCTGCAAGGAGCTGTGCGGTTCCTCTGCTCCTATTTCCTCAAGCTCCTCTACCTCATCATCTTCCTCACATACCTCATGCTCCTCCAGCCAGACCACCAGGAGGCTCCACGTCCTTCCCTGCCTCCATGCTTTCTGCAGGCAGTGCCTGGAGGGCCAGCGGAGTCCTGGGGACCCGCTGAAGCTTCGGTGCCCCACTTGCGACCAGAAGGTGTCCATCTCTGAGGCCGGGGTGGACTCCCTGCCTTCCTCTAATTTCCTCTTCAGCAACTTGCTTGACGTGGTGGTGAGCTCTGAGGAGCAGATCCAGAACAAGAATGGTCACCACCATCGGGGTTTAGGTGGAAACTCCTCCAGCTTCCATCTTCCCCATGGAAGCCTGCTGCACCCTCACCACCTGGGAGAGCCACAATGCAGCTCCTGTGATGAGGAGAACCTGGCCACATCCCACTGCATCGACTGCCAGGAGTATCTGTGTGACAACTGTGTGCGGGCACACCAAAGGGTGCGGCTGACTAAGGACCACTTCATCGAGCGCCTTGGGGACAACCTTCACCACAGCCGGCTCAATGCCAACAGCAACGCGGGTCAACCAGGGGTGTCTGTGTCCCTCGCCCAGTCTCTGCAGAACAACTTTGCCCTGCTGTCCCTGTTCCAGGACCGCATGAGCTTCTGCCAACAACATGACAATGAGGTGAGTTACACAAGAATAGATTCATACCACTCAACATTGGAAGACAGATCTGACTTGGCTTGTTTAGTATATGAATACTTCATTTCAAAGAGGAAGTCCATGCGTGACAAACAATGGGATTTCTGATAGATTTCAGGATGTCCTAGCATTGAAAGCTACTCAATAGGTTTTAGTGGAGCTCATAAAGACCTATGGTGTAATAGCATTATGTGTGTAGCATCGAACCATATTAGGGGCCATATGGCCTTAGGTTCAAAGGGAGCTGAGTGGCTCTTCACCTAGTTCCCCGGAGACACAAAGGCACGTGTGCAGAGCTGGATTTATGCACACACATACACACAGATGTTGCATGCACACACACACTTATAAGCATAGACACATGTAGAGTCTGGTTAATCTGTACCACACCATCCATTGAGGCAAAGAGAGGCCCCTGAAGTAACTGCACACATGTTTCTATAACTGTTAGAGGTTATATCCATGGACACATTGTGGAGATCTTACTTTCTCTCAAAATGGTAAAGACAAGTTGGAACTCAAGGCCCAAAGTTTTCTTTCTTTTGGAGACCATGTGATCTGGACAAAGTAAACTACAAAGGCCTGTAAAACAGGATCCAGCTTCCTCTTGGTTCAGTCATATGGTCAGGAAGAATAACAAATAGCAATTGTTAAGGGTTCTTGGAAAGCCATTTTTGTACCACTTCTGGTTTCTGTTAAGGGGCTCAGAGGGAGAACCTCTCCTTCTGCTACAAATTAGACATTTGGACAACATAGAGATATTTTCAAAAATCAGATATTATCAAAGTTCTGGCTTATTGAATCATATGTGTGTGGGCAGGTAAGTCTGTAAATGTTGGAGGCCAACATATCAGTATATCAACATGCAGTGTGATGAGTGCATTTATAAGATTGGGTAGAAATGTTTTACTTGGTTTAGTGTGTTGTCTTTCATACATAATCAGTCAATTGATGTGTGTTACACATTCACTTTAAAATTTCATCAGGAAATGTGCACTCCAACAGTCTTGCAATGTAATACCAGTGACGAGGCACCTTAATAACAATTGTGAGAAAGAAACATTGTAGGGATATTGATGAAAATGCCGCTTTTGATGCAAATATTAAATGTAAAATCAAAGGATATTCAACATTCCTAAAGTGTTTGTTCCTCTGTGACCTACACCCCCCTATCTACAAGCCCTGTCCACTGCCAGTAAAAAGGTGGGTTCAGTTTTCCAGTAAGGGCTCCATTTCCCAGTAATGCCTCACTCACTCCTTGCCTCAGCCCTGGGGGAGGGAATGACACAAGAGAGGGCTAGTCTTTCTTTGCCAATGAGCGTTGAGCAAGCAGAGTCATTGTCTGTCAGTCAGCTCCGTCATGAGTTTTAATGGTTTCCCAATTGTGAAGTCCACAAAACCAGTGTGGCCTTTATTGGACACTGAGTTTGTTGGAGATGTATTTTCTCCAAAATGTATTTCTCAAAATTCTTGTCATACTAGAAGCAGGATTCGTTTTTTTTTTTTTTTTGCGTGTTGGTAATTTTTCTGGAGATACAAGTGTAATCTACAACAGTTCCCTTTCCTGCCAAGTGCTAGATTAAAAACCTTTTCTCTCCATCAGGACAGAAAGATATATCCCTTGAACGATACAACTGGAAATTGTAAATGTGTCATGTTGGAGCTACAGATACTAGAAAAACTCTTGATCAAGCAATATGGATTAATGTTGTGTCACTTATCATGGTGATTGTTAATGTTGTAGGCAAAACTTACAGGATTACAGATTGTGTACTTTTGATGTATACCTACAGTGCACATCATATTGATGAGAAAATCGTATCCAAGAGAAGGTGGTGGAGTTTAGTCTAGCTGGGAGCAACCATCTGGCAGTGTGCGCCACATATCAAACAAAATTGTTAATATCAGCAGAAAGTATTGTTAATTTGTAAATAAGTCAGTTGTAATCATGAGTACAGGTTGTGTAGCAATGTGTTGCTACATCTATCCTCTGGTGTCTACTTCTCTATGCGGGTGTCAGAGCTTCTGTCGGAAGGCAGGCACACAGTTTAAACAAGGTGAGAATGAGATTTAATTTGAGAGCAGAAAGTAGAATAAAAGATCCACATTATATAAATACAATGATTATGTAATTGAACATTTTAAAAACTACATTTATGTTGTTTTCTTTATTGAAATGTTAATTATTACTAAGCGGCAACCTTTGATTTTTCACACAGCCTGTAATACATAAAGATTTATAATGCTTATTTGAGCAGTAGAAGACCTCGTTCACTTTTGGATGTTGTTGTCCAGACTAGGAATTTTAGTCAACTCATTTCATCTGCTGCTGCAAAAGTTGCTGCGACACATTTGTCACATGATGCAACGACTTTGATCAAAAGTTTTCTTTGACAGTGTTTATGCGGTTAATAAACCAGCCTGTCATCCTATTTTTTTAGATTTAAGGTTGTGTAAAATCTTTGGCTGGTTTGTCCAGTTGTTTACCATGTCTTGTTTTCTGTTTTTGGAATTCACTCTAGCTCTTTCCTCTTACCCCTACTGAGAATAAACATGCATTTCTGCAGTCAGCTGGCCTCTAGTTAAAGCCTTCACTGTATACTGAGGTGCAGCTTTTTACAGCAAACAAAAGACAACAGATTGGCTTTTGTCTTGGCTGCTTCTTTGAGGCCAACATGGTGTGTGAGGGCCCTCATACCAATATGAGAGCACTGTGCAGTGTTATTTAATGAGAGAGTTTTTCCAGGAGCTGGGCTCTGTCCCCTCTCTGGTGTTATGTAAGCCTGTCGAGGAATTTCTCCTCTCCCAGGAGATCGGTGGTGACAATAGTATTCACTGCTTGCTGCTTCAGTAACCAAACTATAAAAAGATATTGCCTCTTCAGGCCTTAATGGTCTCTCAGTCATTTTTTTTCTCTTTCTTCATTACACCAGAACCGAATAAGAGATAAAATGAGTAATCCATAGACAAGTGATGTCCAACCTCCTCTTATACTTATACTGCAGTTTAACACACTGGATCCCGAACTGTTCCCAATGGTCAGTTCAGCATCCCACCATCCTGAAGCTGTCAGCTATTGATGTGTGAAAAGTAATGTATTTGTCCTGGGATAGTGACAGGTTGGAGGGCAAACTCTTAACCTCGACAGCAGAAAAAGAAATTTTTAAAATGACCATTTTGGCCTGGGATGCGGCAGGGAAGCCCATTAGCCTTTATTTTGCTTAATTATATTTTCCGTTCATATAAGTTTGTCCAAAACTCTCAATTCCAGCATTGTGATGTTTAAGACAATTGAAGTCTTCTCAATCAACCCCCCCACCCAATCTGTACAATTCCTACTTGTTACTTCGTTACAAGGATATAGTGTAGGGGTGGGAATCAATAGTGGCCGCACAATACGATGTTATCAGGATAGGATATATAATGATTTATACAATTTTCTCAACTGTTTGGCTAATTTAGCATTTGGCTTTCCTTTATGTTTCTCTTATTTACGCTGTATTTTATTTTCATGTTGCACATCTTGCAAACCTTATATATGTATTTGTTGTATTTTCAAATATATATAAGAGTTTTTCTCCTGTTCAATGATGTCACCTCTGCCAACCTCACGGGACAAACAGTTGGTTTTATTTTTCCATTATCATAGGTTTGACTTCATATTAACATTTAATTTGAAAAAATTGATACTTGGTAAATGAGATGATACGATATATCACCAGACAAAATATCGCGCTACTATGCTGTATCAATTGTTTTCTACCACCCCTAGTATAGCGGTAACATTTTACAACCTTTTTATCAAGTATTTTCTACAATCATCTTTTCCTTTAATCATTCGACATAACTGGCCATCGCTAAAAGGTCCTAGAAAATCTTTGCTTCTGTAAGTAAGAAAATTGGCTTTTTTTTCAAACTTGGCAAATTTGTTTAATTTCATGATATAAGAAAATCAGAGCTAGTGATCCTCTCACATAATGAGCTGTGCAAAGCCTCTTACTTCATTTTTAGCCGTAATGGAGAAAGAGCTCTTTTCTCTTTATTGAATCTGCAGGGTAGATATCAAGTTTGTTTGCTTTGGATTAAGCATTTTTCAACACTTTTTTTTTTTTCAATCCTCAGACCATTTAACCCTTTGTTGAACAACAGTCTTTGACTAAAAAATCATTTTATAAAAGTATGATTTTTGAACCTCTATAAATCCATTATGAAGAACACAGACAGAGTGATTTAGGATTTTCTTTGGAGCGTGCGTCTCTGTTAGCAGAAAGGGGCTCAGCTACATTTTTATAAGGATATAGATGATTTGTGCACACACAAGTGAATGTCTGTTGTTGCTCATCTGAGGCACTGGCGGTCACATCGTGTGCGCTGTAAGTCTGTGTGAAGTGGAAATGGAAAATTGGATTACATCAAAGGACTGCCCTTTGCTTGCTGTGATGTCACCCTCAGATATACAAACACATAAGCAGCTCCATCTGAAAGACACATAATGACATGATAATCCTACAAAGTGTCACTCAATGCTTTAGATTAATTTGTTGACACCATGACAACACCCTGGCGGTGCATGTGCACTGCGTCCCAGCAACACACGCACACGGACACTCACAAACAAATAGCCTTTATGTCGTAGGGGTGGGGGGTGTTACTGAGGCGGACTGAGAGTGGACGGAGAGTGGTTGCCGGGCAATGAGCGCCCACAATGCATCATGTTAGGATGAGGTGAAGTTGAACTAATCAGTTTGACGGCCTTCCAAAGCCCTTGTATCTCCTTAGGGGCCATTTTTGTTGAGGAAGACAGTAGGATGTTCAGTTGCAGTGGGAGGTCTGAGTTTAATTGCTGTGGGTCACACATCTCCACAATCTTACTTCTCCTTGTAAACTTTAATTGTTCTTTTATGTAGTTGTGGAGAAGAAGACTATTACTTAAAACATATGCTGGTTGGTTATGTGATCACCAGTTTCGCTCCCCCCCCTCTCTGGAGCTCACTAGCAGAGAATGTTTGTAAGGAAACCTAACCCAATACTGACGCTGATACAAGGCCAGAGGAATTCCTGTAACTTGAGTTTATACCTCCTGGGTTCTCTTTTCCCCTTCGCTCTCTCCCTCTCACACACACCCACTGGGTATTTCCTCCTGCCATTCTCATCAGTGCTCTTTTTCAGCTCTCTGTTCGAAACAATGCACATTATGCATGCAGAAAGTCTCAACTTGATTTAGCAGCTGTTGCTGACCGTTGAGGGGGAAAATGATCGCATAGCATCACTCCTGGAAGTGCGAGTGTGAAGCAGCAGTGTTTTCCTTCCTAAGAGCATCTCCCATCTGTATGTAGTTATCCTCTGAAGAGGACTGTAGTGTGTGTGAGGGTGTGCGTCTGTGTGTTTCTACACAGCCAGCAGAAATGGATTATAAGAAGTTGGACTTCCAGGGTTTTAATGTGCAACATGTGCCCAGTAATTAGAGAGCATTCCCTGTTTCCTGTGTGTTGTGAATGTGTTTCATGTAGACTAAGAAAAAGTATGTATGTGTGTCTCTGCTTTGATGTCCACTGGAGGACTTTGGGCTATATAAATTTAATGGATAGAAAGGAAGGCATTTATCACATTCTCTTTGACAACGGGATTTAAAACCCAATTGGGGGGCTGGAACCTGGTACTTCCTACTCAGTGACCGGGTACAGACAGGATTTTAATTGGCCATTATTTGACCTCACTCAACAGGATTGTGCTGTTAACACATTTGACATTAGGCTCTGCACCCTTTTTTTGGAGGACAAAGCGTTGCTTCCAGCTACTATTGTCTCTTGTGCACGAAAGTCCAAGTATTCTTTTTCATTGTTGCAGAGTGAACAAACAAGATGACTCAACAAGCTTGTTTGAGTTGCGGAAACGTTGCAGTAAGGCCATGATACACCAGAAGAAAGGCATCTCTTTTATTGTTTCACCTAGACTGAATACTAGGGGTGTGTGAAATGTTCTAAATTTACCCGATACCTTTTGGGGGTTTTTGTTAATGACAGTGGGTAATGATATTTCAAATTACTTAAATGAGAGTTTTTCATAGTCATATTCTGTGTGCCTGTAAACCTTCATATAATTAAACTAGGTAGTTGTCAAGCCATCTTTAGCAGCAGCCATTTACTGACATATGATGCGTTCGAAGTCAGAAGTCTGATCTGAAAATGACGTCACACTCAAGTTACCAGCCTTTCAGTTACCAAGTCGGAAAAAAGCAAAATCAAAGGCCTGAAACAAGATGGCTACATCTACGAAAGTCATTTTAGCACTTGCCTTATACTCGCACAAGGCAAGCGCTAAAATAACTTTTGTTTCCGATTTTGCATTTTTCCGACTTTGTAACCGAAATGCTGGTAACTCGAGTGTGACGTAATTTTCAGCTTAATGCTTGAACGCAGCATTCGTCTGAAGATGTTTTGTTTTGGTTTTTTTTGCCACGACTTCCTTTTCAAAGTCGAACCATCTCCATGCAACTGATTAAATCTTATTTGGTCTGTTTAAGGGCGTGTGGTGTTGGTGCTTAGGCAACTGACACTGTTCGTCAACTCATTTTGTAACTTTAGCCATGAAAGTAGCTATGCTGGCTTAGCTTGTTGTGATGTATGAACACTGCATGTGTTCTTAATGTGCATGCACACTGGTCTGTTTTGTACGGCTTTATCATATCCAGTGTCAATGCATGGACTCTAAAGACAGGTTTTGCTGTTTATGTAGACTGCTACTAGTTGGATACAAGGTAGAGGCACACGCACATTTCAAGATTTTTAACTTGAGATCTTTGTATAAGTATATTTCAATTCTGTTTACTCTCTGGTCTGCCTGATGAAGGAAAAAAATGTTTTTCTCCTTCATCAGGCAGACCAGATCATGTTGATGTCCCCGCCCACTTGTGTATCCAGGCCATGTTCCTTTAAAGGCCATGCTTTTTAGGCTGCCACGTTGGTATGCCAGCCATGCACATGTGTGTATGTGTGTGACAAAGAGGGGGTGGGGTGGGGGGGTGGATGAGGCCTTTGAGGACGGAGCAAAACAATAATTGTTTGTCATCTGTGCTGCAAATGATCATTTTAATGTGATGCTCTGGGCTGCACCTGACTTATGTTTTTATCAGTATGTTTTATCAGAGTAGTCATAGTAAACAAAACATTAAGCAGAGGAAAGAGTGGTGTTGTGGTCATTCATACAGGGTCATTCAAGTAGTTAGTGACTTTTAAGTGCTCTTTTAATGTTACAAAGGAAAGCTAGATCATAACTGTGTGCATGCCGACATTTGTTCCTTTCGTTTCATTCACAGTTTTTTTTTAGCTGTGCTTTAAAACGTGCCTCCCTCTCATGTTTCTCCCTCCTTCTTTTCCTCACAGTCTTAATATTTTTTAAAACCTCTTTCTACTCAGTTAATTTTTGTCCTCCCCCTTCACCCCCACCCATTCACTTCCTTGGCTCCTTTCTTTCTGCTCAAGCAGAAAACCGAGGACAGTCAGTCACATGCTTGCAGGGTAAGGAGGCCAGCTGACTGTGGTTTGTTTTCCTTCTCCGCTGTGGGCCTGTCCAATCAGGTTGCCGGCTTACAGCCACCGCCCCCCGTGTTGTATCTGGCAGAGTTTCAAAACATCGGCAGGCATGTGCGTGTTGTGTCCGTGGCAACAAGCCAACAGGGGTTGCCACGAGAGGGTGGGGTGGCGGTAAAGGACTGGAAAACACTAAAGTGAACGAAAGAGAAGAGGGATGTACTGAACAGAGAAAGGGAGGAAAAAACTGAATATGAACAGTAGTGGAGGCTGTCTGGAAAAGATGACAGCCGGTGTCTGAGTTCCATAAAAGGAGCTTTGTCTGGCAGATGGTATTAGTGGGATTTCTGGGAATGTTGGGATTGGGTAGTCCAAAGATTAAGCAGCCTGGACATACCAGACTGGCTTTTAGCATGTGCTGTCTATCTGCCCTTTTCGTAAGAGAAGTCACTCTCTCAATCTGTTTCCCATTCTCTAAATCAGCATCTCTACTTTAGCAGACTTAGAGTCAAGTTCATTCTCAGATCAATTATTCAGAGAGCGAAGTTTGTTGGTTTGTATTATAAACTGGCTAACCTAATCTCTCCACATTATAGTAGCTGTAAATTTGCATATTTTTTTCTGAAACACTCCAGTGGTGAAGCCAAACCTTCAACACATGCCTCTTCATGATGTTTAAAATGGTCTTATCTCATCCAAAGAGGCTCATGAGACTCTCAGAATGTATTCATAATTCTGAATTTAGCTCTTTGAACTGATATGCTGTTCAAAACCAGCACAATTTACTTTTTATTTTTCTTTCTTTTTTTTAATTAAATTGTTTTTGCTCATAGCTTCCATCCTCTGAAACCTACTCTTTTGGGGCTGTCATTGAGGAATGTTTGGGTAACACCTCTGTACTAACTTTAGTTTGACAACTTGGGTCCTTTTATTTTGTAGGGTTTAAAATGGAGACCGAAATAAAGACATTTATATTCTACTTTATCATGAGAAGTCCATGGCTGATTCGCTGACACTTAATCATGCAACCCTTTCTCAGAAAAAAAACATGCAAAAGTAGTTATCTCTTTTTGTCTTTAAGCATTAGATTTTTGTCAAAAAGAAACTTATTTGCCGTTTAAGGGTATCATGTTTAGATGAAAATGTGGATTATTAAGTGAGCGAAAAAGGAAGATGATTGTGTAAAGGGCATTTAGGACTTCTCTTGATAGTTATCTGAACAAAATTAAGTAAAATGTTTGACAAAAACCAATGAGGAATTATGAAGAAAGTATTAATTTTTGAAGCAGGATTTATGTATTTCCTTTAAGGAACTGCTTGTATTGAATATTTTTGGCTCAAGTTGCTTAACAAACTGTTATCTGAGGTCAGCTTCTTGGAATGTCTCTTTAGTGGGTGTGTGCATTTGTGTTCATACGTTTCTGACCTTTCTTGTTTCTGTTTGTTGACATGCAGTTAAAGCAAGAGCACACAGTCCTGAGGCACTGGCACAGTTTAGGAAAAAACAAGCCAACGACTGCACTGCTAATTCCTTTTGTCAAAAAGACATTCTTTGGAGTAACGTAAGCGTGTACGGAACAGCGGTGTCTGAAACTGTGGAGTCTCTTGTGCGTTGCGGCGCAAAAATTTAAACAAAAAAATGAAGTCATACGAGGCGTTTCTGTGCTGATTAATTTAGTCCCCCTGGGTCTAATGTATTGTATTGTAATTTAATTTAATGTACTGGATTAATAGGAGCCCCAGCAACTCTTAACAGTTTTATTTTCATGCTTCAAATTTATTTTTACTTTTTAAATTTGATTTCCCAAAACAAACAGTTTCATTACAAGATTTGAGTCACATAAGCTCCAGTTTTGAATTGCCTCCAAAACAAGATCTGAAGTTAATGGACATTTTTCTTGCATGTAACAGAGGTTATGGAACAAGATTGAAACCGTTGTGTAATGGCATTAGGACACAACCTTTGTAGATGCATAACTATCTCACTGTCAGTGGTGAAGTTTGAGAGAGAGAACGTGCTTTCGCAGCTCCCGGAGCAGCCCTAGTTTTTCTGGCACAACAGTGTGACATTACATGGCCCTCATCCCTTCCCCCCGCTCTGCTGTGCATGCAGGCAGCGAGTGCTGGATGGAGCGATTTTACTGGCTAGCTGAGCTCGTGCCCTCTCCCCCAGTTCCCAGTACCTCTGAGGGGAGGGAGGGAGAGAGGGAGGGCAGGGGGCTGATCCTGCTGCTGCCGCCTGTGTTAGCACAAGGCCAGAGTCCTTCTCATCCTGCATATTCAAATGTTTCATCAAAGATTTATCGATATTCCTATTTAAACCTGTGGTTTGATACTGAATGTATGCATGAGCTATCAGAAATACCCTCAGAAAGGTCAAATGGCATTCTCATTATGTTTTAATGCAGATGTGTGTAGAACATTTTAGCTAATACTAATGAGATTCTTGTCCCTGAAGAACTTTACATTATTTACATGTTTTTTTTTCTGGAATTCAGGATCAACTTAGAAACTAATCTAACTTTACAAAGCTGTAGTTGAATGTGAAATAACCCAACAACCATTCATTAGCAATGTTCGGTGATTCAGTGAAATCAAAGCAATTTAAAAATGTTGTAGATTTCATGCATCATTTAACTGAAATCTTCAGCTAATTTTGAATGGTTATCATCATGAGTGGGGATTAAACAAAATATTACGCCTGATATCCCGTCAGAGGCATTTCTTTGGTTTTATGATGAGACGTTTTCATATACATACACACACAAACAATATAAATATGTGGGTGTGTGTCCTAGTGTAAATTCTTAATGGAGGACCGTAATGGGCAGGGAGGGCCAGTGAGAAACATCCGGTGCACTAATGAAATACAATAACTCACTTCCCCCCCAGTGTGGCCAAGCTTTCTTGCTCTGAGCTTTATAACTGCAGACGGTATCTTTCCAGCCTCTCCAACAGCTAAAACAGAAAACAAGTTTGCTTTTACCTTTGTGCTTCTACCTTTGTTAGTGTCAGAATATGTGCTATGATTATAATCAAATAAATTCCTTATGTCTGACACTTGGCCAGAGGCTTGCCCCTGGTTTATATTCTGTGGAATTTACTCCTCTGCTAGCATGTCACCACGCCTTATTCATGCTATTTCAAGTTGTTTTTCAACACACGGCGTCACATGAACAATTGAACCCTTTGGTTTGTCCTTGCATGTGTTAGGATATCCTTCATATACAGTCTGTGGCACGGCTATAAGTGTTTAGAAGAACAACCACATTTCTAACTGGCAAAGAGGTGTTTTTTTAAGTGTTTAGAAATTAGGTTAGTCCTGGATTAATTAAAAAATATTGTATTTTTTAAAAGCATGTTAATGTTGGGTTTGAGCAAGAAGGATGTAAAGATAAAGGCAAGGGAAAGGGAACAGGACCCTGCCATGAAGACCTCTGGGAAGAGCCAGTATCCTGCATAGGTCAATAATATTGACTGAAGTTCCAAGAGGCTGATGTGTTATGTAATCTACAACCTTGTGTGTCTGAGTTAGTGTGTTGCACCTCGAGGACTGTTGAGCTGTTGACGACACATCAGTAGCAGATTGCATTTAAGACATCTGACGCCTCATGCATGTATTTGTTATAGGATCTAGTCCTGAGAAATTGAACTCCAGTGTTTCAATCAGAGGCGCCTTTTCTTCTGCTCTTCATTGTCATGTTTATCTTCCACATAGTCTTTCAACCTCAGAAAACACCGTCAGAAGATAAGATACTAGGGGTTTTACATTCAGTCTTTTAGTGATATATATAGGGAAGAGGATTAGGGCCACTCAAATTTTTTTTTTTCAAATTATTATTCTGAGAAAATAATTCAGAATTCTGACTTTAAACTCAAAATAATAATTTTAAAAAATATATATTGGCCTTTTTTCCAGTGGCCCTAATCCTCTTCTGTAAATATAAAAGTTCAATGTTGAAATGTTTCTTTTACATGCCAGTTGCTGTAGCTGACGTTCTGTAACTACTGTATGTACTGCCCTTTAGTTTTATTTTTTTTTAATAGAAATAGAAAACCTTTACCACATATTATTTCAATTCAAAGTGAAAATCAACAGTATTTTTAGCAATGGTGTTCCAGCAAAAGTTTGAATTTGAAAATTAAACAACACAAATCCAGCTCATGGAGGTGTACAGGTCACTTTTGGTTGCATGCCAGTGGAGAGGAAACATGATGTAATAGACTTTATTTGGAAGTTCCTTTCCAGGGGCCGCAAAAGGACCGTAAACAAGGAGGATATAAGGCACTAAGGAGCAAAAGGCTCATTTCATTTAAAAATATATAATATCTACCAAAAAAAAATGCTTACATTCATTGGCCAGCACTACAACATTAAAGAGATGCTACATATTTCACTCTAGCACTATCTAATACCAAGCGAGGAACACCTGGGCCCACACTGGGTCAGTTATGATTAATTATGTTTTGATTTTTAAGCATTCTATAAATTAGAGACTTAACATAACATACCATGATTTTCCTGATTTTGTCCTGTACTCATGTGAGGTGGGCTTACATACTAAAATTTACCACTCCAAAATTTCTTGATGGGTGATACTTAAGCTGTTTTCCTAGTGTGTGGTTAATCTGTTTATATGACTTATACCCTGTAGCAAAAGTTTCAGACATGAAATACTCATCAAAATATAAATAATATATGTTGTGAGTTATGGTCTCATGCACATAAAGATCGCAAATATAGAGCAAAACTTTGGTAAAAATGGTTCAGATTTAAATGATGATTGCATAATGAAGAAAACATGTTGAAATATATAAATATTTAATTATTTGTTTGTTTATTTTTATTTATGTATTTATACTTATTTATCATGACACTCCTCATGTTGTTGTTCATACTGCAACAGTTTCATTTGATGCTCTTGAATGCTGCTGACCTCAGTCCTGTCCATTCAGTGGGCCAGTCTCTGATCAGAATGCAACATGTCATGGCACCATCAATCTGCCCGTCCCTCACCCCCCAACAGCCTAAGCCCTGCGTCCATCATCCTCCACCTCCACCTTCCTCCTCCACTCCAGTCCAGCTGCATTCCAAGCCTTTGTGCATCCTGTCCCCTTGGAATTTGGAAATGTTAAAGGGTGGGCTTTTGGGAGTAGGGGGGGTAGGTGGGGGTGGGATTGGATAAGAGGGCAGAGGAGGGGAGGGCAGTGAGTGACAGAGGCTGCAGCGAGTGTGGTAGAAATCAGGGCTCAGCAGAAAGAGAGACAGCAAGATAGAAACCATGAGAAGCTTTAGGAGAGGCTAGGACGGAGGAGGAAGTCAGATAAAGGGGGGTGTGTGCATCTCATTAGATTATGCCGCTCCCCAGGGGAACAGTCTTTATTGATGGATTGATTGCAGGCCCCTCCCCATCCACCCAGATCACTTGCTATTGGAGGCCATTGATCTAACGTCTCTTTGGGATATGATGGGCAGCGCATATTTAATTAGCCTTCAATTACAAATTACTGGGGGTTTTAAAGCAAAAGTTAAGGTTTGAGCAACAAAGTTTAAATGACGTTTTTCTCTCTAATCCCCAGAGATACTTTGTCAACCAATACCACTTTGTCAGTCATCCCTATGCCAGGGATTTCTGCTGGAAACAAACATGACAAGAACATTATGTAATGTAGTTGTTTGTTTCTAAATAAGACAATAAACAAATTCTGACAACTTATTGGTCTGTAATGAGAAAGATGCACCTCAAACTTTTAAGTTCAGACTCCAGTGGGCATGACACTTGAGATGCTTAGTTACAATGAATGCAATGAATGGTTTAAGATGTGAAATGTGAAAAAGTTGTCTCTGCCCCTTCTCTCTTTTTGGATGCTAACAGAATGGGTATTGATTGAGTCTTGGGGGGTCTTAAGTCCTTCTGGGCTTCTATTGTCTCCTTGTGTCTTAGAAGAGAGAAGCTTTGTTATTAACATGCTCATCCCGCAGGATTTGTTTTATTGCCAGCCTTCTGGTGACTTGCAAAGTTATACACAGCTTGTCACAGATGGATGTCACAGTCCAAACTGTGCTGAATCTTACAGTATACAATTTACACATCTTTATTTACTTTTGATTTGAGTACAGGTCACATTTAGGCTAAGGTTGTAGGCACATGGTTCTTAGGATTCCAGCTTCATTCGGAGCTCAAATGTCAAATTAATAGTCTTGTCTAACAGTTAGTAACCTCTTTTTGCGTGTTTATCAAGTGGCCAGAACAGATGTGACTTAAAAGACATTTTATCATTTAGAGAACGTCTCCAGAGTGTGCCAGTTTCTCTCTCAAGCCAATGCAGAGACTCTTGTTTATGCTTTTATCACCAACATTTCACAGCTGCATGCATGCTGTCGAAGACCAGGAAGAGTATCTGCATTGGCTACCTTTGTCTTTGAGAGCAGATTTTAAGGCTCTTTTATTGGTCTTTAAATCTCTTAATGGTCTTGATTCTTCCTACTTATGTGGTTTGATTTTTACTGTATGAGCCCAGTAGAGCCCTCAGGTCTTCAGGTAGTGGTTTTTTAACCGTTCCTTAAGTAAAAACCAAAACATTGAGTGAATCATCATTTCAATATTGTGGCCCCTGTCCGTGGAAAAGTCTACCTGCAGACCTGCATTTTTAAAAGTCAACTCAAGACCTACCTTTTCACTCTGGCTTTCAGCTGATTTTGTTTTATATCTTAATCTACATTACGCCTCTTTTGGAGTTATGATCTTGCTTTTATGACCTCTTTTTATTTAGTTTCTGTATTGTTTGGTTTTAAGATTGTTTTTTTGAATTAGCTTTATTATGCTTATCATGGTTTTATCGGCTTAGTCTTAGGACCGGTGTTTCCTCATTTTTAACTCAAGACAGCATTTCCTCTATCTCTATCTATCATCTATGGCAGCTTAAAGAGTCCTCACTCAGTGTCCTTGTGTGTGTGTTGGTTTGGATAAATAAAGTTTAAATGATCGATTGGTTGATAAAGTCGATGTTCCAGTAGATGAAGTTTGAGTTTACGCTGGTATTGAACACCAAACTAATCCTTCACATCTTTCTCTCTTTTTTTCAGGTATTTCTCTTCTTCTGTGAAACCTGCACTGTGCCTATCTGCAGGGAGTGCAGTGTGGGACGTCATATGGGCCACACCTTTGTTTATCTACAAGACGCTGTACAGGACTGCAGGGCCATCACCATCCAGTTGTTGGCAGATGCACAGCAGGGGCGACAGGCCGTGCAGGTGAGACACAGGCGAAAACTGTCAATAGACGAGGTTTTTTTTGGTCTTCTACATGTTGGTTCTGCGTGTCAGATCTGCTTCCAAAGAGGCAAACATGAATACTTCTTCTATTTTGAGGTAATGCAAGGTGCTGTAAATTGTGAAAATCAGAAAACAAGTTGGAGAGAACATAATAGAAGACCTTACTTAGATCTTTTATAAGGGTCAAAGTCTTTTAAGTGGTAAGGTAAGCAAGTAACTACTGCATAATTACACCAAGTCTGAAAAAACCTTCTTTATAAGGGTGAAACAACGTAAATCTTCACTCATCCAGCTCCTAGTGGTATGAAGGAGAAGCTGAGTAGAGCAGCTGTGCCGCCCGGACGTCCCTCAGCACACAGCAATCAACTGTTGGAGATGATCAGCTTGAATATGTTTGAGAGTGACCAGTCCTGGCCTGCTGGGAAGCCTGGGGTTAGAGGTGTCCAGCTGGCCCTGAAAAGGGCTGGGTCACATGGGGTGATATCTGATGGGGGGGCAGGGCCGCAGGTCAAAGGGGAGGAGGAGTGGAGGAGAGGCTGGGGGAGGGTGGGTCAGGTATTTAAAGGATTTCAGAGAAAGGAAAACCCCTCCTCTTTGAAAGAAATTGAACACTATGCCCTCCCCCTATTCAGTCACTCCCTCACTCTCCCCACCTCCTTTCACTCTGTACTCCCACAAACACACACACACACACACCGCTGCCTCTTTTCATTTACGTAATCACAGATCACCCAGCTCCCCCTGTGATTGTAGCTCATACATTGAAACAGTGTGAAAGAGGATGAACATTTCACTAGCAGTCCTGAAAAGCCCAGTAACAGTGTTCATTTTTATCATGTTCAAAAGCAACACACACTATCTTCTAACTGACCTGGACAGATTAGGATTGGTTTGACTTACAGTATGCTGATACACTTGATAAATGACCAGTCAATTCGCCATTACTTTTAAAAATGAAAATATTTTGATAAACGATTGATTAAGTTCAGTGTTTAAAGCAAAAGGACTGTTCTCACAGTTTTTTGGTGCTGCGGTATTTACACAATATCTATGCAACAGTTTTTAGCAGATGTGAACCATGCTTCCCATCTTAGACTTAACTAAGTTTGGAAATATCTAGGTGCTACGCTTGTGATGGGTTTTAATGATACAAACATTATGATATACGGAAAGAAGACTTGAATTAGAATTGAGACTCTTTTGCGATTCAGTTTTTTTATTTATTTATATTTTTATGTAGCCTGAAAAGACAGCTCTCAAGACTTCTTATTATCCAGGCATGATTTTCATGATTTTCAGTTTTACCTGACCTTGCCTTTAAAAGAAAAACAAAGTGTCACGTTACCTGATTGTTTTCATTTCCTTTGTTTCATTTGTTTTCCTGGTAATGTAACTGGCGTGCATTAGCTGACAGCTTACAACTTATTTGCGTTCAGTGGTAGAAGTATACACAGTAGGCAGCAGCAGAGCGTCTATTCTTTCTTCTACAGTTGGTTTCTATAGTAACTGGACACTGCTCTTGTCACCCTTTAACTTTCTGTAACTCTTTCTTTTTAAGTATGGTAAGAAGTAAAAAGTTCTGAAATAGTGTCCAATTAGATTCTCTACCCAGAATGAAATGAAGTTGTCCTTGGTATTTAAGACTAAATGTGCTGTTTTTTCAAAAGCTATGGATAATCTACAAACCAAAAACTGTGCTTGGAACTTAAGCAGAAGACTTCATTGAGAGACAGGACAGGAAATAAAGTTTTTATGTCAAACATTTCTTGGGAAAGGACTTCCAGACCCCATCTTATTACAGTATATGTACCATGGGCTGGGGGCTATAGTTCAGCTAAAGCCAGTTATATATTGTCATTTATTAAACACAAACAGCCTAGGGTGCAGATTTTGAAACACACAAGTACAATATTGTTAGTCATTTATTTGTGGAGTTAAGATTTAAACATGTCCCACTCTCTGCTCTGTACATTGCTTTTATGACATTTGAGTGTTGATTTTAGCTTCTCATCATGTTTGAAATGATGTTGTTTTCCCATATTTATCATAAAGCAGTACTTTTTTACACTATACAGTTACGTAGATAAGGTAAAGTATTATATAACGTCATTTCGCCTATTGTGAGAAGCTTTATATTTCTTTCTTCCTATCCAGCGTCATTATTTGTTGTGTGTTGAATCAGGTGTAGGTTAAAGGAAGTGGTCGCTCACATAGATGTTAGTGGGCCTTGAAGGTGGGATCGTGTTGAGACCTTGGTAAAGTAACTTATGACGCATGAAACACAAGCTATTCCACTTATGTCACAGTTGAAGGAGGCGTGTTAACCAGAATGTTCTTAAATTCCACAATAACACAGACAGTTGACAACAGATCTGTTCAGTGAAACCTGGGAATTAAATTGAAAACCAGGAACCACTACACTCACTTGTTCTCAACACATTAGAGTCCACAGCACCAAAATCTGTACCCTACACGCCATCTTCCACAGGGTAATACACAGCATTGAGTGTGCTTTTGCCAGTTTGGTCCAAGGTCACCATGGCAGTAAATGCTGACGCCAGATAATATGCGCGCACACACACACACAGACGCATGCTCCTTTCCCCTGAGGTAGGAAATTTCCGCCCACTCCACACCCATTATCACCCCTGAACTCTGACCCGAGACTCGTGACCTGCTGGTTGGCCGCAGTTCTTTGGATTCTAAGCTTTGATTGGTCAATTTGACCCTCTTTGTGTTCCAAGTTGTGGTTTTCGGGGAATTTTGGGAAAAAGACAAAAAGAGCGACAAAGTAGACTAAACAAATGAATTGAGGTCGCACTGAAGAGAAAGTAAAGTTCAGACGTATGAGACGGAGGCAAAATGAGTTCTCTCGTTGCACCTCAAGGATAAAAACGAAACAAACGAATGAGTTTAAAGGCCATTAAATTTAGAGAAAATGAGAAGGTAGGGCCTGAATACTTCCTTCTATCTCCCTCCTCACTATTGACATCAGTTTTTCCTGATTCTTTCCAGCCTGCTGTGCCCTCTCTGGGGGCCTGATTTAGTTGACCCTTTAGTTGCCTATCTCAAATAGCCAGGCACCAGAGAAAAGGACCCTGCTGCCAGGCTTTGTTCCTGCAGGGGTTTAGTGGGGGTGGGCACTATGTGTCTTAAGACAGGGGTTCCAGATCATGACCTGTTAGAGGTTTAGGTGACCTTTGATCCTTGTGGTCGATATCACAAAGGAAGCCTTATCCTACCTCCTCTTCATGCCTGTGAGGTCCAGGCCACCCCATGACCCCCCAGAAAACGCCAGAGGAAAAGCCAGATAAAGAAACAGGAAAGTGTGCAAGTAGCCCAACCACTGACTTGTAAAACTTCAAACCTCTTACTGACATGTAAAAATTTCAAAGCAAATTACATACAGATAGGGTGACAAAGACAGTGAGTGTCTCCATTTCAATGTCCTAAGGTTCTGCTTATGTAATTTATGACATACAGGAAATGGTACACTGGACTTCTCTCAATGGCAGATTATGGTAATAACTATGGAAATGGTTGGACAAATCATGCATTAATCAAATTAAATAACAGGACAAGGTTGAACTACTTGTTACTTCACTGATGAATGCAGTCTGCATACTAACATGTTATTGAAGTGGCCTGAGATAACATTTAGTGTACCTTTCAAAAGGAACCTTTTTTTTTTAGTACAAGTAAAGTTCCATGTAAGATTTTCTAGCTGGCTGGTTCAGAGTTTCCTGCTGCTGCTACTTTTACTTCTTCATCCTCTCTCCGTTTTATGATGGGCATTAGCTGATGTCATGAACCATGACACCCCCTACTATAAACCAGCAAATAACACTATTGCTGTCCACCTACTTTTAGCAAGATATCAGTTTTTTGTTTCATTTAAAAGACTGTCATCAACAATTCAGGTATAGTATGGCAGACCTAGGTGTATATTGTTATGTTTAAAATCTTTGAATAATTTTTGGCATTTTTTGTGAAACTTGTGTTTTTGTATATGACATTAATTGAGCTAATAAAAGCATTTAAATCCCCTCTGTTCACACAACAAAATATGCCCAACTGATTAATACGATACAATAAGAAGTTTGTGATAATTCAGAGTAATCTTGAGTTGAATAAAATGTTGATGAAAAAGAAATCAGACAAAATAATTTGAAGAATTAAAACACAACATACCAATAAGGAGGTTTTGGATGATTAGATTTTGAAACCACTTTGAGAAATTCTCTTGATGATTCTGATGAATGCTTTAAACAAAATCAGTATAGTTTTTTTTTTTAGTATGAAGACTGCATTTCCCATGAGCACCGTCATCTAAGCATCTTTAAGATGAGGCAACTTGCCAAAATGTGTATTTCTTGTGGAATCAAGTGAATCAATTTCAGATCTTTTGTTTTGCTTCAACTTTTGATTTATATATATATAGAATTAGATGTTGCTAATCAATAACAAAACTAACCATTGGTTAGCTTACAATAGGTAAGCTGTAATATTACCTGTCACAGCCCTGGTATCCCTCTAAACGTCCAAATAACATGAATATGCACAAGGTTGGAACAGTGCAGCATTCACAATTTAGCAAGAATATCGTCTAAAAAATTAAATCTTCCTGCCTTAATGTCTCAATTAACTATATGGGTCATAAAGAGGGATCAGTGAAGGAGTGACACAGTTGAAATCTTCTCAGTGCTTGTAAACATCAGGGGTTTATTGGTACTTCAGCTGGCAGGATGTGCAGAATCTTGTGCAAAGTGACTTCCTATTCCCGACCTTGTTTCCTTTTCCTCTCAGCAGCCGCCAAATGTGGAAAAATGAGCAGGTGTTGATGCTCCCATTTGTCAGGAAGATGGCACACATTGTCCTTTTTTTAATACTTCCTCATCCTTTTAAACCCCATCTGAATAATAAAAGAGACCAGATAGTGAGATAAATTCAACCTGTTGGACAGTCCTGCCTTGTTCTTTTTTTCAACACAAATAAAGAGCCAATAATTCATTGTTACTCATCTCCTCGTCTGATTTGTTTCATATTTCGTGTCTTACTATTTGACTCACTGTAACTAAATTTACAGCAGCGTGACTGTTGAACTACACTTGAAAGATCAACTCCTTGATTTTTGTCTCCACAGTTAAGCATGGAGAAAGTCCAGGCTATGGCTGAGCAGGTGGAAATCAAAGCTAAGGTGGTGCAGACTGAAGTGAAGGCCCTTGTCCTCCGACACAAGAAAGCGCTGGAGGAGAGAGAGTGTGAACTACTGTGGAAGGTGAGCTCGAATTTTGACCAAAAACCAGGAACCCTGAGAAAACTCAGTGAATTTTGTCATGAAGTATCTGTTTTCAGCTTTTGTCAAATTGATCTCGAACAATGTACAAAGGAAGGACTTACCATCCTTACAAGAATTCAAAGCTACACCCACACACTTAAACACATACCTGAATTCAAGTAAAACTGTACTTGCAGAGGCTTTAATGTCCTCTGTGTGGTATTGATTGATTAAAGTTGTTAAAACCAAGGGGTCATTTGTTGAGCTGTATTCAGAAACCCTCTGTAAGGGCCTCCCAGGTTTAAGGTTACCCAAAGTATGAGAGGGGTTTTGGTTAAAAAAGCCCCCCGAGGCCCCTCACCCCTGGCTTTCAAATCCCATAACCTTAAATGAATAAAACACATAAAAAAAGGAGACTACAATGTACAGTACATGCCATTATATCAGTCACGCCTCTCAAGTGTGCGTTATGTTGATAAATCCTGAAACAAGATAGTTAAATCTGCACTGTGCAGTTGTGCATTTATGTATATGTGCAAATTTATTGTCATGGCCATCAAAAAAAAAAACAAAGTAAGAATTTAACAACGTACCCCCTGGTCTAACTTCACCCTTCTTTCTCCATTTTTCTTGTGAGAGGGCTCAGTGACATCGTAAAAAAGGAGCTGTGTCTTGCTGCCTTAGATCTCCCAGCTCTCGGTGTGTATGTGTGTGCGCAGGTCAAAATGTCACAAGATGGTTTTCACTTACTCATGTTCCCCCTTTAATCCCCTTTACACTGCGACAGGACTCCCTCTTATCCCTGACCTGATAAAGTCATTACAGGCAACCACGGCACACCAGCGCATAGTATATGTGTTCTACCTGAATATAAATGATTAGCCTCCAGACACTGAGCTGTGAGCACTGACTGAGCAACTTGCGTGCCATATTTTCTCAGTGTCCTTTCAATTAATTAAAAAAAACAAAAACGTTTGTCTATGACAGAACTGAAGGACTATCATTCACATTAAATAATAGAGTAAGAAGAACTGAGGGGGTGCCAAGATGTATTATTGTTTGGATAGGGAAAGGCTACCGTTTGTAATTTTGGTTGGGCTGGGCAGTAGGGATGGGCGATAAATTATCGTTCATGATCGTCAGAAAAGTCCTTCATGATAAATATTTGCCATCTCATGATACATGTAGGTGCGAATGACAGACTTGCAGCCATAGCCCACCAGTGTTGTTTTCGTCAGGCAGGACGAAAACTTAAATGACGACGTCAGACCCCTTTTTTCCTTGACGAAAATGAGACTAAGACGAACGTCACCAAAGCTCTGTAAAGACTAAAATGTGACGAAAATTGTATTCATTTTCGTCAGACGAGAACGAGACGAGACTAAATTGTTATTAGGTGGACAAACAAAGTTTCAAAACATGCTTTTTTTTGTCCTAACAGTCACGTCCCCATCACACACGCACCATAAGCCTCGCTCGCGCACAGCTGCGCGCACACACTCATACACATACACAGAGCGGCAGGTGGACGAGGCGCGCGCAAACACACACCGAGGCGGCAGGCACAGCAGCGGTGCCCAGTGGCCGAAAAAAGAGGGATGATTTTTGGTCCTACTTCAGATACAGTCCAAGTGACAATAAAACACAATGTCTTGTATGGGGACGGGGAGACGAGACAGACGACAGTTGTGGAGCCACAGCTTCCTCATGCTGCGGCTTCAAACTGTCGGGAAAGAACACCATGAACCTCAAAAGGCACCTTTTCGTCGACTAAAACTAGACTAAAACCTTTTGAGTTTTCGTCGGACTAAAACTAGACGAAAACTATCAAGGATAGAAATGACTAAAATGGGACTAAAACGAAGAAGCATTTCGTCAAAATGACTAAGACTAAAACTAAATCTAAAATGCCTGCCAAAAACAACACTGTAGCCCACACAAAGCAGAATAACAAACATGGCTCAAGGTAATGAAGAAGACGTTTCTGAGCAGTAAGAGTTTTCAACAAATGTTAAAAATGTTTTCACATTTAAGACTTGTTTGATGTCACTAGTTTTCTCCATAACCTACCACTTAAACTTGCGGTTAAGTATCTTATTGGACTACTCCATTAATGTTCTTAGGACAAAATGAGTCAAAAATAGATACTGGAATTATAATATTTTTAATCAGGACTTTTATCGTTATCACCAGAATGGCAAATCTTATTGTGATGAATTTTTTAGCCCATATCGCCCACCCCTAGTGGGCAGAAGCTGACTTGGGGCATCGGTAAGAATAGTATGACTGCTAAAAAAAAACTAATTTGGTGATCAAAAATGCTCATTCAAGAAGTGATGCTGGATAAAAGCTTTATACATCTTCCTGTAGGTTGTTGTCATGTGGCCAAAAGATTGTGAAATAGGTTTCAACAAAGGTACTTGACTCATGGTTTGCAGATCCGCTTCACTCTTCACTTTTATTTAATCTACCATCCTCTGCTTGCTCACGCTACTTCGCTGTCTCCAGCCTAGGTGTGGTTAACTTGCTAGTTGAGCTAAACAAATTCCAGCGAGGCAGAGATCCGTTAACACTTCCTGCTCTGCAAGGAAGCTCTGATGGCACCTGTGTCTCTGCCGCAAAGTACAGCAAGAAATCTAAATGATCTCCACCTGTGAACGTCAGGTTGGATTTGAGAGTGTCCTGTGAATGTAAGACTGTAATGAACATTGATTGTTGCTCAACAAATAGGTCAAAGGAGAGCAAATCGTACCCTCCCTCTCTGTCACCCAGGTATATTCGGTGCACAGATGTCAGACGCTAAACACAGCGACTCTGCCTTTGAGTGTTTTATTATTTTACTGAAGCAACTGAAACTAGTAATCCAACCATCAGAAGGCCTAACTTAAGTCTTTGTCCTGAGTGACTATAAAGTGTAACTCTAGTCTCTCAGATGCAAATTGTAGTGCCACGTATGTCGGGGAATAACAAAAGACCCCTCTTTTTGTACCCTTTTTGTTTCTTTCGACATTCTGCCCTGCTATTAAAAGTCCTTCTGACTACAGAGGCAGTCAGGCTATTGTGTTTTACTCCTTTTGTCGGGTAACTGGAAGGAAGCCTGAACCAAGCTTCTCAGGTTCTATCACCACCTTTTATGTTTTTTTTTCCCCTCACTGCCTGTACTGCCATTTTATCCGTTTGTATAAAGCAGGAAAGAAACAGACAGTTGTTGAAGTTAATGGCCCATACACTGTTATTGTAATGAGCTGAAAATGTGTCCACCGGTAACACTTTGGTCTTGTTTTGAATTTTGCCAACCCTCGTAGTCAGCATCTGTGAAAAACAGTCCTGGAAAAGATGCACAGTGTATTTTTTTGTCGTCTGTTGTATAAAAAGCAGTAATTTAAGAAATCTGTCCAAACTAAAGCTGTTTTATTTTTGTTGCAAAAGAAGTCGAATAATGGAAAAAAAAAGGTCCACCACTTTCTACACAGACAGATTTCAGAAATACACCATTCCAAAAAATACAGTGATTGAAATTTATGTCTCCTGCATCTTTCTCTGCCACCACATGTCAGCACATTACTGCCATCCTGTGGTGAAGTTCCTGTGACAGTATCCAGGTGGTGTCATGCCACTGTTATGTGACTTATTCTTATACTTTGTCATGTTCATGGGCACTTTTTTATTGTCATCACATTTCAACAGAATTCCTTAAACAGAATTACTGTCTGATTTGGATGAACAGCACCGAGGACAACACAGGGTTGCTTTCAAAAAAGTGATCTTTATCCAGTCAAAAGGATGCAGCCATCATGAAGAGGATTGATGATTGTTGTATCTTGATTTTTAATGCCTGAAAATGGTGCAAGGAGAGGAGATGTCAGCTGGGCAGCTGAAGAAACGGTTCTGTTTATGATTTTTTTTTCTATATAACATACCCATACCAAATGATAGATTTGATGATCATCAGGAGTCAGAGAGGTGTAAAGATTTTTTTTTTGTTATATGATGAACAAGATAAGCAAAGACTGCTCATTCCACATGGGTGCTGATATTTACACAGACTGAAAGTTCCTCACAGAAGTTCTAACATCGTGTTCTCTAGTATTCTGTAACACAAAAGTACCTTAAATGCTGTTTAAACAATGTAATCCTACTTGGTGATTTTCAATATTCTCTCGTTCTGCCTCCTATCAGGTGGAAAAGATCCGTCAGGTGAAGGCCAAGTCTCTGTACTTGCAAGTGGAGAAACTGCATCAGAGTCTGACTAAGTTGGACAGCACCATCGCTGCTGTGAGCCAGGTGCTGGATGAAGGCCGCCACATCGACGTGTTGCTGGCCAGGGAGCGGATGCTCACTCAGATCCATGAGCTGAAAGCCTTGAGGGGTCTACTGCAGCCACAGGAGGATGATCGCTTCATGTTCACGCCTCCAGACCAGGTAGGCTGTCAGTCATGGATCAGAAACATCACCTCAGGCATCATGAGAGTTTGTTGCTTGAATTTCTATCATTTGTTCCTTAGGCTTTGTACATAGCCATCCAGTCCATGGGTCTGATCAGCAGCGGAGCGTTTGCCCCAGTCACCAAAGCCCATGGCGAGGGTCTAAAAACTGCACTCCGTGGCAAGCCCACCTCCTTCACTGTGATTGGATATGACCATGATGGTGAGCCGCGCCTGTCTGGCGGGGACACAGTGTCTGCAATCGTCATGTCAGTTACAGATGGAAACCTGTCTGCAGCAGAGGTGACAGACCACCAGAACGGCTCCTACACAGTCAGCTACCTGCCCAAGTGTGAGGGGGAGCACCTTGTGTCGGTGTTGGTGTGTAACCAGCACATCCAGGGCAGCCCCTTCAAGGTGATCGTCAAGTCAGGTCGGAGCTACGGCTCCCTAGGCTCTCAAGTGTCATCGTTCGGGTGTGAGGGGGAGGGAGACGGTCAGCTGTGTCGTCCCTGGGGCATCAGCGTGGACAAGGAGGGATATGTGGTGGTGGCTGATCGGAGCAACAACCGCATACAGGTACAATCACAGATATGTGTTTCAGCAGTGTGATTTCAAGGTGACAAAGCACAGTCACCCCTGTCACTGAAGCTGTCTGGAATGTTCTCACTCTGCAGTGGAGCTGATCAGCCGTGTTTTTCTGTTTTTCCTCCAGATATTTAAGCCTTGTGGTGCCTTCCACCATAAGTTTGGCTCCCTGGGTTCTCGGCCCGGTCAGTTTGATCGTCCAGCAGGGGTTGCATGTGACAGTCAGAGACGAATCATTGTGGCTGATAAGGACAATCACCGTGTGCAGGTATGAACAACATTCAAGATGCAATCAACACAGTTTTACTTTGTAGTTGTGTGTGGGAAGGTGAATTAGAAAAAAGTAAGAGTGAAATTTGTGTTTTTATGTAAAAAGACATGTAAGCTTCTGAAAACTTGAAACCAACATACACTGAGATACACAGCTCCTCACCCCCAATTTCCACCGCATCCGGAACGGCTGCGACTAGCCCTTAAGTGCAGATCGCAGCTGATTGTTTTCATTCAAGTTAATGTGTCAGTTTCCAGTGGCTTCTTTCAGTCCCGCTTCGGTTCAGCGGACTCCGCAGCCGATCGCCAGAGTTCTATTTTTCACCGATGCCAAAGAATGCCGCATAAATTCAGCACAGATTAGCACATGCTGGAAAGGAAGTCGGGCACAGACACAAAATAAAACATTCAGCTTCTTTTCAAAATAAAACACTACATGTTTCAGGCAGATCGTATTTCACACTGTGCAAACGGGCGAGGACGAACAAGTGAAAGGTTTTTAGACATCATTTCACCCCAATGACGAGGAAATGCTGAATCTAGAAGTCAAGAAGTGGAAGGACACAATCTACTGCTCATATGGTTATGTGGCTGTCTTTATAGAGACAACTTGTTATTGTGCGATTGCATGTGAATCCGCAGGTTCTTGTTAGCTCTCACGATTCCTGCTGTCCGAAATCTGCCACGAAATTCGTCCCACAAACGCATCCGGTAGGAATTGGCGGATGGTGAAATCCCTGTGGTTCTGGATGTAGTGGAAATTTGGAGACATGCTCATCTGATCTATATGTCTTATGCTGAAAAGTAGAGCACTCAGATCTCTGACTTTATCCCACAGGTGTTTACTTTTGAGGGCCAGTTCCTGCTGAAGTTTGGGGAAAAGGGTACCAAGAATGGGCAGTTCAACTACCCCTGGGATGTGGCTGTAAACTCTGAGGGTAAAATCCTGGTCTCAGACACAAGGAACCATCGTGTTCAGCTCTTTGCCCCTGATGGCTCCTTTCTCAACAAGTACGGCTTCGAGGGGGCTTTGTGGAAACACTTTGACTCTCCTAGAGGAGTGGCCTTTAACCACGAAGACCACCTGGTGGTGACTGACTTCAACAACCATCGGCTGCTTGTCATCCGGCCAGACTGCCAGTCGGCCCGTTTCCTGGGCTCCGAGGGCACAGGAAACGGGCAGTTTCTACGGCCCCAGGGCGTCGCCGTGGACCAGGAGAACCGCATCATTGTGGCCGATTCCCGCAACCACCGAGTCCAAGTGTTTGAGCCCAATGGGAACTTCTTATGCAAATTTGGCACACAAGGGAGCGGCTTTGGACAGATGGATCGTCCCTCTGGCGTGGCGGTGACACCCGACGGGGTCATTGTGGTTGTTGACTTTGGAAATAATCGCATCCTCAAGTTCTAAAAAAAAGTGTTTATTCTCTCTTTCTCTGTTTGCTCTTTTGCAGTTTTTTTGATGAAGGAAATGGAGGAGAGAGAATGAATCAGCAAACACAACTGAAGGAGAGCTGAGAGGCGATTGAGAGCAGCTCGATGTGAAGGGAAATTAAAACTGAAGATGATAGTTTTTTTCTTTTTGCATTTGTAATGATCTTCTCCCAATCTAATAACTGTGGTATGTATTACAAAGGGGACCTCTACAAATTGATAATCAGTAGAATGAAGAGCCATATTTCCCTTCCTCAGTCGCTCCTGCTCTGAATTTTCTCCGCAGCTCTCCTTCAGTATCCATCTCAGGGATTTTTTCTCACTTTTCTTGAAATCTTGTACCCTCTGCTCCAAACCTACCTCATTTAGCTCTTTATGAATGTACTCATAGTAACTGAGCAGAGGTTTTAGTCCGTGAAGTTTTACAAAGAAGAAAAGTCTACCTCTATACTTTGTTATTTAAGAGAGACAAAAAAAAAAAAAAGAATGGACTGTTGAGTTGAAAATTTGCACAGGATTAATGGAATTCTTGCTGTGCATTTTGAAATATGAGTTAAAGTGAACTTCCTGAATGTTGTTGCTGAGACAATACTCAGACCGCTGTAGAGGCTGCATGATTGATTCTCATTAGTGGGCTCCGCTCTAAGAGGAAACAAGGGTACAGTAGTGTCCTTTTCATGCTTTTGGGCTACTTAGTTTTTGCTCATGCAGCAACCCCTTGTCTCTTTTGACGATCATGATAGTGTCATGATAGCCTGAGGAGAGAGCCCGAGGCGATGCCAAACTTGGTAGAATTAAAATTAGCTCAGGTCCTAGTAGAACTTTTTGACTCTCTCTCTCTAGCTGACGGTAATTTAATAGAAATATTAGCAAGACAAAATGCTCGCTAAAATGACCCCAAAATAACTCCTTACATAAATTATCCAAAGTGTTTGATTCTGTACTCTCCTACCCTTCTTTCTGTCTCGTAAGACTGGGTGAACTCGTGTTTTTTGATAAAATAAGACAACTTGCGTTGTTGCTTTCCAGTCCACATAAAAAAAAAAAAAACTAAGATGCAAGGATTGATATGCAAGGGGAGCAGCAACTCCTTGAAATACCCGTCAAAGGGATTTGGAGCTGAATTTTAGTGATTAGTTAGAGATTTAATCATGAAATTGAATGACACCTTTTGATGAGGCATGCTGTGTGACAAAAGCCTCACCAGTAGACAACTAATTTGGCTGTCCAGAGGACAGTAGTGACTTCTCACGACAGACACCTAAAAAAAAACGATTCTTCGAATTGAGCCAGTGGTTAAAAAAAGCCACTTGCTTTCGGCTCCTGAGGCCTCGGATTTAGTCCGGACTCAGGCAGTCAGTGAGAGGGTGTGGTCATTAAGCCTGCCCTATTTATTACTCTTTGGAGATGAAGAGACCTCCCCAGGTAGGTAGGGACCGATTCCTGTAGAGATGGAGGTCTTAAGACTTTCTATTGGAATCAACCTAAGTTAGAATTTCTGCACAATGTCCAACTGTAGATACGGCAATTAAATAAACAAGAAACCCCTTTAAAACATTTTCATAAATAATCATCGTTGCCTGTAATTGAAAACTTCATAAAACTCGTGCAGTTGAGTCCATAGCCTTGTCAATATTAGACTTAGACGGAGATAAAAATGTGCTTAGGTAACAGTTTGTCGAGCATAAGTACTTCCACATCCTTCAAGACCAAGACCTTTTTGGCTGAGGCAGGTTTTGAAAGAAGATCCTTTTTGTCTCTTAGCAGACACGTCTGAGAGGAGATCAGGAGATACCGACACCAAAGAGAACCTACCCCCTGCAATCATTGCCTCGGCCCATCAAACAAAACATATTAGACAGCCCAAAGGCTCAAAGTAGCATCTCAGATTAACTGTGTACCCTCGTTTAATCACCATAGAAACTAAAAGATGCTATTCTCTGTGGTTAAAGCATTTTGGGGTTGTGAATCCCTTCGCCCTTGTTTCAATCTGTGTCCCATTGGAAAGCACTAGACAATTAAGTTTCTATTCGCCACTTTCTTAGCCTAGCAAAGAATCTTGGGACTTATGAAAGATGACTGACTGGCTCTCACCTCTGAGGAACGGCCCGTCTGCACATGATCAGGATTCACATCCTCATATCTCAGATTGACTTCCCTCCTTTTTTAAAACTCTTGAGTACCTCAAATCTGTCACTCATGCCTACTGTGCATTTGAACATTCAAATACCTCAACTTGTTACCCATTCTGAATACCTCATTTTCACTATTGTATTTAAATGTACCTCATCATATATTTATGCATAACAGATATACCTCATTCTTAAAATCATCCTGTGTTACAGTACAGTACAGTGCAGTGCATGTTCCATAGCTCTTGGACCAAAGATCATGGTACTGTTTTGAGATGAAATTAAATTTGTATTATGATCATCGCTCCATCTTACCACCCTGAACAGCTTCCGGGTTGTTCTACTGTTCATCCTACTGGAATTGCCTGGTAAACTTTGCCTTCCATCAACGAGGAAAACCAAATATTTCAGATGAAAGCATTGTGCCAAATAATCAGTAAGAGGTCTGTGCCAAAAGGGTTGGCATGTGGACCACGCTGTTGTAGACGACAAATGTCACTGGACCATTATATCATAGACACAAATGTAAAATCAGAGCTCCTGAGATAAGTCTTGCTCTCTGATTGGATGCACTTAAGAGGGCTGGGCCCTGCTTATTTTTACCTCATGGTTATGATGTTAGCATGCAGATTCCACTTGTACTGTGATATTTTGTGCAAGAGGTGTCCGGAAGAGGATGTGGCCTCTTTAGAGAGTTAAGAACTTCACAAATCTGCCTTTAAACGTACAAGATATACCTCTAATTCAGCACAATATACCGACACCTCAGTGAGGATTGAAAGGATGCTTGGTGTTGGTTTTAGGACGTTGACACCGGCGTAAATCCAACCATTCTCACTGCGGGGTTAAAACAAACACATCAGAGGATTACACCTAATAGGTGACAGCAGGCTAAGTTTATAGAGCAACTAGCACATTGATGTTGAGCCAGTTTGATTCCACAGATGTTTTTTTTTTTTGTTTGTTTGTTTCCAGTATTACTCTGTGAAATGATCACTCATGTTGCATCAGTTTTTTTTTTATTAATATTGCAGAAATCTATCTTTAAGATCCTTAGGTCTTCACTCTTTAAGAGGAAAAATGTATTTTAGACCTTTATTTTTTTTTTTTCATTTTGTTGCATGCTTTAAAAGTCCTTGTATTATACTGATGTCTCTCAGATAGGTGTTGCAAAACTCAGAAGGGGTGGGTAGCTGACTCTTTGGAGGGTTTTACCAAAATATATACCCAAAGATTTGTATGTGTGTGTTAGGGTTATGTCGGATGGAATTTACCTTTGACCTTTGCGATTGTATTTCTTGTTCTGAAGAGGCTCTGCAAAGTACAACCTGTTTAGCTAGCCATGCCTCCATTCCTGAGAAACAATAGAGGCAAAGTTTCAGGTCATTGCAGACCAGTAGTGCTTAGTTTTCTCCCTTAAATATGCACAATATGTGTGTCGTCACATTAACATATACTCCTTTAACACCCAAAGCCCTAGAAGTGTTTGAAAGCTGTAAAAGCTTCCTGCTGGGCGTAGATTTACCTCAACAATAGCGATGAATCAATGGAGTTTCGTTTTGAAACTTGGAGCAGCTAGGTTCCTCCAGCACAGACTCCAATCAGCCCTCCTCCTCCTCGTCTTTATAACAATCCAGCAAATGTTGTGATGGCTATTGAGCATGTGACTGGTTGACTGCACTCCTGCTCAGCTGATTTTCTTTTAACGGCCCTGTTTAGTCATCCACCATTTTATTTCTGGCCTCTGATGGCTTTAAGATTGAAAAAAAAAAAAAAGCTAAACTGCACCAGGTGACGAGTGCAAAGGTCTTAGACCTCCTTTAAATGATTGTATACTCTAAAGAAAGAACGAAAAAAAAAAAAGGTTGGAAAATTTAGAAAGGAAAAAGATAAAAACTCAGGTAGTTCTCTGCAGCCCTGCCCTGCAGGTGTCTCTTTGAAACTTGTCCCCGTAGTGATGACGTAGTGACCTTTCCCCTATTATGAGCTCTCTAGTCTGATTCTTTTGTGTGTCCATTTACATATTATAAAAAAAAATTCTAAATCTGACATGATATGGCTTTTAATTAGTTTCCCCCGATTAATGTTTTTTTTTTTTTTTGCCATTTTGTTTTCTTCCACAAAGTAGTACAAACATGTCTCACCACTTGATGCTCAGTGGCCCTTTTAGAATGTATTTTTGTGAAGAAAGGGGTCACATGGGATCTTGTTGACGCACACTCGCTACAGCCTGCTGCTGGCTCAGTATAAACGAGAAGTACTAAATATAGCTCTCATAATGTAATATGTGAAATACTCAACACCAGCAATAGAGTGTTAGGTGGAATCACGCGGTTGTGGAGGGGCATGCAGCACAATGTTCATGTCTAAACCAGCTTTAGAGTCAGCCTCTCTGGTCTGAGGGGATAACAGTCAGCTTGACCTGTCCAAAACTCTGGTTCCCTAGTGTCTTGTTCTCCCAGCAGCTGGTTGTGTGTTGAGTGTGTACAATGTTTGTGCGCTTCATCTGTGTTGTCTAAGCAGAAATCCACTGAATGTATCCTCCTAACAGTCCAAGAAGCAGAGAGAGCCAGTGTGGCCAGCTGAGTTTAGATGGGTGCTGCTGGTGCTTCCTCAGCCAGGTCTGTGTGTGTGTGTGTGTGTGTGTTTGTGTGTGTGTGTGTGTTTATCAGTCAAACCTTGTTTGCGTGTGTTTGCCAGCACACTTTCCCTCCCTTGTGACACACACGTACACATGTTGCTGAGTGAAGTGCAGATGTCAGGTCTTCAGTCTAAATAAGGCAAAGGAGACTATAATATATTGGTCACCTGCTGCTCTCTCTGTACTCTGTGGACTTTAAACATT